TCTCACCCTACCAATTCAAACCCCAAGCCCATCCCAATCAAATCCGTCAGTTCCCGTGCCAGATTCAGGACAACAATTCAGGGGCTCGCAGCCCCGAACAACCAAATGACGATGGTGTCCGGAGAACAATCCTCCGCCAGCTCTTACCGACTTGCCCGGTCCTCTTGAGATGATGTTGAAACTCAACAACCTATATCCGTAATCGTCACAAATGGCCAATACCATGAAGCAGATGCAGTACCAGATCCAGGGGGAGGATCCGCCCTAGAAGCTTACCTGATATCATTATTGCCGGTCATCGGCGGAAGGAAGCCAGAAGCAAGCCCGAACGGGAGGAATGTGTGTAGGCTAGCTCTGTCGGCGAGCGCGAGCCGCAGCTCCACACCAAGAAAGGGGGATCAGTTAGAATCTCAGTGTATGAGATTGGTTAGCAACCAGGGGATGGTGCAAGGGCGGGTCCACCGCAGCGTCAGCTACGTGATGCCTGGCTGATGATTGGAATGCCACCCGAGGAAGTTCGGATCTTGGCCCGAGGGAAGCGGAAGAAAATCACGGAGTTGGAATAGCCGTTCAGACTCATTCACCCCGCGGATATCCTAGTCCAGTCTATTGAATTCTAGCCACTGTGGCAGGGCCCCCAACAATTTAATCACAGTCCGATATACGGCTAATCCGTGCGCTTGTAGGGATTTGATGCCCAACGTAGCATTGATCCCCCGGGGACATTGTGCTGGTAATAGCTCGAGGCCTGTGTTTTTGAACAGGCTATGCACTGGACACCTGCAGCAGCCAGTGCAGTTAGTAATTGAGTTCCGAGAGATGCCCGGAGATACTGTATATGCGGTGTCGGGTATCTCAACATGAACGGGATCCCGAGAAGTTCTCGTGGGGAATCCCAAAAGGGGTTAGCTCTGGTGGGGAATCCCAATTTTAGCTCGTGGCACTAAAATATATCTGCCGCGTGTATGTAGTTGTGGCCCTGGAGGGATCAAGGGAATGGCAGTTTGCTGTCTGTTTTGTATTGCATAGTATCAGGGACAGCTGAGGGTTAATCATGTTCCCTTTCGACCTAGATATATGTATGTCTTAAAGCGCAAGTTCATGGAATGCAGGAGTGTTAAGCTATCCCCCCGCAATTTGACAAGCTCCATAGCGTGCAGACGTGTCCATGTTCGTGCATGGATAATCAAAATGATGTAGATATCATTGGCCCGACACTTAAACCTTGGTGGAGAGGCCTGGTTCTGGCGACTTTCGCTCCATAGCTGTCCGGGCAAGAGCCAGGCGTTATTCCCGCCTCCCCGGTGCCCCCATCTCCATACACCTGGGCGGGAAACCCGGGTAGCCATCGGTTGAGGGTCGGCTATAGGGGAATAATCTCCGATTCGGACTGAGGTCGCGATTGTGTAGATGATGTTTCAGTATATTATACAAGCTCAGGCCCCCATTGTCCTCGGGTTAACCGTGTATAGTTGTACCAGACTGCTTGACTCTACATATAACACCCCGCACCCTCTCTGTCCGGTGACATTTCTTGTGTCTCCCCTCATATTCTCTCTGCTTTCCGCTGTTCCTCTTCCGCTGTTCTGTTGACTGAATCTTCCATTATCAAAGTAACTACGTCATCGGTAAGTACCATGGTCCACACCCCATCCCCGTGGCTTCTAAATCCACCAAGGAGATCCTGCTAACCTTTTGAAAGGATTGTCTTCTTGTCAGTGCATCTCCGTATTTCTGGACATTCCACGCTTATACACCGTGCATTGTATTGACCTGCAACTAGGATCTCAATACTTCACCATGGCATCCACTATCAAGGACAGTGCCAGCCCTGCTGCTGTCTCTGCACAAAACGCAACCAAGACCGCTATTGAGACTCCTACCGACTTCCTGCACCACCCATACATCCGCGCCGCCCTGCCCTTCTTCAATGGCGGACTGGCCGGTATGACCGCCACAGCCGTGATTCAACCTGTCGACATGGTTAAAGTGCGTCTGCAGCTCGCCGGCGAAGGAGCCCGCACCGGTCCTCGTCCATCCGCACTGGGGATCACTCGCGACATCATCGCCTCCGGCAAAGTCCTCGATCTCTACACTGGTTTGTCCGCAGGAATCCTCCGCCAAGCCGTCTACACTACTGCCCGCCTGGGATTCTTTGAGACGTTCATCAAGAAGCTGAATACCCGCGCTGAAGCCGCAGGTCGCAAGGTAACCTTCGCCGAGCGTGCTGCGGCAGGACTGACTGCCGGTGGAATCGCCGCCATGATTGGAAATCCGGCCGACTTGGTCCTCGTGCGCATGCAGTCGGATGGCCTGAAGGCCCCCGAGGCTCGCGCCAACTACCGTTCCGTCTTTGATGCTCTCGGTCGTATCACCCGCACTGAGGGACTCGCCGCCCTGTGGGCTGGTGCTTCGCCCACGGTTGTCCGTGCCATGGCCCTCAACATGGGTCAATTGACCTTCTTCGCTGAGGCTAAGCAGCAGCTCAAGCAGCATACTTCTCTCTCCGCTCAGAATCAGACTTTCGCTGCTTCTGGCATTGCTGGCTTCTTTGCTAGTTTCTTGTCTCTGCCTTTCGATTTCATCAAGACCCGTCTTCAGAAACAACAGAAGGACCCCAAGACTGGTTTGGTTCCTTACAAGGGCCTGTTGGATTGTGCGCGCAAGGTCGCCAAGGAAGAGGGCTGGCTGCGCTTCTACCGTGGCTTCGGAACTTACTACGTCCGGATCGCTCCTCATGCGTTAGTTTCCCCTACCGATTTTTTTTTACCGCGCCTTTTTTCCCCACTGACTCTATATAGAATGGTCACTCTCATCGTGGCTGATTACCTCAACCTCCTCACCAAGTAAACGTGTTTTGCTAGTTTGAAAGCCTGAATTTTTGAGATTCATTCTTTTACCTTGCTCTCCGACTACACGACATCGCATCGATCCGTTGCTCAGTTACACGATTTAATATTCTCAGCACGCCACCAAGTCTGCCACTAGACGCTATCTGCTATTTTTCACATCCCTGGGAAGCGCAGCATCCGGAGGAAGACAGCCAATCCAACCCTGAGACAACTTATGCTCCGTCTGGTCTGTGTGGATCGTGCAAACTCACCGTCCCTACAACCACAAGTTACACATGATGGCCTTTGTTCCCGGACATTCGGAGAACTTGATACCGGCGAAGGGTCATTCCTACTGGCAATTTCGATTTCATTCCCGTGGAAGAGAAGATGAAAAATCTGTCAGAGAGAATACGCGGGGGATCAGTCTCCGCGGAAAGCCAACATGACAACACATCGTCTTTGTCAAGTTCTTGCTCACTCTCTTGTTCTACTTGTGCTTTGCCTTTGCTGTGTTTTTGACAAGCGAATACCCCCTTGTCTTGCTGTTCTTGGCCTCTGCCATACTCTACGTCATGGTCTTACCTACACTGTCTGCTTGGGTTAGATATGCTAGTTATGTAGGATCCGCAGGGGAAAGATAGCTGACTTGCCTCCTTCTTCTTTTTCCTATCACTAGTCCAACAGTTTCGTCTCTCTTTGATTTATGTAGGCTCATATTCTTCAAGATGGATAAGTGTCTTTCTTCACCCGCATGTTAATTGATGGGAAATCGGCAGCCGAAATTGGCTCCTTTGGACGCCGGTTCAAGCCGCCTATGCACTAGAATAAGACCAGTTGGTCGCATTTACGGCCTTGTGACGTTGTTTTGGCTCGTCTTTCTAGATGTGATTGTCACCAAGAGCATGTTTCCCTTAGGAATAGAAGGCAGAAGAAAGACCTTGTTTGAGAAATGGGCGTTGGATCACCGTGGATCCTAGTCATCTTGGCATCACGTGCGAATGCTTCGATCTCTTGATTCCTGAGCTACGCTTCGGTACTCAGTGATCCCACTCCCATCACTATCATCAGCTCCAACCGGCGTCAACAATCTTTGTTAAAAGCCACGAGGGGTCGAGCGGTTTAGGGAAGTGAGGATCTGAAAGAGAGGTCTGAACAAGAAATGGTCTCATTGACCGCAAACATGGAGGAAGCACCCAAGGAGACATACGAGTGCCGACGGCCTACGTGCTATTTTCCAAGAGCGTTTTGGTGGGTTGGCTAACACTGCATTGCGTAGTCAGAACAGCACGGACACCATAGCGACTTTGCAGATTGATAGCTGCGATGTTTTCTTGTCGTACTCCAGCAGCCAGCTCGCAGATTCTCTCTGTAGCTAAAACGCAGCGGGGTTTATTATGCAGTCGTAAGTTGCCAACATCCATCGGGAGATCACACGATGGCGACAAAGGCATGTTAGACCCCATTTTTACCACAAGTGCGAACAGATCCAAGTCATTTTTTATCCAATCATGAACTTGTCAGTAAGCACGGGATGCTATCCGATGGGATGGCCGAAGAGAAAGCTTAGCCATTTCTCGAGTCGGTTAGTGAAATGACAACACACGCAGGATCTCTAACATCTGTCCCTGAGTGGAGACTATGTCCCGTATGCATCCAGACCGGGTTGGTTGCAGGTTGGTTGCAGGTTGGTTGCAGGTTGGTTGCAGGTTGGTTGCAGGTTGGTTGCAGGTTGGTTGCAGGTTGGTTGCATTGCTTGATTGAGGTCGTCCTATTTCTCCCCGAGTGCCAGTAGCGTTGAACCCCCGCGCAATTCCCAAGTCCTTTTCAACTTCCAGTCCAGTATCTCGTGCCCGCTTGTGCAAATGTTATTGGAGACAATAGCTATGCTGTGATGTTTCAGATCTTTCGCAAAGGACTATAATCTTCCCGGATTGTTGTTTTCGTGATGTTACTGCTTCCAATCAAGGCCTCACTGATGACTATGCCGCAGAGAGTCATCTCGCTTAACGCGGTTTCTCAAAAAGGATGGTTCGATTGAGATGCCACGAGTCCCACGGGGGAACGGATCCTGCAACCGCAGTACTGATCGTTTTTCAAGGGCCAGCTATAAAGCACCGGTATCTTCTGGTCAACAAGCAGCCCCCGAACTAAGCAATTCGACACAAGATGCACCCCAGCGCCCTTCTCGGCCTTTTGGCCCTTGCCAGTGCTGCCTTGGCTATCCCTGCAAATTCAAAACAGGCTCATTCCGCCTCCTCCATCAAGAACTTGAAGTCCAGAATTAAGAATGTTGTCGTCTTGTGCATGGAAAACCGATCGATTGACAACATCCTCGGAGGGCAGACCATCAAAGGTCTGGAAAACCCTATCAACAATGGGCCTTATTGCAACCCATACAATGTAACCGATCCTTCGCAGGGGTTTCATTGTACCGCTCCGAGGGACTATAACTCTGTCACCAGTGATCCCAGCCATGCTGTCACTGGCAACACCATGGAGTTCTACGGTGAATGGACACCTGATAACACACTGATTGCAGAGGGCAAGCTAGTCCCGAATAACAATGGATTTATCCACGAACAGATTCACAATTACGGTTCCTCTGTCAATCAGTCTGTGCTGGCCACCGAGGTCATGAACTACTACACCGAAGACCAGGTCCCCGTTTTGACAGCTCTGGTCAACCACTTCGTGACCTTCAACCACTGGCACTCCGATCTTGCCGGGGTAAGCACAGCGACAAGTCCAGCACGGGGATCTAACTAAACGCTCGACAGCCCACCGATCCTAACCGCGTCGCACTGGTATCCGGCACCTCCGCCGGCCACGGAGCCAACGACCAATCCTTCGGTGACGACGTCGGGGGCTCCTAATCATTCACCCAGCGGTCCATCTTCCAGCAGCTCGGCGAAACAAACCACACGTGGCTCAATTACTGGGACCCCGCGGGCGGGACCGGTCCCGAGTCCCACTGGTTCGAGTGGACCAAAACCTCCGGCAACACCGAGAAGGTCGTACCGATCACGAACTTCTACGCCGACGCCGCGAAAGGCACTCTACCCGAGTTCTCCTACCTCAACCCCTCGTGCTGTGGCGTCGGCACGAATTCCATGCACGACAGCGGCTTGATCTCCGACGGCGAGGCCTTCATCAAGAGGGTGTACGAGGCTCTCCGTGCTAGTCCCCAGTGGGGGGAATCTCTCTTCATTCTCACCTTCGATGAGACGGGTGGTTTCCACGACCACGTCCCGCCCCCGCTGGCAACTCGTCCCGATAACCTGACGTACACGGAAAAGACCGCCAACGGGGAAGAGTATACCTATGAATTCAACCGTCTGGGTGGCCGGATTCCCACCCTTTTGATCTCGCCCTGGGTTAGCAAGGGATTCATCGAGCAGAAGGGGACGGATGCCGAGGGTCGGACTGTTTCTTACTCGGCGTCTTCGATTCTCCGGACCCTAGGCTACCTGTGGGATTTCGAGCCGTTCAACCCCCGCGTTGGGGATTCGGCTTCCTTTGAGCATCTGATTCGGTCTAAGCCTCGCACGAATGCTCCGTCGACCCTGCCGGATCCTGCGTCGTTCACTTTGTGAATGCTTCGAGGATCAACCTCATGCTGAATTCAGGACTCGCGCTTCTAATAACCGTCTTGAGTCATGGTTTCTTCGAGCACTAAAGCAAGACGAGCTCTCGTGTTGACTGTCGCACAAATTTGAAAGATCGAGGATACCCGTGGGTCCTACCCCCTAGGTACGAATGGGATAAAGGCATATCTAGGTAGAGTCTTTCCGTTTTTGATGAATGTCTTACATTCCAAATGGCAAAGCAGAAAGCAGGCCCTGTAGAATAGGAGCACAAACTGAGAAAAGACAGACATGCCATCATGACTATTCACCATTAAACCCGATTTCGTAAAATAGACACCCAAAGTGCACTAGCCTGGGAGCTAGATAGGTGGGGGAGGACTACAAGGGGCCAGGTTTTAAATCAAAATCATTAACCATAAGATCGCAAGTCGACAATCTCAAGGCGCATTTACGGATCCACAAAGAAACAAGACGCCCCTGGCGAAAACGAAAAAGACGAAGATCCCCATTCCTTCCAATTCCCGTTGAGTTCATATTAGTTCTGATTAGATGTTGTCATCACCAACACGCTTGGGCTCAATAGCGCCAGGTGGCAGCACATCCTCAAGCGTCTCGCCCGTGCCCTGAAGTTCCTCCTCCACAGGAACAGAGTCCTTAATCTTGAAAAAGACGACCGGAACAGCGATCAGGATCGAGCCGCACAGCAACCCGAAGTTCGAGGCGTACTCGTTCATGAAGGGTATCTTCTTTTCATCCAACGACCACATAACGGCTGCGCCGGCGGATTGCAACCCCTTGTAGAAGCCCGCCAAGTTGGCGAGCTTGCGACCGGAGTTACCGAGGGCGCCCATGATCCTGAGAAGAAAACAATGTCAGTGAAGGATGGCAGTGGACGAAAGCGAAGAGATCTTACCAGTAGACAGTACCCTGCCAGGCAGCATCGTACATGCCGTAGAAGAAGTAGAGGAACATAGGACCAACGTAGCCCTTGGTAGTCCAATCCCAGCCCATGAAACCCGTGGTCTTGGGATCCACATCTGCACGGGTGTACCTTGCCTGCCAAGCGTAGCCACCGCCCCAAATCACGACCGTGAGGATGAAAAGGCTAACCAAGGCTGCCTTGGCACGCACGGAACGACGAACGCGCTCCGTATCAAGCAGCGGACCCATGATGATAGCGGCCACGATCTGCGCAAACCAGTACAGGAAGCCGTTCAGCGCCTTAGTGCGCGTGTTGAAGTAAGCACCGTTAATGGCGTTCTGCTGATATGTGTAGAACCAGTTGGAGGACCAGAACATGGGGAAGAGGAGGACGATCCACGGTTCCGAGCGAACTGTATCCCACAACCCGATGATCTCGGACTTCCACGAGGGGTGCTTCATCAGGATGACGCGTGAGCCATCGCGACGGACGACTTTGTCTGCATCGCAGAGACACAGGGCCAGACAGGCGCCTGCGAACATGAGTACGATAAAGGCGATGTAGGTCCCGTCGCCGACGGTCTTATTCTCTGTGACATGGATGTTTTGGCCCAGGGGGATCTTTGGAATTGATTGGTTAGTGGCTGCTGTATGATGTAGCCAATGGGAACTGCAGGGCTAGATAAGGGGAGGATGAGCTTGTCTTACCAAACTACCAATACAGGCGCCGACGTTGAAGATACCCCAGAACCAGGCGAAGTAGCGACCCTTCTGCTGCTCGATCGGGTAGGACATCATGATGGTACCCTGAGCGGCCCAGAGCAGACCGGCGCAGACACCGAGGAAGGCACCGGCGAAGATGTTGAACCCGGGGACATATGCATGTTCGGAGACGAGAAGACTAATGGAGTAAATGCAGTACCCGATTCCACCAAAGGAGAGGGAAATCCGAACGCCCACACGGTTGACGACAGTTCCGGCGAAGAAACCCACCACCGCGAAGGTACTGTTCAGAGCGATGTTCTGTTGTTGTTAGAGAGTGGATCCATCAAGATAACCAAATCGGGGGGTTCGGAGTAGATGTGAAAAGTGGGGACACGAAAAGAAAATCCCAAAAAAAGTCCCGTCAAATCGTACCATTTTGTCCGCCAAGCTGGGGTCGGATTTTCCACCACCGCCCATTCCGCTCAGGGCGTTAAACATGCCTGGACAGAGGAAGCAGACAAAGGCGACCATGCCCAGCTGGATGCGTGGTGAGGCATACCAGCTCGTTGAGAAGTTGCCGATCTTTCTGGACTTGTACCTCCATCCTGCGGGTCGGGGTATGTCAGGTTCGAAAGAACAATCGGGAGTCTTCCGTTCATCCATTCTAAATGAAGGGGTAGTCATAGATGAATAGACGAATAGACGATCAAAGATGTAGAGAAGAATAAAGAGATATCGGGAGGAGGAGGAGAAGGAGGAAGAGGAAGAAGAAGATCAAGGAGACATGAGATCTTTAAAGCAAACAAATTGACATAACCAATGTACTACCACTTCCTGGAGATATAGACCGAGTTGTGATTACAAGATTAAACGGAGTAATCAGTGTTGCAGGGTTGCATTCAGTCACGAGTAGTTTAAAGTGGACTTGGACAAGACAGTAATTGGTGGCAGATACAGTCAGGGGTCGTTAATTGCGGGGTCTAGATGATTGGGGGCCGGGAACGCTTTGATGGTAGTGTTACACCCTGATGGTACTGTATCTTCTGAGGAGAGAATCTTGAAGATGTACTCCATCATGATTAGACTGGGCTAGTAGAGGGGATCTGGGTAAGTCAGACAGAGGAGACAGAAGAGAAGAAGAAGAAGAAAGAAAAAAAAAAAAAGGACGATAGAGGTGAGACCAAACAGTCAGAAAGCCCCACGAGACTGCGGGGAGATGTCTTTTTCGGAAATAAAAACATGTGACATCTGCAGATCGTAGATCTATCACAAATGTTGGAGGGAGAGATGCTTTTGCAATTCAATGGACTTTCAACTTCACACTCGAAAGGTATGCTCAATCGCTCTCGCTTTCTTCCTCGGACTCATTCTCGACTTTGGGTTCAAGATCACTACTGTCAGTGTCTTCACTGTCCTCACTGTTATCTTCCCCCTTCTCACTCTGCAAATCCGCGGGTGGTATATCCTGAGACTCCACACCTGGATCCTGCGCGTCACTCTCCGCATCTTCACGGGGTCTTTCTTCGTTCGGCCTTTCATTGGGCACTTCCTCGTACATTTCTTCATCTTGACTGACTTCGTTCCCGGATTCGTCGGTTTCCACCTCTTCATGCAGCTCGTCAGTCTCAACTCGAGTCTCCACTTCTTCGTTGTCCGGTTCCTCAATCTCCACTTCATTCTCCACTTCATTCTCCGCTGGTTCGTTGTGCGGTTCTTCAATTTCCACCTGTTCGTTCTGTTCTTGTTCAATCTCCACTTCGTCAGTCTCCACTGCTGCACTCCCCCCCTCTGCACTCTCCCCTTCCGCATTCTCCACAATCTCCACATCCTCAACCTCAGCATCTTCACTCTCCGCATCGTCGCTCGACTCCTCAGATTGAACGGCCCGAGCAGCCTGACTAAGCGGCTCCAGTTTGATATGCTGTGAGGGAGGGGGGCCATCAACATCCATAGCATCATCATCACTTTCCACGTCACTATCCAAGGCAATGCCGGTACTGCGATCCTTCTGCTTTCTCCCATCCCCTTCCAAGTGATCATCTTCTTCCTCGCGCTCCTGGAGCTCTTGGGCACGGCGCACACGTCGGAGGAGAACTGGATCTGGCCGCAGATCGTCCGCGGTCAACGGAATAGAACAAACAGGACACTTGACCACATGCACGCGGCGCTGGCCCCGACGAGAGGCCGGGGGCGCAATAGTCGTCGGGCTGCGATTGATCATATCCATAATAGCCTCCCGCTCGAAACTGTGCGGACATTTGGTGCTCGTCACGGGATCCTGGTACGGTGTGAGCGTCAACGGGCATTTGAGGGAGATGCGCTCGCGCTCAATGGCAATGTCGTCGTCGGAACCGGTGGGCGAGGCGCGACGGTTCTGGTTGCGTGTACGTGCAGCGGCCCCTGATCGCGTATTCGTAGCGTCCATGTGGTCGAACCATGTAGATGAATGAGGCAGTGGCGGGACGTCGTCGCCGGGGAATTTGGAGTCGTGTACCATGCGGTAGAAGCCGATGTAGGAGTTATTGCTGGCATACCTTCATTGTCTTCATTAATTTCTGTGCCTTCGAGTGTCACGGTCGCAAGTATGACCAGCAGTAGTTCTCATACCTCTCTGTCAAAGAAAGCTCATTCCATTTCTGAACACCCTTCGTCAACTTATCCACCAGTTTGCGACTAGGCGGGTTCTGTGCATTGCGCTCCCGCATCTCCTTCTCCTGCTCGTCTTCGTAGTCACCATCAGTCGGATCCTCAGTCCCATCGGCATCATCGCCACCCCGGGCTCTCTGTCTTGCCCGCCGTTGACGGGTCTGTCTCACTCCCAAAGCAGCAGCGACCGTCTCGCCCTCCTCCCTTTCGATTTCACCCATCGCATCCGTCAACCCCTGGAGCTTGATTTCTGAATCGACAATCAGTCGAGTCTTCTCCTCCAACTTCGCAGTAATAGCATTGACTCGGGTCTCTTCCTCGGCAAGCCGCTGGTACTCCTCATTGGCCTCGTCGTCGTCGACATTCTTGTCGCCCTGACGCCGGCGCGCTTCCTTCATTTTCTCATACCGGGTCCTGGCATCGCTTAGGCGCTCGTTAACTTCACCACCCGAGTGTGTAAGTTTCTCGGCGGCATGTTGGAGGTGGGTGCGGAGGGTGCGGAGGTGCTGTGATGCGAGGAGGGCCGCGATTTGACGCTGGCTTTCAGCTGTGAGAGGAGCTTCGGGGATTTCATATTCTGGCAGGGGTGGTGCTTCTGATTGTGAAGTGTGGGCGTTTCGTCTGCGTGATTGTGTTGATTGTGGCTGAGATAACGCTGAAGGCCGTCGGCTGGGCGTTGCCGACATGATGGTGAGGAGTGAAATATGGTAGTGGGAAGGTTAAGAAGACCCGGATTTTTGGGGGCTTTATGCTTTGCTTCGAACGCAGGGTTCTCAAGCCGTTGACAAAGAAAGTCCAAGCATCAAAACGCATCTCGAAATCCCGGCGCGAGACGCGATGACACTAGTCCTGTTTAGGGTTACATGACTAGCGATAAGCCTTATCAGTGGGCCTCGTAACTAGAAGCATGACGAGCATTGCTCTGCGAGGCACTCTGAAATTGTTCTCTTCTGCATCGTCTACATCCGTATTCCTCTGTTTTTAGAAATTATATGACCAACCAGTTACCCAATAGATGAAGATGTGGCTACATCATCCCTATCATCACCATTCCATGCTTTTATGTTCTAGATCTAGATGACACAGTTTCCTTTTTCCTCGAACACAAGGGATCTACAAAGTAAAGGTGCAAAAGAATCAGAAAATAAAATGAACGTCAATTTCATTTATCATGGACTACAAGACCCTCGCCATGTGCCTCGATCTTGCCCGATGAACGACGTTGTGAACTCTACCTGGAACGACCAAGTCAGAATGGCACGCCTCAATCATACTCAACGACCAACGAGCGATAAGGGTTTCTTGCTTTGTTGGGCTGCCTAATTTCGTATTTGTACTGAAACTCATCCAAATCGGACGATAGCCGCAAAAACCATCACGCCCGATCCAACTGCCACGTCAAAGATGCGGTGGCTTGGCGTCCGTATACATGTAGATGTACCTTCAAGCGTAAGAGGTGGCGATTTCTTAGAAAATTGGGGAGGCTGTGGAGGATCTTACTGGGCCCGTGCCTAATCCGATGGGGACTGGGGGGGGGGTTCGCAAGCTTACTTTCTTGCGGCTAAGATGGCGCGTATTGAGGCGTAGGGATTAGTTAGGTTTATGATGTTTTTGAAGGTCACGAACGTGGTAGAGATTCAGCAGCAGGATTCATAGAGAGGAGTGAGAGGGATTTGGGCATAGTAGGCTCGTTTGTTGAGAAAGCGAACTGGGGGTTTGATTGAAGGGAATGGTTATCTCTGTAGACGGGAATTGATTTGCGGATTGCAATGGTGACTCATGTCATTCAGGTATTGTTAGAAAGTCTGGTTGTTTTAATCAAGTTGATTTTTTTGTGGAAATTGAAGATATAAGCGCTGAGCCATGAAGAGGTTACACACGTGACGAATGGAATACTCAGAGCACCCGGGATGGCCTATACCTTGTAGAAGCAGTATGCATGGTAGAAGCCTAGTCATCTGTGAGAAGTCGAGAAAAACAATACATATATAGGGGGACTACTCACTGGCGGCCTCCTTCTCTTCCTCTGTCATATTCAAAGCACCAGTCGCGCGGTCTCTTACGCCCATCCGCTCACTGAGCGGACCCAGCTCGGGGTGATTCTTCTCATCCTCCCAAATATCCAAAAACGGTTTGCGGTATTGTAGTTCTAGATTGTAGTCCTCGGTTAAGCTGGGCAAAAGGTTAGTTTTGCCTGCCAGAACGTGATAATGGCCGATACTCACGCTCGGAAAGCCTCCCATGGAACAACGTATTCGGGAACCTCTTCCACTGCCTCCTTCAGAAAGTAACTGTACTTCCACCCGAAAGGCGGACGGAAGATTCCATCCTCAGGGGTTGCGCCCGGGAACTGAACGCGGTAGATATCGTTGCCCCACTGGGCCCGTTCATCCTCCTCGACTTCACCATCCTCGGGGCCTTCTGGCTCAGCAGGTTTGGCAGCCTCGCGCTCCTTACGCTCCTTGTGGAAAGTAGATACACGGCTGGTAACGACGTCTGAATTGGGGCAAACGCCAAGGAAACGACCGCCTTTCTTCAGACAGCCAGCGACATTGCTGAGCATTTGGCGCGTCTTCTCCTCGGACTCAAAGGCGTAATGAATGGCAAACATGGACGTGACGACGTCAAAGCCACCACCGCCATAGCGGGAGGCCATGATAGACCCACCCGGGCCGGCATTAGCATCAATGCCAACTCTCTGGACGATGTCAACATCGCCCAGCCACTCACCAAAGCAGTCTTTCGGATAGAACTCGGCATGGAAAATCGGCTGGGGAGGTCGGCGGCCTCGCTGACCGCGGCCTGTGCGCATTTGATCATACCGGCCCCGCGCCTGCTCGATGGAGATGTTGGCAGGGTCAAGACCGACATAGAGGTCGACCGGCTGTGGCGCCAGCTGCCACTTGCCCAGGTCGCCGCCTTTACCACAACCAAGATCCAGTACGAGAAGCTTTTGATCAGCGGGGGGCGGCGGTCCTTGGCTATCGTCCGCCCAGTTCTTGCTATCCTCGAATCGTGCGACAAATGTCTCATCAGGAGAGAACTTCTGAATCAAGGTACTCTTCACCCAGTTGTTGAAGCTTCGTAGCCCCTTGATCTTGCTCTCTGTCTTCCGCCACTCACGGCCTCTCTCGGGAACTGCATTGTAGTGTTGTCGAACCACGTCCGCGACACCGCGCTGCTGGGAGTTGCGTATAGCCTCATCCTGCTCCGCACGTTCACGTTCCTCCTGCTTGCGTCGGAGTGTTTCACGGTCTAAGATTCCCTGCCGCGCCCCGCCACCAGGTCTCTTGCGTTGACGTGGTGCGTCGGGGGAGGGAGAGCGGCGCGGCTGTAGTGGCGATCGAGAGCGTCGGTCTTCGCGTGGTGGCGCGCCGCCTGGGCTGCGGGAGCGGTTGCGTCGTGAGAATACTGACGGCGGAGTCCGGCCTCGTTTTCGGAGGGCTTGATGTCTCTCCTGAAGTCTCTTACGCTTGGACGCCGCGCTTGATAACTGGTTCGATCCGTCTGCCGCACCGTCTCCTTCGATGCTCCTGTGTCTGCCGGGATCCGTTGAATGGTATGTGGTATTCGTGCGGGAAGGAGAACGGGGGGTAGTCCGCCCAGGTGCTCTGTCATGAGCTCCATCTCCATTGGAATAATCCATGGCGACGTAGGTAGGAATTGTCGACCGTTCAAAGAAGCGATTCGGGAGAACAGCGGTCGAGAGAATCTGTCGAGCAAAGAACGAAAGGGGTATGCGGAGATCACCACACTGGAAGAAATAGAGAATTTCAGTTCAATTTCACAGAAACCACAGAAAAATCCCCTCTAGGGTTGTGGAAATCGGGGTTATATCAGAGCAATGGGTAGCTGGGGGTCCGAAGAAAGTCCAATGAGCTCCGGATCTCGGCCAATCAGAGTGTCCCAACCCAACCCTAGTTCCCATTGATCTGTCTACAACTTTTCATGGATTCTTAAGATTACAGCGTGTAGAAATGCAGATGAGATACACCTGATTATGATCGTTGCGAAGTGTCGTGTCTCACAATGACCACAAATCGAAGCTATCTGAAAAACACCAGCCGCTAAAAAATGCACTTTGAGGCTCTTCATAGAACCCGCGCTCCCAGTTAATGTAATATTGAATAGAAATGAGGATCAGAATGCAAGATCATTGGGGCAAGACAGCTTTCCGTTTAGGCGACTTGGCCGTCAAAACCTGCCTTACTCGTCGAATTTTTGCCCACCACTCGCGGTCTGCTTTCTTTTTCGCATCCGCATTTTCTTCGCCTGCAGGCTCTATCGATGTGCCTGACTCCGTCCGCAATGTATCGGTGGAGGCCATAGTGCGAACTCTGCGGCGGTGTTTGACCTTTACGGCCTCCGCAACGATCTGCCACCCAGCACGTAGCTCCGTCAACTTCTCGTTGGGCCGCCCAGTTCCGCTCTGGGCCACTTTATCGATCCAGGGACAATACTCCATATGCTCATCAGCCACATCCAGGGAAGTGTAGACGGTAGCATCTCCATCATCTTTGGGTTTGTACATCCATAACCCCAGCCGACGGAAACACGCACCACACCCGACTAACCCCGCGGCTCCATCAGAGGCAGTATCCCAGCCTAACAATGATAGTGCCAGGGCAGCTCGATTGACAACCTTCGAAGTTTCTATTGAATCTTGATTGTTGATGTTTGTAGGTTGAGTCTCTCCGCTGGTGGATATAGCAGCTTTCTCGGCCTCTTTGAACCATTCTTCAGGAAGTCCTTTGATAAGCACATCAATGTCAAGTCCTTCTGGAGTCTGAATAATATCCTCAGCTGGTAGTTTATCGCCTATTTTCGAGATGTTTGTGTATCGCTCGTGAAGTCCCGATAGTGCAGCATCACAATTGGTCAAAGGGAGATGTTGGATAGTAGCTAATTCGATGTAAGTAATAAGATCAAATTTTCGCAGTGTCTTATTCAGACTCACCATCGCAGCTCTTGTTTCGCCAGGGACAGTTTTCGCCATGAGCACTGCTTAGCATTTTCGCATACTCATCCACCAGCCTCGCGCCTGCAGGTGTGTAAGTTGACGTTTATTTCCCCATTCAGCTGGGCCAGCAATCTGTTCAATCACTCACGGACTTCCTTCCGCTCCTCCACCTTCTCAATGTTGAAGCCATCAAGCTCATCGATTTCATCAGGGAGCTTTACAACAACTGCGCCACCGCATACACTCACGCAGGTGACGCGCATGACATCCGTACATATCCACCCACGTTTCGCCCATTGTACTTCATTTATCGGAGACGGCTTTGACGTCCATCGGTCGACACGGCGGAAGGTTTCTAACCGCTCGAGAAAACGTTCGCGGTCCCAAGGGACAAAGGTTGGGCGGTTGTTTGAATTTGCGGAGGCTACTCGGTGCGCTGGTCGGGATATCTGGTGGATTGATTTGCGTACCGCCGTGAGATCTGAACGGTCGGTACTGGCCAAGCGTACTTTCTTGATCGATAAGTTGGCGGAGATACGGTCTTGCACCGTCGTGGGCGTCGCAGGGGCTGGTTTGGGCGCGCTATCGGGCGTAAGAGGCTTGGATATTGATTCAAGGACACGGTGAAATTTGCGCTTCTTTGATTCTAGAGCGTAGGACATATTGGCGCCGAGTTGGGAAGCAAGTCAAGTGATGCGGATCAATCTAACGCGGAGGATTTGGAGCGGCGGCGATCACAACGCCCGAGGTGTGTCCGCCTGAGGCATCAACATCTATATTGGGCCCGTACATAGATAGCCACGGTCAGTTCTAAATCGAACAGTGTAGATGTGAATTACTAATCTAATTACACTGTCAGCGGTTGTGTACTGTTGACGGTGCCATTCCACGCCGACAAATGCTCCACTGCTGATTGGCCAACGCATTCCGTGACATCGTGCAATTCCCGAACATGACTAACTTTCTTCCTTCACTCATCTGCCTCAACCATGGCTTCTCTGGGGAGCTCTCTGTCGCTATGGCGGGGTGTTGCCCCTCGTTTGGCCAAGGATTTTTTCACATCCCAATGCCTCCCAAGTCAGGGCTACGCAGCCAAATCAATCCGCCAGTTCGGTGCCATTCAGTTCCGTCAACCCAGCAAGATTCAATCGAACCTTCTGAACAATAAGAGATTCTTCACCTCAAGTCTCAAGCGTCCAAATGCCGCGCCAGCCGTTGTAGAGGCGATCGAAGAGGGTGCCACGAAAGCCAAGTCGAGCTTCCCGAAAATTAGTGACAAGGCCGTTGCCTACTGGCTTCTAGGCAGCGCGGCTAGTGTTTTTGGAATTGTAGTATTCGGTGGTCTGACACGGTTGACAGAATCAGGGTTCGTGTATTCACAAAAAGCGAATTTCGAATGCTGACGGCACGAATTTTGGCACAGATTGAGTATCACCGAATGGCGACCTGTTACCGGCTCCCTCCCCCCAATGAACGCGGAACACTGGGAGGATGAATTTTCAAAGTACCGCGCCTCTCCCGAATTTCAATTGCTTAACCCGAATATGACTCTTTCCGAATTCAAGTCGATCTACTATATGGAATGGATTCATCGGCTCTGGGGCCGGTTTGTCGGAATCTCGTTTGTGCTGCCTGCAGTCTACTTCGTCGCCCGGAAGAAGGTTTCCAAGCCCATGGCGTTGCGTGTCTTTGGCATTGCCGGTCTTATAGGTTTCCAGGGTTTCCTTGGCTGGTGGATGGTTAAATCTGGCTTGAAGGATGACCTCTTTGCTCCGGGCAGTCACCCGCGAGTGAGCCAATACCGTCTGACAGCTCACCTGGGTGCTGCTTTCGTGTGCTACGTCTCGATGTTGTGGAACGGTCTTGCTATTTTGCGATCTCACCGGTTGATGGCCGATCCAGCCGCTGGAATCAACCAGCTGAATGCGCTGCGAGACCCGAAGCTGGCCTTGTTCCGCCGCTCAGTTGCTGGTATTGCTCTCTTGGTCTTCACAACTGTCATTTCCGGTGGTCTCGTCGCCGGTCTTGATGCTGGACTTATCTACAACGAATTCCCATGGATGGGTAAGGGACTAGCGCCTCCCAAGGAGGAGCTGTTCGATGCCCGCTACTCCCGCCACGAAGACCGCTCCGATCTCTGGTGGCGCAACATGCTTGAGAATCCTTCTCTTGTTCAGCTTGACCACCGCGTCCTCGCCATGACCACCTTCACTGCTATCTGTGCCTTGATGGCTTACTCCCGTGCCTCGCCCACCATGAAGCGCTTCCTGCCGGCGCCTGCTAGAAAGGGTGTCCACGGTGTGTTCGGATTCGCCTGTTGCCAAGTCGGACTCGGCATTACTACTCTTCTCTATCTCGTTCCTACTCCACTTGCCTCCGCCCACCAGGCTGGCAGCTTGTTCCTTCTGACCTGGGTCATGATCTTAGGCAGCAGAATCTGGCATCCCTCGCGGACAGCCAAGCTGTTGCAGATGGCTGTGAAGGCTCGCTCCCAGCAGCTTTCTAGCACTGCTGCCTCCGCTGTGAAGAGAGTATAAAACCACTCTGGCTCTTGACTGTATGAATATGTCGGCCAGGGTTGATTGTGTCAATCAATCGCCTTGGCACTTGATACCATCTCCATTCATCTGTTGATTCTAGCGATGCTCGAGTCTTACTGTATAACTAGCACAACTACGCACTTATTGTAAAAACAAAATTTGAACTAAATCGAAAGTTATTGGTTGATCCACTAAAAGTCCAAAGTTGGTTTTTAACAGCACGCTAAACGGTTTCTTTTTTTTCTTTTTTTTTCTTTTTTCCTTGCCCTCCCTTGTTCTTCGTTCTCGCTTCTTCGTTCTCGCTCTCCATACTTCTTTGTCCTCATCTTCCCTGTCTCCGCACATTTCTTTCGCCTTTTTTTTTGCATTCATTTTCAGTTCTCGGTGAAATTTTCTTGCTCTTGTCTGCCCAGTAAATCCAGACCAACTTACTCCGCCAATTTCGTAGACGGTCTTGCAGCACGCGCAGGGTTGCGCCGTGTAATGATGTATCCAACAGGCAGACCATCTTCACCAATCGGGATATCAGACTCATTCTGAGGCCACTCCGCATCTCCGACAACCGACAAAGTCACATCAGAACCAGTAGACAAAGCATTTACCTGCTGCTGCAAGACTCGGCCACGTGCAGGAACCACTTTCTGTCCACCTGCAGTGCCTTTCATATCGCGGGTGAGGGTAGTAGTTCCGACTCCGTTGCCAACAGATCCAAGATCCAGCAGGGTTTGCGCAGCCCTAACTTCAGCAATCGACTCAGAGGAGCGGTGGTCTTGATTTCCATCGACACCTGGCAACAACATAGGCATATCGCCACCACCCTCGGGGACATGAGTAGCCCCAAAGGAAGCGTGAGTTCGGTCTCCATTTCGGTCTGTCAGACACTTGCGGCAGATTTGCCAGCCGCAGTTCTGGCAGCGAGACATACCGTTCTTGTTGCGCTTGTTGCATACATCGCACTTTGCGGTGTGGGCTGCCACCTCTGAGAAGCGGACGCCGACTCGCCTTCTCTGGGCTCGGTGGGCTGCGACTGCATCGTGGTTGACCCTTTGGCGGTGGACCTGATCTCTTGCCGGGGCTCGATTTATCAGGGTTTCTCGAGGCGCGTTAGAGGGATTTCTCTCCGGGGTTGATGACACCGGGGTGTCTGGAGATAGCGGCTCGCGGACTGTCGACTGCGTGGAGCTAAGAGTCGACAGCGTGGGGGTTGGGGATACCTTGAATGGCAATGTTTCCTTCAACCGTTGAGGGAGTTGAGGGGTGCAGTTTCTCTCTGAAGGATGGGCTTATAAGCTATGCCTTTACCCTGAGAGGTGGGCTTTTGATCTTTCTTTCATACCTCTGTCCACATTCCTATTGCGTTGAACCACCCCGGCAAAGACCTGTTTTCTGGAAAGTCAGCTGTGAATGGCATTCACTGTCTCGTGTATCTATTGCTCTGCACGCACATCATGGGAGGTAAATCCGGGCCCTCGAAACGCCTGACTAGACTTTAGCACAATATCTCAAGTGAGAGACGGATGGACACAAACATTCTGACTGGGGTCAGGTGGGATATGCCATCCATTAGCTGGATAGGGTGGGTACGGGTTGGGAATGGGATTTATCTTCTGCGGCGAAGACGAGGAACTGTAACCTGTTCCATCGCACACATTTTCAGAAGGATGTGAGCTCGGTTGGTTGCGCCTGTTGGCTTCGACAGACTCATCGAGCTCTCGAAAAGATGGGAGACTTAGGTCTGGGATGCGAGGGAGAGGCATGGTAGGATGACCCATGATTTCAAAAGAGCTGTACTCGATGGTACTTGATGTTTGAAGATCAAAAATACTTTGAGCTAACGGAAAACAGAGAAGGGGGGGGGGAGGGTACAAAAATGAAAATCAAAATGGATGTGTAGATAAAAGGCTTGGGGTTGATGAAGGGTCTCAGATGTAAGTGGTACTGGGCATTGTTATATACACAGTCTCTTGGGATCGGATGATGCCTGCTGGTGTGAGGAGAGGGCCACTTAAGGGCAAGCAAACAGATCAGAACCCTCGAAAACTAAGCCCCTGGTTAATCTGGTGAGGACAACCTACTCGTGGGTCCATTGGCCTGCTTTCTGGCGAAGAGATACCTGAGATCAGCAAGATCTCAGTATCAACGAATCTTGCATTGGATATACTGTCAAACTCATAGTCTGGACTTTTCTCACCCTCAACATACATCTTGATCTAGGTCTCTTCTAACAGGACTGGATTTCGGAAGCTCTTTCCATTCGAACGGTCTCTTTGCGCCTCCCCGACCTCTCCATCGAAGCCGTCGATGGACTCCAAGTGCCACTCTACGACGAGCCAACCGGCTCAGCAACTCATCTACCAACGGTGTCATCTACGCAGTTTTTACAATAGCAAACGGTCTCAAAACCATGCCCCTCTCTTTCTCGACGGTCAACTTGGATGTGCAGAGCTTTCACTTACCACGTGCTATGATCCCACAGTACCTCTCTTTCGACGAAAGTCATCCCTCATCAGTACTACTTCACGCACGCCTCTCCAAAATGACTACTTCGGCCTCTAGCATCGCAGAGCTCAAGCTCTCGGGCCTCCTCCCAATCCTTACCAGCGAATCCAACTTCGTGTCGTGGCTAACCGTAATCATATGCGCTCTCGACACTCGGGAGCCTCACTTTTTCGAGATTCTCATCGGCAAAGCGCTCCAAGAATCCATCGTTCACTAAGTGAACTGGTAACTCTTGCCACCTTCTTCCGTACCTTCTCGCTACTACAATTCAGTGTCTCAAACCCGACGTGAAGAGCGCTTTGAATTCTCTCGTCATGTATCAAGGCCTATACAGAGCCTTCGCGATCCCTGCATAAAACAACGTTTGGAAATTGGCTACATCGCCTTGATTTCTTGAGAACCTATTTGATTTGCTGCTTTTATCAAGAAACAGAGAATTGCGTGCAACCCCCAAGACGCATCACACATCAAGAGTATCAATCTTCTCTGCTCGGGCAATCATGTCATTTTATTCATTTGTGGGCTGTATGTTCATCGTCAGCGATATCGGCTCGTGGAGATTTGCTGATACTAATAACATACGAATTCCTTCCTCTGGGCTAGGCTCGATGCCAGCGACTTCGGCGGCAGTCTTGGGGTCGGCAGCAGTCTTGTCGTCCTTCATCATGGGGAAGGTCATGACCTCCTTGATGCTGTAGTTGTCGGTAAGGAACATAACCAAGCGGTCAATGCCCATACCCCAGCCACCAGTCGGGGGCAGACCGTACTCGAGAGATTGACAGAAAGTCTCATCAACCATCTGGGCTTCGTCATCACCCTGACTCTTCTGGTTGGCCTGCTCCTCAAAGCGCATACGCTGGTCAAAGGGATCGTTCAACTCGGTGTAAGCATTTGTGATCTCCTTGGTGCTGTAGGTGAAATTAAATTAATAAAGAATTCCAGGAATCTGATTGGTCAATTCGGGGGGGGGAAGCAAATTTAGGCCAGTTTTTGAAATTGGGCAAATTTGGAAAGAGAGATGGTTGTGGGCAACCATAAGTTGAATGAGCACTTACCAAACAAAGGCCTCGAAACGCTCGCAAAGACCAACGTGCTCGCGGTGTTTCTTAGCCAATGGCGACATCATTTGGGGATGACCAGTGATAAAAGTGGGGTTGATGCAAGTGTTCTCGATGAACTCGCCAACCAGCTTGTCAAGCATGCGAGCATTGGTCTGAGGAGCAGAGCACTCCACCTTCATCTTCTTCAAAATGCGCTTGAGGAATTCGTTGGTCTCCTGAGTGTGGAGCTGGTCACCGGCAGGGAACTTCTCGCCACAGGCCTCCTCCAGAGCAGGCATCATCTCCACTCGCCGCCATGGCGCCTTCCAGTTCACGTTGTAGGTTTCGCCAGACTGAGTATGGAAGACTGTCTCATAGCCACCAGTGACATGCTTAACCAGACCGGAAACGAGGTCCTCGGTCAGGTCCATCAGGTCGTACACATCCGCATAAGCCTGGTAAAACTCGCAGGAGGTGAACTCGGGGTTGTGAGTAAGGTCAATTCCCTCATTACGGAAAGATTTACCTATCTCGTATACGCTATCGTGAATTAGTGGGTATGCAAAGGGCAAAATTCGAGAACTTGACGTACCGTTCCATTCCACCTACAATAAGCATCTTAAGGTAGAGCTCAGGAGCGACACGCATGAAAAGGTCCATGTTGTGTTCATTGTGATGGGTTACAAAGGGCTTAGCAGTAGCACCACCGGCAATAGCGTTCATCATGGGAGTTTCAACCTCGGTGAAGTCACGGCTATCGAAGTACTGGCGGATGTAGGAGACAATCTTGGCCCGAGTCCGGAAAATTTCACGTGATCGGTCATTCATGATGAGATCTAAGTAGCGCTGGCGGAAACGCAGCTCTTTATCCTGGAAGCCATAGTGTTCGGAAGGAATGGCATGCAAACAGGGCGACAGGAGAATGACCTCAGTAGCGAAGATAGAAAGTTCACCGTCGTCACGGTTCTTAGGGCTGGTTCGACCGGGAAAACCGACGATACCCACGATATCACCTCTGCGAAGTAGCTCGTGCTGTTCTTCAAAGGGTTTTCCTGTCGAAAATTGAGCTTGGCACATCACTTGGACCTTAACACCCTCTGCGCGGATATCGTAGAAATTCAGCTTGTTGCCGGAGGTACGCTTAGTGTAGATACGGCCAGCAATGCGAACGGTGACATCGGGCTTCTGTTCGCCTTTCTGGAGACTCTCATAGTCCTTGAGGAATTTACGGAGGTCGGTATCGACATGGAACTTGTGCGGGTATGGCTCCGGCTGCTTGGTCTGACGCAGCGTGTTGATTTTCTTGCTGCGGATCTCGAAGTATTGCTGGAACGACACATTAATTACCTTCGCAGAAAAAGGGGAATTGGCTCAGGAGCAATAGAACTAACGTTAGGAGTCAAATTGGCCTCGTCGTCCTCGGCGGATGATTTCTTTTCAGCCTTGGGCTTGGGGGGAGCAGCGGCCTCCTTCTCCTTCTTCTTGGCGTCCTTCTCACGCTGCTTCTGACGTCTCTTCAATTCGGACTTGGAGACTTTCTCACCAGTGACATCATCGAGAAGGAGGTTAGCAATGGAGGCCGTGGCCTCTTGAACAGGGTTGGAATCCGCCATAACGTTTGGTTACAGAGAACAAAAAGTGGGATGGTGGGATAGTGGGATATGGACTGGAATTTTTGGGCGGGATCGGCGTAGAATCTGATTGGACCTCCAGTTCGCGGGGGTCTTCCACTTTCATGACTCACTCTGAATTTAACCCAAGAACTCGTTCATGAAGGCATTGAGATAACTGCCTGTTAAAACCAAATTTTAATACCGTTTTTAGATTCAAAAACTATTCTACTGCCTGGAATATGCTTCGTCTCTCATTCTCGAGTACAGGGCCTGGATGCATAAGTAGGATTTAGGGCTTAGGGCACGGGATTATACATCGATGTCTTTCCCCAATAGTTGCAAATGCTCCTCCAGTCACAGTATAGGTGAGCCCGGAAGTAGGTAGATATCATCGCCCACAGACATTTCAACACCAACACTATAGGAACATCCTCGCTACAAATCAAAGTAGTCGCTGTAGCATTTCTGCTAGGTACGCTGCCGCTATCCATGATCGAACCACCAACAGCAACACAGGCCTGCTTTATCGTGGTTTTCCTTGTGGTGGCTGATTGCAGTAAACTGGAAATTTGTTTTGATATTTGATTTCTTAGGCCATCAGTTAAACAAGTTGGATTAGTGTGGCTTGCTCAATGGCCAAGCGTACACTGCACCGTGGCGCAAAGTGGCAGAGTACCTTGATACAATCAGTCGAAACCACTAGTTAGTTTAGAGTTGCCTTGTTGAATCGCTGGGCACACATCCCTAGCACTATCGGATCAGCACATGAGACTCACTGTTTGTTGGAAATACGTAGGACGAAAGGTCCAAGGAGTGAGAGACAGTGAATGACTGATACCCAGGTGTTATATCTCTTGAGACAAAGTTTCACGAAGTTGAAAAAGAGGATAAAGGCTGTACCGAAAGGAAAAAGTGAAAGATAAAGAGACACAGCATGAAATGCATAGTGTTGAAGACCTGAGATGACTACTGTGGCCAGAGTTGATAGAGCTAGTCGTTACTTCTACCTGGGAGTATACCGATCCTTAAGTAGCAACCCGAGTGCTTAGGACGTTGCCGATATAACAGACTCGCTGGCCCGTGGGGTGTTTTACAGAACAGGTTTGTGAGAATTATCATATAAGGGCTAGCTCAGCAACCAGGCAATCCACTCATTTTACTGACCTCCATTAAAGATGACCGCAGCTCATAGATCCTGCAATTGTAGCAAGATAACTTGAAGAACCTTGAGCGATTTTCGATCTGAACAAAGTTGGAGAGAACAAACAACTTACGAGCCAGTGCTACTTCGCGACAAACTCGGTCACCAGACTTGTATAAATTCAAATTGTAGAAATCCGGAGCGGGGAGATGAGTGATGTGCGCCTGCAGAAGCAAGGCCACTCTTGTCAGTAGCACCTGATAGCCACCACGTGGTGTCGACTATCTTCCGTCTCTTCTTTTACGGATAGGCGAGAACTTCTTACGTCCTTTCTTTATGGTGTCGTTTATCATTTTCGAGCCGTCTCAATCAATTTGCTTACTTTTTCTTCTTTGATCCTTCTCTAGCTGCCATTCTCAAGGGCCAATCTTTGTTCTTCGCCATCTTCCTTCATTCACCCATCCCCTCAAACTCGATCCCATGCGTCTCCTTCATTAACCAACCCCAGTCTATTTCTGTATGCTACGTTTGCCTCTGAGCTGTCTATTTCGCCCCCGATACCCCTCATTACTTGCAGTTGCTTTCACTCTTTCGGCTAACTTGGTATTGAGAATCACGCGTGTCTCGAATTTGAATCCGCCCTCATATCCTCTGTCTTCTTTGTCTATTCTGTTTGGTGTGTCTCATTTTGTCTTTTCCGATAGTCAGAAACCCTGGGCACCACCTTCTGTCTCCTATCATTCCGCTCTTCTGGCTAACCACCGATCTTCCAGACGTGATCCTCCACTATGTCAGGCCTGTATGACCGAGTTCCGAAGTCAGAATCCAGTCCAGCAGTTTGTGAGTTCAGTCTCCCCCAATTAAGAAGGTTTTCTCGCTGACTAGCATCTTCATTCTTCTAGCTGGCTTAGCTGCTTCAATGCCGACATCTCAAGGGCTACCTGCCGCCCACCCAATTCCCAGTTCTTCTCTTGACAATCTGACGATGGACATGAAGAACCTAGTCAAAAAGATTCAAGATCTCAGTCATCTGGGAATTGAGGACAGCAAGATCATGCTTCCCAAGATATGTGTTGTCGGTGATCAGAGCACCGGTAAAAGCTCCCTCATAGAGGGGATTTCCGAGATCAACCTTTCCGAAAGCGCTAACAACTGGAAATGCGTGATCCACCTATCACGCCGCTACATCTTCGATCCATCGAAGCGGATGAAAATGCCGAAGAAGTCAGAGCCACTAGGGCCATGGATTGCCCTTGGTGGTCAAGTTGATGATCATTTTATCACCTTGTATGATAAACAGGAAGTCGAAAGGGCTATCAGGTGCGCCCAGCTAGCAATTTTGAACCCTAGCACAGATTCGCATGATTTTGTTCCCGAATCCACCGACATAGCACAGGCACCTCAGGTTAAGTTTTCTCCGAATGCCGTCCGCTTGGACATCTTCGGCTCGGGTCTTCCCAATCTCTCGTTTTATGATCTGCCTGGAGTGATTAGCCAGATCGAACAGGATAATGAACGATACCTCGTAAACCTAGTCGAGAACCTGGTGAAAAATTATGTTTTTCAAGAGCATTGTGTTGTCCTCCTCACACTGCCAATGACAGGCGATGCGACAAACTCCAGTGCTGCTCGTCTCGTCCGGGATATCAAGGGCGCAAAAGAACGTACCCTTGGAGTCCTGACTAAGCCAGATCTGCGGCCCTCTGTTGAAGCATTTGATCAGTGGCATGAGATTTTGGATGGCAGCAAGTTCAAGCTCGGTCACGGTTATTATGTCATTAGGAACAACAATGACCCCCTTGTCAGTCATGCCCAGGCTAGGATGGAAGAAGAGATGTTCTTCGGTTCCTCTCTGTGGACAGGAGATCTCGCCGTATTCAAGGAACGTTTTGGTACTCGACAGCTTCAAACAGCGCTGTCTGACCTTTTGATGCGTCAGATCTTAAGATCTTTGCCATCGATCATAGCCCAGATTGATGAAAAGTCGAAATATATTGACGATGAACTCCAAACTTTGCCCAATCCTCCTACTGAGGATGTTCAGCGGATTCCTTGTGGCAAGACCTCGGACCCTGAACGGAAGATTCATGAACTGTTTGATGGGACCCCCAGTATTGAGCACGGTTCCTCTCAAAGAAGGCCACTACAAGAGCAGTGGAACAAAATTGGTATGGATCTCCAGACCGCACTCGCAAAGACGCGGCCTATCTAAGACGTTGCTGCGCAAAAGGACAACGAAGACTTGGCTGAAGTTGTTGATTCCGATTGCGCGATGAAGATCGTGGGCGTTAACATGTCCACACCAAAGAAGCGAAAGTCGCCTACAAGCATTGCTTCTCCATCTGAACCCGCAACTCCGAGAAGGACCGTGTATAATACCTCCCACTTCGAAGGGTCGAAGTCGACCAGAATCAGTCTGCAACAGCTTACATAGCTCAAAATTCGCTCCAATACAGTTGGTGTACCAAACCAGCTCGATCCCCGGGCAATTGAAAATCTGAACAAAAGAAGCGTGGAACATTGGGGAAAGCTGATGGAGATTTTCCTGAAGGCTACATAGCCTTGTACTCGGCATGTTGATTGAAGCTCTTGAAGAAGAGTTTGCGCAGTACCATCAGACTGGGCTATATCAGGAACTCAGCAGAATTTTGAAAGAATTCTTGAGCAAGCTCCGCCATGCTCATTTGCAAATTGCTCAGGATTATTGCAAATCCGAGCGAGAAATGCCATTCACAAGGGCCCAAGGTCAACATCAGGTCTTGATGCAACAGGCTTCAAACTCTTTAAGAGCTCGTCGACACATTGCTCGCGCCGCGTGCTGGTTGAAAAATTCGTGGCCACGACATGAGTGACGAAAGAATTTCCGACGAGATCAAGAAGATTCAACCAAAGCAATTAGGTCCTGATAGAAATGCTCAAGAAATTGAGATGATGGCGGTAAGCCTTCTCGGGGGAGGAGGGGGGGGGGATTTTGTGACATTTGCTAATTACAGTCATAGAGCTCGTTGGCCTATTACGAAATTGCATCTTCTCGCTTCCTAGATGTCTTGTGCCAGTCCACTCACATGAAGTTGTTCCGGACTTGCCGTGCAAGTCTCGTTAATACTCTTCGTGACGACCTGGAGATCTTCGGTGACAACGGTTAGGATACACACTCCATGTGTCCACTATGAGGTTGGAAATTGTTGCTAATAGTTCGCTTAGGCCGTGCCCGTTGTCTTGATCTCATGGCAGAGGATCCTGAGCGTCAGCATCGTCGTACTCAGTTATTGAAAGAGCGGGAGAAGTTCAGCAAAGCCCAAGAATGGCTGGACTCTGTCCGAGATTCGGATGTTGAAATGGAAGATTCCGACCAAAATGCTCTCGCAGAGATCAAAGAGGATTGGTAATTTCAGAGTTTGTCGTACTCTGTGGTCTTCGGGGCTTTTACCACTTGCACTGATGTTGATTGAGCCGAGTGCGTGCTTGAAATGGCTGTAGTTGGGGAGAGACTTTGAATTTGAATGCTGTGTTGAATGCGGTGGTGTGATCGAGAGAAATGGTTCAACCGAATCAATGTAAAACAATTGAGAATCAGAGAAAAATAACCAAACATGAAATTTGTCCTGATTTAAAAAAAGACCAACGACAATTCCGTCCTGTTACGAGCTGGTCTATCTTTACAACGTGCTTTACTCCCTTCGTCGAACTTGGTAATCACGAACCAACCAGACAGGAAGTATCTTTCGTGCGAGTGTTAATTCCTCCTTCTAGCAATGGGAACAATGGACAGGCAGATGCGAGCCCTAACAATCGGGGGAGCTTGCATCTAAAGGGCAAGGGTTGGATGAGTGTAAGCGCCCATGCTGATAGAAGATAGTTCAGCTTGGGTCTTATCGCTGTATTTCTAGTCTCTTACATTCGCTCTTTGATACAGTCGATGGTTCCACTGCAAAAGTCTTGATCTTTCAACGACACTTACTTGCAAGGAGGAAGCGGAGATGGAATTTGAAGCAAAATGTACCAGGGAACTTGCGGGCTTTCACCACGCTCATTCACCAGCTTTTAATAGGGACCGAACAACGGCATTTTAATATCCTGAAGACAAGAGGCCCGTCGAGTCCAAAACGAGAGGATTGCTCAACTGAAGAAACGAAGGTGGTAAAAGGTGTGTTGTGCCAGGGAAGGGGGAGTCTCGCACTTCAATCCTAATCGATTTTCTCTCAAGTCAATCTAACCCACTTTTTTGGGGGGGGGGAAATCGCCAAAACGAGCCAGGCGTCCTCGTTTGAATTGAGGACTCTCTTCACATTTTTCAATTTCCGCGATGACCTGTCGGGGGGCCATCTTGCCTCTGCTACGGGGCAACACTACCTTGGAGTCAGCGCTGGAGCAAGAGGAGGATGTTCTCCTTGACTTAGATTACCCGGAGCAGCGCATTGACTTTTTTTATATCGCTGTACAGCAATCGTGATGATATCGAGCGTATTGCATCATGCCATCTTGGTCTAGGCCCTTCTGGGATTTGTCGGACTGGTGATGTAAACGAATGGGTCCACGGCAGCTTCAATGTTTGCATTCCGCTCTATGTCAGAGTAAACACGGTCAAGACCGAGGGAAACGAGCTCTCATTAGGTTTCCCTTGCCCTACAAAATCGGGGAACTCAAATCCCCCGGCAATGTGGACGACGAACTTCGTGGTGAAGCGGCCACTTTTATTTGGATACATGCACATTGTCCGGAAGTGTCCATTCCTCAGTTGTGGGGGTTCGGACTGGTTGGAGGCCAAAGTGTAGGAATCTCAGTGGAGGTTAGCAATGGCGACATGAATTGTAACAAATTTCTTTTACATAGTTGACAAAACCAGAGAATATCTCCCTGGGCACTAGACTTCTCTAGACTCTGAAAAGATCCATCACATGGCTGTTGGGACTATCCTTACCCTGTCCCTATATATCTCATCAACGTCGGGCCTTACGTGAAACCGGGTACTTGGTAATGGACGACATTGGCAACTCCGAAGTTCAAATGCTGTCAGAGACATGGGATGAAGACCGTCATGAGCCAGTCAAAAGAACAAACCTGTTTCGCGGACTTTCACGTATGATGCTTTCCTTAAGTCAGATCCCATTCCCCCGTATCGGATCATGGACCCTAGACTCGAATGGAGTTTTGCGACTTTCCAATCGACCTCACACTCTTCGACTCCGCCAATTAGAAAACGGGGGTATTCCGGCCAACATCAGTCGAAGCTTGACCTACTTAGCAGCGGATGCATACTATCTCGATCTTTTGTCTTGCCATGATAGTCGGATACGGCATCAACCAAACTCGATAAGCGATGCGGATAATGGCCGAGCCCAAATAGCAAGATTGACCATTCTTTTAGGACCAATCTACTGAGAAGTGGCTGGCAAATCGGAAAGTTTTTGGTAGTTCCATGCGTTGGACAGCCCGAATGGTCTATTCAACTTTTTCTCTCACCATCATTATCCCCATTTTGCACCTTCCAGTCAGTCAATAGAGGATTTTGCACGGGTTGTGTCGGACTTCTGGGCTCCCGAAGGTGAAGAAGTATTAGCTGCGAAGCTTCACGATAAGGAGGAGTATGAAAGGTCACTTCGCCAAAGATTTGGGGATGCTATTGTTAATGATGACGATCAGGACTCGGATTGCTAAGTATCGTTTCGATATTTCTAACTTGGCAACGATCAGGTATCACCAATGGACACTTCAAAGGCAAAGAAGCAACACCTTTGGAAGGTTGACTATTCCGGGAATTTGATGACCGGGTAAAAAAGCCTTCAATCCAGGCTTAGTGAATAGTGTGTAATCTACAAGATGAAATGCAATTTGTTCCTTTGTTTAACCCTTCAACCAAGCCTTGACTGTCGAGCAGATTGTATCAGAACATACCGCCAATGAAGGTCACGTCAACGAAGTTATCAGATCCCAGTGCTCCACAGCCGTCGAGATGGTCAGATGCAGTTTAAAAATAGCATCGGAAAGGGGTAGATATAAAAAAGTACATATCTAACCAAAAGGATTGAGAAATCAGATGAATCAGATAAATCCGCGACGCATTGAAAGTACATGAGGCCGAAAGGAGTAAAATGTTGTCAGGTGCCCCACCGAAAGCGTCGTCTTGGCGTTTCTTAGGAGCTTCGGGGTCTCTCTGGCCTTTTCTTATAATCCTGGCCTTCACATCTCCTTGCAGACCGTCATGCTTAATATACCAATGCGTGAAACCCACATTACTCAGGCTTCCACCAAGGCTGTGATCTTGGTGAGTAACGGAAACACTGCGATAAAAACAACTAACTGACACCTTGTCCATAGGTCGGAGGCCCCTCAAGAGGCACTCGGTTCCGCCCATTGTCGCTCGATGTGCCAAAGGTATGCATCTGCATCTTTTTTGATCATCTATACGGATCTGTGCGGGACACGATTGACACCGCGATTGCTATAGCCCCTATTCGAAGTCGCCGGCCACCCCATCATCCACCACTGCCTGAAGGCGGTGGCCAAGGTCCCCGATGTACGCGAAGTGATGTTGGTCGGATACTACGATGAGAGCGTATTCCGGGATTTCATCAAGGATGCCTCGAATGACTATCCCCAGCTGCGCATCCTCTACCTGCGGGAGTACACGGCGTTGGGCACCGCAGGTGGGCTGTACCACTTCCGTGATGCGATCCTCAAGGGCAAGCCCGAGCGGCTACTCGTGTTGAACGCCGATGTCTGCTGCTCATTCCCGCTGGGTGAGATGATGCGACTATTTGAGGAGAAGGACGCGGAGGCCGTGATCCTGGGTACACGGGTGTCGAACGACACCGCAACGAACTTCGGATGCATCGTATCCGATTCGCACACCAAGCGTGTGCTGCATTACGTCGAAAAGCCCGAGTCGCACATCTCCAACCTAATCAACTGCGGGGTCTACCTCTTCGCTACTGAGTGCATCTTCCCCGCCATTCGCAGCGCCATCAAGCGCCGCACCACCCGCCCCCGCCTCCTCTCGTACCCCTCCTCCGAGAATTTGGAATCCGCCTTCGTGGCTGCCGGAGAGGACGAGGACGCCGAGAAGAGTGAGGTCCTCCGTCTCGAGCAAGATATCCTCTCGGATCTGGCCGATAGCAACCGCTTCTTCGTCCACGAAACCAAGGACTTCTGGCGTCAGATCAAGTCCGCCGGCTCTGCTGTGCCCGCCAACGCCCTGTACCTCCAGAAGGCATTCCAGGCTGAGTCGCCTGAACTCGCGGCCCCCTCTGCCGCCATCGTGCCTCCGGTCTACATCCACCCCACTGCCTCTGTCGACCCCACCGCCAAGCTCGGCCCTAATGTCTCAATCGGCCCGCGTGTCGTGGTCGGCGCCGGTGCCCGTATCAAAGACTCGATCGTCCTTGAGGATTCCGAGATCCGACACGATGCTTGTGTCATGCACTCCATCATCGGCTGGAGCAGCCGTGTCGGTGCCTGGGCTCGCGTGGAGGGTACCCCTATCCCCGTGGGTAGCCACTCTACCAGCATTGTCAAGCAGGGTATCAAGGTGCAGAGCATCACTATTCTTGGCAAGGAGTGTGGTGTTGGCGATGAGGTCCGCGTGCAAAACTGCGTGTGTCTGCCTTACAAGGAGCTCAAGCGGGTATGTCTTATGTCTTGTTTCCATTCTCCATGTGCCATCGACTAACGTTCTTCACAGGATGTGTCTAATGAGGTTATTATGTAAACTGAGTTTTGGTCATCTTTGGTTGAAAATGACTGTGATCTTCTCACGTTGATACGGCTTCATTGTCGGGTTTGTCTCATCTCATCTTATCTTCTGGTTGGATGGTTATCTGCTTTCGTGAGCGCATCCGATTTAATGATTTCTTTTTTTTTGTTTTAATCTATCTAGCACGAACCCCAAAATGAAAAGAGTCGTTGGATTTGTCGCATTGCTATCGGGAAAATCTGACCTTCTTTCCCTAACTATCCCAAATCCCAGTAAATGAGGTCCCGAAACGCCGTCATGAAGAGTCCGTGTCATCAACCCAAACACCCGTACATAAACCGTGAGATGCAACCTCAGAAAAGTATCGTGAGATCCCACTCACTATCATCAACCCGAAGAACAAAAAGAAACTTATAGCCCCCCCAAGTGCGAAAAGGTCACTTAGCGATACATCGCAGCGTCATGCCCAAAATTCGCAGCAGGTCTCTGATCCCCATCCTGATCATAGGAACCAAAGCGCACTCTAGGCACCCCCCCGGTGACTCATTCCAGGCGCAGTATCATAATAACTCTGCGCCTCGCCAGCATGCGCATGTTCCAAATTCTGCTCCGAAACCGGGGATCCCTGCGCATATCCCTGGCCGTGCGCACCAGACATCTCAGGGGGCACGTTATCATAATCGTGCAAAGCGGGGGTTGACTCGCTGTAGCGGTCATCCATCTTAACATCGAAAGCGCCCGAGTCATCGAGGCCTGGGCGGGATCCCATGGGGTCGTAGGCGCCGAGACGGGTTTGTCGACGGTGCACGATCACATCTAGCCAGACTGCGGCGACGTAGCTGACCAGCCCGGTGGCGCTGAATGTGAAGAGGGCTTTGTAGCTTCGGCAGACGGCGATGCCGGTCGAGTTGCCCCAATAGGTTGTTGTGCAGGCTGTTGTTATTGTGCTTGACAAGTTCCAGCTAAGCAGGCTCAGGGATAGCGCCCAGAGGATTATCAGAAGGATGTTGAGGGATATGGAGAGTTTGGTTGATAGCCCGCAGCTGCAGTGAATTACTGAGGTTAGGATTATATTGAGGAGGGAGAGGCCCGATGAGACGAAGAGCTGGGGTTTCTTGTTAGCATTGTCTGGGGAGGATGGTGTGTTATTTTGATGTTGACTTACAACCAGGAATGAATAGGGTAGTTTGTAGCCATCGGCGTGGAGGTGGTAGGTAAACACTGCCAAGATCACACCTACCACGATTGAGGAGAGGGAGATCAGGAATCGGATGAAATGAAATGGCAGCGGCGGGTATGCCGAGGGTTTGACTGATGGGCGCATGGCGAGGGTTGAAGACGTGAAGATGAAAGACAAAAAAAAAAAAATACAACATGAGACGAAGCCCCTACGGTCACCTTCAAGATCGACGTTCCACGCGTTTAGAGCGTGCGTCATGGCACTATTTTTATCTTTTTTCCTCCGCGCAGCTCGAATTGTAGTACATTTCAAATTCAATGGTTGTATAGAAAAAATTGGGAGATATTGCAAACGTCGAGCGAAACTCAAGACCAACTTCAAGATCTTTCAATAGTTGAAATCTTCATAAATCACCGTTTTTCCCACCAGCCAATTTAAAACCATCCCCTTCAACGCAACCCCGGAGCAGAGGTACCAAACATCTGCTAGCGCAAGGTCCAAGTCCCCGGCCTGCATACGTCGTCGTATCATTTGCACCCCAGACGATTGAATTGCGTCCCACATCTGCCGATCGGCTCCATCGAGCTCCACATTTGTGATGAACAAAGTGGTTGACAGGGGCAACTGGGGCCACCGCTGGAACACATCTTGCACCAGCCCCAGATCATTGAACGGAATTGACCAGAATAATCGCAGCTTGGAGATATCCAACTCTGGAAGTTGTGCGAGAAGGGGTGTGATGCCGATGCCGCCCGCCACGTAGGGGACGATGGACTTTCCCGTGGACATATTGAAGTTTCCCCCGAAACCCTTGAGGGGTATTTCTAGCCCGGCCCGCTCATTGACTTGGGACAGATATTTCGTAACGGGGCCATGTTGCCGGACCATGATCTCGAATTGATCCGCAGGTATCTCGCGACCGGGATACGAAGACACGGTAAAGGTTCGAACATAATCATCGTTGAGACTGGTCGGATCGTCATCTCGCATGTGGCTATACCCCATACTCAGCTCGTCTTCAAAAGACAGTGTGACATACTGTCCCGCACTCCACGAAATTGGTTTGCGGCCGGAAACACGGAACCGATACCGGTGGATGGAAGGGGTGAGGCTTTCTTTTGTGACGAGAGTTGCCACTGAGTCGGAATCACTGCCATGTTGGGTGCCAGGGATTTGTTTCTCGTTGACGTGATATCGCAAGCTAGGAAGGTACGGAGAAGGATCTCCGGCCTCACCACGAAATCCCAACCCAGTTTCAACAAAGAGTGCAGCAGTAACGGTGATTCGCACGGCGAGGTTCGACCTTGGTATGACTGCGGCTGCGTCTTTTCCCACGAGGATCTCGGTCGAACCGGTGAAGTAAAGGACGTTGCCGCTGTCGAAATCAGGAACGACGAACCCCGCCCGCGGGGTGGTTTCTAAATTCCCTAGCGTTTGGTAGACTTTATTCCCCGAGTACTCGGGATACACAAGAACAGCACCGCTAGCATTGTTGGATTCAACACGCATGAATCCGGGCGGACCACCACGGATATTTGTATCCATGGTTCGTGCTCGATGAGAAGAGGATAGAAAGATCATATCCGCACGAGAGAGCAGCTCAACTGCAGGAAGACACAACTGCGGCGCATCGGAGATCAACTTGGGATCAGACTTGGCAGGCACGATATGCTTCTTGTTGATGTATTTGGGACAGTTCCCCATGCTCTCTTCAATGTGGACAACCAACTGTGCCTCTCCTGGGTCCACGTCTGAAAGTGAGCCCGTCACCATCCTGCCACATAGCTTCACTCTCCGACGATCCTCCAAGTCGATTGCCAGGCCCGAAAGTAGTTTCCCTGCGTATGCATCAGTTTGATTGCCGGTCAACAATGCCTGCACAACAGGGTCGTATTGGCTGTCCACTTGTGTCTGAAGCCCGATTCGCGATTCGGCAAGTGGTGTTATAAAGCCCGCTGTGCCGCCCCATATCGTTGACCATGGCCGACCTTGGGAATCCACTGTACCCACGGCAAGCAGCTGTGATTGTTGAACAAGAAATTCAGCTCTCGGACTCAGGTATGGGGTAGCCGGATTGTCGAAGTAAGGGACTTGAAGCAAGTGGTGTAGTTTCTTCTCACCCTCATGCCAGGGCAGAGTGTTTGTTAGAAATGATGGCATCGAATAGGAGGGGAAGTTGTTTAACTGAGATACTATGAGAGTTCCCATATTGAAAGCGAAAAAGAATACGGAGTATCTGAGGGTGGGGATCCTTTAATCGCGTCATCCTGCCCTGCCCAGGCCTTGATGACAGCTGTCCCGGTGTACAACAGATGTATACCTGAAAGCTTTACCAGCAGTCTACTCTTCAATTATTTTGAATCGATCGGTTTTTCTTGTCATAAGATGATCCTTCAAATCCGTATCACAGGGTTCTTAGCAGTCTTTTCGAACAATCCAACAAGATCTATTTGTTGTAGCCATTGTCAGTATAAGTCTTCCCAAATATAAAAAACTACATGGTGATCCATCGCTCTTCCAATTATTAATCATTTGTCATTCGATGCTGAACATCTCCACATCTCAATTTGGGTTGGGAGCTTGTATAACGATGAACCAATCAGAGCTGCGGCGCCGCGTTATCAACTCTCTGCCTTCGGAGAACTTCACTTTTAAAAAAACAACCAACGGCACTTAATCTGTCCCTTTAACTGCTCAATCTTGTGCCTCCAAGAGTACACAATCTTAAAGCTGTCCCATAAGACGTGGGCTGTCCTCTATTTCCTCATAAAACAGCTCCCAAAGCGTGAGAGTCTGTTTTATCCCCCCATCATGTCGACCTACGAAAGTACGAATCCCCGTTACTCAGATAAACCCAGAATCTGTAATGCTAACCTCATTCCAGTCGAACATAATACCACCGACCCTTCAACGGCCCCTATCGCACGCCGCCGCCGCCCCGACCTCTCCACCTTCTTCTCCACCCTATCCCAGATCACTCCAGCTCCCGACCACAGACCTCATGCAGTCCCTGTGCCTGGAGATGTGAGCGCAGCCTTCTTCTCTCTCGCAGAGGCATTGAATATGATGCGCCGCGAGGCCGATCCCGCGCCGCACCCCAACGCGCAGGAGAGTACTGTTGACGCCGACTCAGATGTCGATCGCGATCTGTTGACCACGATGATCCAGTCGCTGCTCGCGCAGGCAGATATGCCGCCGCGGGAGGTGGAAGGTGTTGATGAGGAATTCTGTGATAGTAAGAAGCACTTCCCTTGCTCGCCGTGTCCAGCTTCGCCCGTTATCGGCAGATTTATTCCTTTGTTACAGAACTAACCACGCCGGGATCACTAGTGCTCGACCGCGTCCCCAAAGCATCCCTTACACCCGCTGATACCTGCCCTATCTGCAACAACCCCTTCATGGAAGATGCCTACCCACTCGTCGTCCAGCTGCCCTGTCACCCCACCCACCGCTTCGATTTGGAATGTGTGCGGCCCTGGCTGCGGCTGCGCGGAACATGTCCACTTGACCGCATCGACTTTGCGAAGCAACTGAGAGATAAGGCGGATGCGAAGAAGAAGCTTGTTGAAGAAGATGAGGAGGAGGAGTGGGATGGCATGTATGGCTGAAGAGATCTGACAGTGATGCTCTGCATAAAAGAAAAGTACATTGCCAACTCTCTATTGTGCTGGAGACTTCATAGCAGTATCATCTATCTTTACATGAGGGAATGACTGTTGCATCTGTCAATGTCTATTCTAACAAAACAGCCATTGAAAGTATCATACTCGAACACGAAGACACAGGCTCTCGAGTAGAAAAAAAATAATGTGAAAAGGTGCGGAAAAGGATGTCAAGGAGGATAACAATGATGCTTTGGGTGGACAATCTAGGCGTCTTGGGTTTAGAACTGGCTTGACACCTCTATTTCGAGCGAGACCTTTCCGGGGACGCCTCGATGATAACCACGAGCCCCTTGTCCCTTTCATCTCTGATAGTTGGACACCCTTCAAAGACCTTTGTCCTTTCGTTGACTAATTTCAGGAACAATGTCATTCTTGTCTTTGTCTCTGTCTTGAATCGTTTGTTTAACAAAAGACATACAAATTCTTTGTTAGTCGGCAGTCCTTGTCGAGGATTTTCCCTTACCTCCCATATAAATACCAAGTCCCCTTATCCTGATTTTGATATCAAGTACACATTCCACATCGGATCCTCTCTACGCATTCATACCATCTTTCTCTATACTTGAACCGAGTCACTTACAGTGACTTCACCTGCAGAGTCTCATACATTACCAAGGGTATTTTCTCCTCCCACTCTCTTCCCTGTGCGACTCAGTCTACGTACTCGCTTACTCTCCAGGTTACTCTCCAGGTTACTATCACCAAGCTTACGTACCTCAACCACATTTGGCCATCGAAATACTTATAGTGAGTATTCCAACCCACCCCACCCTAATGTCTTCCCCAGTGGAAACCCTCGCTCTCATTTTCTTCTTCCTCCTACTGGGGCTAACCATCATGATAATCATGATTCTTGTCAAGGAGTGGACCGAGTACCAAGCTATGCAGTTTTGGCCGAAACTGCGTAGTACTCGCACTCTCGATCTGGAGTCGGGCCTCTATTTAACAGAGGACATCAAGGAACTGACATGGCGCGTCGAGCAGATGGAAACTGAGCTTGGTCGCAAGTTCCAGCGTGCTGGATACTTGTCTGAAGACCATGATCAACCCCCATCTCCTTGATCGCTGGACAATGTCAGCAGGCCTTCCGATAATAGACGCAAGACACAACGACCGAAGATCTGGATGCCTCCTATGCGTAGGGATAGCGCATGAGATACTCGGTCCGAGTGCGTCACCCCAGTTCCCTACCCCATACTCCCGTGTCTTTCGAAGCGGCTCACTTTGATGGAAGTGGAGTGGGTAGGGTTATAACATGTGTCCGGCTAGCACTGCAGTGCAGTACCGGCGGTTAATAACATTCTGGGAAGGCCAGATGGGGTTGAATGTGCGCCTGGTAAATTGGTTTGTGTCAACTGATATCTGCCATAGTCGCTGATTTTTTCTATATCATGGGTTGGGAGGCGTCCTGAGATGTCGTGGAAAGGCGGAGCGAATGATTAGAGGCGACTATGAAGTGGCAACTAAAATGTTATCCGTAGTCCTGATTGAAACGATCGGATTAAAGACGGCGGCGGAGAGAACCTGCTGGACATCAACTACAAGTAGGGACTACCTTGCTGGTCGACGATAGAAAAAATTTTGCTTCAACTTGAGATATATATGCTTCCCTAAGACGTCCGAATATTTTTGTAGAAATTGAGATCCTTCAGACCTTAAAACTTGGCCATTTGTATCGGAGATCTACAGGCAGAGATGGAATGTTCAGGTATCAACATGTGTAGAATCTTTGGGAAACATCTATGAAATCGATTTACGATGGCAACCACTTGGATCAGGTAAACATCTATCCAATCATGGATTTGACATTACGAAATCAACTGTCATCGTTCAAGAGTATCATTCAGGTCTTTTCCCGTCTGCCCTGTGTACAGTCATCGGTACAAAATTCATCCCACATAACTTCAATGTATCATCAAATTTCCTCAGCCCGAGCTTTGGGCCGGATGGCCAACTTGCCTGCCTGGTTGATCATCGCTTCGTAGCCACTTCGCTCTAGCACACCGCCGTCATTATTGACAACCTCACGAGCCTCAAGTTCCTCAACAAGGCGCTGGTTCTCACGGTTTCCCTCGAGCAAGAACTTGAGGCACATCACTGCATGTTCCTTGATGTATGGGTTATGGGCGTCGAAAGCGGTACAGCAAAGGATCGCCTCAACACCACCGTAACGACGAATCTGCTCTTGAACATCGGGACACTTCCAGACCAGCGAAGAGAGCACAAGCACAACTAGCTTTTTGAGATTGCGCCATTCGAACTCAGAGGGATCCTCTGTGATCGGAGGGGACTCGGGTCGAGAGTCGACACTGCCGGTGCCAGTGTCGACAGGGTCTGGGTCACTGGGATCGTAAGGTCGTTCGACGGCAACAGGGGCCGGAGGAATGGCGCTGGAGGCATCGTCTGCGGTGTCACTTCGAGGGGGAGGGGGAGGGGGCACAGAGCCAAAGGACAATTGGCTCAGCTGGCCCTTGGGGATACTTGCTTCCAACTCCTTGATCAAGGTCACCAGGTCATAAACAATCTCCCATTTAACCAGCAGGTTCTTCCAGTCGTTGTTTTCGGTCAGCACGGCGAAGAACTCCAAAAACTGGTAGACACCTTCATACACCCGTTCCATGTCCCATAGATTGAGTGGGAAGTCCTCTGAAAGAGCCCGCTGGGCGCGGATCTGGCCTTGGAGGTAGATCAGAGCACAAGTCTCAGGGATGATGTTGCCACGGAAGATGGTGAAGATGTACCGGACAGTGAGAATATCAACTCGGTTGAGTGAGCTTGGGTTGCGGGGAATATTGGGCTGAGCGGAGCCAGTCACTGAAGCAGGAGAGTACTTGGCTCGGAAGATGTGGGTGAGGATCTTAATCACAACAGCCTGCGCCGGAGAGATAATGTCTTTAGGCTGACCGAAGTCAGAGTAGGCATGAGACATGAGGCCGTTCTTAAGCACGGCCTCCATGATCTGGACCATCATCTTGAAGTAGAGCTCGTCGTCGGGGAGATCCCATGCCGCAATGAAAATCAGTAGTTCACGCAATAGGTTACGTCCTGTCTCCTGCGTGAGCAGGATGTGACAACGGAGCGCTTGCATGTTCCGGGATCCATTACGCTCTCCCCCCTTGAGACCAAAGCTGTCCACAATACCGGCCTGAACAATCATGGGCAAAGCTTCGATTTCTGCCGGTCCAAGGACCAGCGAGATATCGGTAAGAAGACCCCGCTGTTGGTCACCAGGACGGCCACGGTATTCATCGTCTTCCTCTTCTTCATCATCGGCTTCTCCATCGACGCCATCGTCATCCACATCATCCTCGCCATCTCCGTCAACGCTTCCGTCAGCCAGGTGATCCAGGCTGTGCGAATCTTCATCTCCCACTGTGTGCGCATCGCCATGGTCGTAGTCATGCTCTTCGTCCCCATCAATATGTGATGGCTCCTGGAGCCGAGCCATGAGTTCGTCTTTGGCCTCTTGGAGGGTCTCGGCGGCAGATTGAGCTGACCGGGGCATACTGGTATCTTCGTCTGTGACAGGTCCATCCACAGCGCCAAAATCGTTGATCTCTGGAAGATCAGCCCAGCAAAGACGAGGGAAACCAGCCGTGAGACTGCGATCAATGGTCAGGATGGTCTTCTTCTTGGTGACTTCTTGTTCCTCTTCTTCTTCTTCTTCTTCTTCGTCGTGTTCCCGGTGATCAGCATGCTCCTGATCCTCGTGGTCTTCGGTTTCCTCGTGTTCTTCTTCCGGAAGCGCAGCCGGAAGCTCCCGAGCCCGGTCCTGGAGATCAGACCAACCGTCAACTTTAGCCCCAAGTATCGCTGTCAAAGCAGCCCTGATATCTTTGACCTGGTCCGGATCTCTGCCCATTTCTTGAATAGCGCTGAGATCTCGTCCCAAAATCCTCTCCATGTGGTCCTTGATGTTGGCCAGAAGCAGCATGGCAGCCTCTTCCTTGATTGTTGCCGGCTCCCGCGGGAACTTGGCGATAGTCTCCAATAGCAAGTCCTCCGCGGTTTGATCGTAAAGCGCACGGATCGGCGGGTTGATGACTCGCTCTCCAACTTGTACAATTGGTGCGACTCCCTCTCGCGAGCTGGCATCGTCCAAGGGCTCCTTTGGTTTTATGATGTTCGTATCAGCAGTCGAATGGTAACCAAACAGATCCAACCATAGCACCATCTTGCGATGCTCGTTATGCATAATGAAATTGTGAAGGTACTGAAGGCATGTAATCAAGAGGCGCTTGTAGAGGTTGACGACTTTTTGCCATCGCTCCTCGTTCCGCGCATTTTGCTCGCCATCAAAGCCTCGAGCGGTGACCCGAACACAGGTGTCGATGAGAGCTAGAATTCGTTGATCAAATCCAGTTTCCGCTGCAAGGTTCTGTGCCTTCTTGGTTGTGGCGAGGAGGTTGCGAGCGATTGTACACAAATCATTCAGGCGCTCAATATCTTTGACCAGCGATAAATAATTGTGTGCGATCAAATTGGCTGATGAGTGTTCATAGCTTGCTGCAGGGCTTTTCCACGCGAAAGATTGGGACTCGAGGACGGGAATTGCTTTCGTGAGGACGTTCGTGAGACCTTGCCAGATATCCGGCGACATGCCGAGATTGTGACTAGCAGGGCGCAACAGATTAGTATACAAGGAATTCAAATGCCTGGTTATATTATTGACGTACCGAACATCGCTCTCCTGATGTGTCTTGTAAAGGATCTGCTTCCCAGCGGCAAGCATGTGCTCCAAGCGCTTGTCATCGATCATACCCCGAACTTCGTAGTGGCTTAGGGTCCCTGCAAGGATTACCTTGAGCATGAGCTCGGCTGGCGTGCATAATGGCTTTTGATCTGCCATCTTGAAAAGAAAATCCCAACTTTTAGGCGTACTCCTTGGAAGGGTAAATAGCGCGGGGAGATCAAAGTGGGATGAGAGAATCAAAAGAATCGCAGGTGTGGAGATACAAATTTTCCGCCCGCACGAACGTTATCGTTATCGCTCATTCGCCCATTCTGGGCTCCCTCTCCAGGGCTATTCCCTACAGGCACATAGCATCACCTCAAGGTATTCCATTCCAATTCTATATGCGACTGTGTTCTGCACTATACCTCTAATTTTCAATTCCATGCCTCATAGATTGATGTAGCAAACAGTTTTTCCACTTCAAGTCACTTGAATTGTTCACAGTATCAAGCTACACATATGAGAAAACATCTTTCAAGCCGGTATGTTTTAGACTTCCATTTGAATCAAAATTGAAAGCTCTACATCGAAGTGATATTTAAAGAGCTTGGATACCGGACATCTCATTAGATCGACGGACAGATAGCCCCACCACGTCCCGGAGATTATACCAAAATCCCATATCGTAGATATTGTCGACATCTCTCATAGTGTTGAGTCGCTTCCATCGAGGGTCAGGAGGTAGATCTGATTCCGGGCGATGAGCAATGCAGTTAGAGTCAGAGGCTAATAAACATCCTTCAGTTGGAGGATCTTCATCGGTGACAAGGATTTGATCCGTTTGCACAGGCCACAGTTGATCATATAGATCCATCGGAAGAGGGCGGTCGAAGATGAGGCTTCGTTTCGTCTTAAAGACGAAGCCATCTTCCACGTCATCTTTCCAATCGGACCACTTTGCACTCTCATTGGTAGTCACCCCAGCCCAAATGAGATACGTGTGGTAAAACAGAAAAGAAGTTGCTAGTGGGGCAGTCATAAGCATCAACAGAAATACTGTCCCAATTTTGGGATAAGCAGCAACCACGATACCCCATGTGTTGACCCAAGTTGTCCAGCCTTGCATAGCGTCCTGTATTTCCGGTGGAACCACTTGCTTCAGCATCTTAGAGAGTATGGAATGACCAAGGTAAGAGCCGTATATCAACATGACAGAAAGGGAGACCAAGAGCGAAATGAAGTACACGCAGTTGTTGGCCCCGACGCAATTCATCAGCCATACACAGTGGTGGTCATGCCGAGAAACACAGGCCTGGCAGAAACTGCAATGCTTGCTGCGTGCTGGTTTGAGGAACTTGCAGGTGCTACATTTATGCCCCGGATGAAAAAGGACTCGGTCATACGGATAGCGTCTCATCTCCTGTTCATGGTTCTCTGCTGTGATAAATGACTTGGTCACAACACACTTATAGAGTAGGATATATGGCAAGCTGATAGCTGCAGGTACCCAGAGTCGATGAATGCTTGAAAGCCGAGGCCATGCGGCGGGGACAAATATGCCTTCTCCAATGACCAGCAAGGAGGTAAAGAATATCTAGTAGGCATGGTCAGTATCTCAATAAGTGTCATTAAACAAAGAGGCTCACGAGGACAAGCGGATGGTTCTCCTTCAATACATAGCTGCCAGATCGATTCCAGCATCGTACTATCCTCCCGCCGAACAAGCGATTATCGACAACGGTAATCCCTTTCGGAAAGTACACCCATAGTGCTCGATGGAGCCAGGCCACGGGAGTTTTCCTTGGGCAGTCAGCGCAGAGCTTTACATGATATCAATCTAGCACTTTGCTTACCGAAAGGCTGGCAGCCTGCCAAATAGCGCGACAAAGGTGAACGCCGAGATCGCCAGAATCACCAGGCTAACAGTTCTGAGAGCCCCCATTCTGAAGCGTATGTTCTCTCTTTAAGTTCAGAGGATGTGGTGTTCGCTCTGCATCCCCCAGCAATGTTCTTAACTCTTCCTGCATTCCTTAACTTGTGAACAGTCGACACGTTCTTCGTCGCAAGTCGTCAAGTTTGTGAATGCCACGTGACCACGATTTCAGTGAACCAACTATTTCAGCTATGACCCCTGTTGATTGAGAGCGCCGGAATCTCATATGATCAAATCTAAGAACCGACGGTCGTGTCAGTGAGATAACATCTGTCTTACTCCATAGTCCGCTGTTTGAATGGAAAATAGCTTCATACGACACGTCAATACGCGATACCGCGTCGCAGACAAAGCCGGCCTATTCAAAGGTGTGATATCTTGAAGAAAGGTTATTTATTAGCATTCCTGAAGATTTGAAATGGCAACTTTCACAAGCGACTCGTCTCGGGCTGAAACAACGACGATGAATCTATTTCAAGGCGCACGATTCTGGCTATCCCTGACTGTTCCGCAAAGGCCGAGGTTTAAAGAATTAATCAAGGTATTTCAGGAACTTTTAATCTTGCTTGGAGGTTCATAGGTTAATAAATATCTAGCAATACGGTGGCACTGTTGTGTTGATGGAGAAGGATGCCGACGTGAAGCTGGTGGATCACACGAGGAAAGATCTACCTAGGGACACGTAGGGAATACGGAACCTTTTACTAGCTCGGGATCAATGTGCTAACACCAAGCTAGCTTCTCCTATCGATACGTAGAGCGTTCTATCAACAAGGGACGTCTCGAAGATCTAGAAGCCCACCGGGTTGGGCCATCCGCACCTCGTCCAATGGGTGCATCCAACATCCCCACAAAAAGCACACGATCGTTCTTTACCTTGGAAGAGGATCAAATCGTGTTTGATTGGGTCGAACACCTTGGTCAGGAGCCAGGGGCACCTGTCCAAGGTAACAAAATCTATCAAGATTTAAGTGAACTGGTGTGATGCTCTCCTGTTTCTGTCAAGGCTACAGAACACAATAACTTAATTATGATGCTGACTGGTAGAATACAGTTTCCCAGTCACCCGTGGCAATCCTGGCGTAGTAGATACATGAAGCATCTGCGTGGCAAGGGTCGTCCAGGGGGAGGCACCCCATCATCATATGACGAGCTTTTACAGTCTGCACCACCCCAAGGAGAACGTTCAAAAGCCTTACCTGCCCAAGCTTCCCCCGAAGACTCCACAGCATCATCTAGCTCAAGGGTCCCCCGGCTGGCACCACCAGGTCCAGTCCAAGCAAGTACGCCAAGCAGCCCAAAACGAAAACGAGATGCCGACCCTGAACGGTCAAATCAACGGCGGAGGGATGTTTCCCCTATGAAAAGAAGAGCAATTGAAGCTTCTGCAATTGCGGGCCTTTCCTCACCCCGTCCCCGTCCTGATAGCCGAAGACCACAACCAGAGTCACAAAACGTGGCAGCCACATCACACTTGACTGCACGCCCAGAAAGAGGCTCGCCCACTGCCTCGTCGTCAGATGCAGGACCACTTGAAGGCCTTGGTATTCCAGATCTCTTCCCGGTCCCAAACCCTTACCCACAAACTCCTCGTCGCGTCACCCGGGAGACTTCACATCGTCCAGCAGATGTAACAAAATCGCCAGCGCCACCAGCGCCACCACGACCATTGGGGGACAATGCCTTCGCGCAGTCCGGTCGATTCAAGAAACAAGCACCGAATCCCAGACCACCAATCAAAGATATCTTCGAAGACCCAGTGAACTCCACTTTCCTAGAACTCCCATTTTTGCCATCAAGCCCAGCATCCGAAGTATCTGAAGATGACACATCAGATGCACCTGACGTCGATACTTGGATTGATCAACGCCTAGCTCTAGGTGCCAAGGAATCCCAGGTGTTCGATGCTCTGCGATGTACAAGCATGGTCCCAGAGATGGCAGACAAGGTTCTCAAATACCTCACGGCCGGGAAGGGTATTCCCGATGATATGCCCGGGGTCTGGACAGCGGAGGATGACATCTGTTTACAAGCGGGGGAATATGCACGTGTGCGGCGAGCGTTGAAGAAACACGGTGCAGAGGCGTACAAGGATAGATGGGAATATTTGAGCATGGCCCGGCAGACGGGGCTCATTGAATGATAACCATGAAGTATGCAATTCGAAAAACACACGAAGGACAGCTAAAATGGACGAATTGAAACTGTGAAGTACATGAACATTAGCGTGTAGCTAGAAACGAGAAAAAAACTACTCTCCGAAGACACCAGTATCGACCTGCCCAGAACGCAACGAGGAAATTGAAACTCAAAACAAAACATCAATGCAAGGGCAGCAGTGCCATATTCAAAGCGCATAGGTTGCGACGATCAAGGAGAATTGTAGCGATGGCCATTCGCTATAGCGCACCCGAGATTGGAAAAAAAGGCCCAAAATATCACAGTTGTGTACCATTTGCGGGTTGGAGACATATCGAATTGTCAGTGAAAATGGTAGCTTCAGTTATCCTTGAAAACACTATGAAAGATGTTAGGGACGCATTTCGAGCTTTCCTTGGGAGGGCTTGACTCACAGGTGCGATTCGTAAAACTTGAGCATCTAGTTTGGTAGTCAGTTACCTTGTCGCTGCTTTTCGGCATAGTAGAGGACACACTTTTAGAGGACACTTTTCATAGCAGGCCTGGACAGACAGTTTCGCCTTGTGTCCGTTGTTGAATTCGAGCCAGGCCATGAGACCTGCGTCGCCCTCCCGGACTATTGTGTCCACCTCTTTCACATCCTTATCCCAGTTCTTTCCCTTTGGAAGCCATTGAATGCCATTTTCTTCAGATGAGGGGGAAGCTTGCTCAGACGTCTCTTTAGGTATTGATTTTCGGCGCTGTCTCTTAGCTTCGCTCGCTGCCGGGGCCGGTGAAGCCTTAGCAAGCGTCGAATCACCCATGGATTTGCGCTTGCGACCTGGCTTCGCTGCCGCAGGCTGCAATTCTTCCTTCCCCGGGCGACCACCAATCCTCTTGTAGTATGCTATGACAACGTCACGGGCTCCTTCCCTATGATGTTTGTCAATAAATGCGCGTAGTAGATCTCGAAGCCCGACGAGGATATGGACGTACATGAGACCATCCTCCTCTTCCCATGTGCGGTCTTTGATCTTGTCATAGCCCTTCCATTTTACCAAAAGCTTAAGAGTCCCCTGTAGTTGATTAGCTTCTCGGCACAATGAGGCTGAGTGGTGTGGATATACATCATCAAGCCATGCGTGATCAAGAATATCCTCGACTACATAGCTACGTTTCGTTAGAAACAATTGTCCGCCAATCGGTCGAAATGCGCAACTCACAGTCCCTCCTCCCCATCATCCTCCTCTTCGTCTTCGTCTTCTTCGTCCTCCGGGGACTCCTGATTATATTTGCCATTTGCCTCCGGCGCCTTTCTGAAGGGAATGTCGCCAGATTCCTCGTCGGACAAATCTTCAACGGGAGCTGGGTAATAAACGGGTCAGCCGAGATGCTCACCATTGCGCGCGCGGCAAGTGAACATTGGGGAGGGGAAACACTCACGAGGCATGTCTCGGTTGAAGGGTGAGATCAAGTTAGAAAGTTTAGAAAACAGATTGGCGACTAGAGGATTAAAACCTCAATAGCAGTTGTAAGGTCAAACGATAGACTGTCGCATCCAGAGCAACTAGAGGAGTCAAGAAGCAGAAACGCGTTGAAGGCGGACAAGAGACGCTATACCGCTTTGGGCAATCAGAATTTCATTTGTCAAAAGTGCATTTCGGGAAGCTCCCCCTCAAGGCTCAACTTGCAAGTTTGCTGCTTTGTCTTGTCATCTTCTCTTGATCATCTCTTGATCTCCTCATCGGTGCTCTCCTTCTTAAAAAGCGTTATCTTTTGCCAGGTGGCAGCCCACCGTCAACATGGCAATGCGTAAGGCCGCATCCCCATACCCCTCATTCTTGAAATGGGATCTTGGCTAACTATGTGGATTTGGTCTTCAACAGAGCTTGATATGTCTCAGGGTAACTGCTCCTTGGACATATTGGTTCAAATCGGACTCAGGTCGCTAACATAAAGGGGTAGCTTCGATCTTGAAGGATGAGCAGGGACGGCCGTTTATTGTTGTTCGCGAGTACGTTCACCGCTACGCCTTGTCTTCCGTTTCAACATCCCATTGATACTTGGAGGGTTGATATATGAGGCTGACGTGTCTTTTTCATAAAACAGTCAGGGAAAGAAGAAGAGACAACATGGCACCGAGGCCGTCAAGTCACACATTGTTGCCGCCAAGACGGTGGCCAGCATTGTCAAGTCTTCTCTGGTAGGGAACTCTGCAAGCGATGAATGGAAAGATACCTGACTTTTGTTTTCAGGGTCCTCGTGGTCTTGATAAGATTCTGATCTCCGCCGACGGCGATATTACCGTCACCAACGATGGCGCAACTATTCTCGGACAGGTTCGACCCCAAAGGCCCCCCCCCGGATAGTCCAAACATGGTTCGAGAGACTGATACGATGATCGTGATTAGATGGATATCACAAACAACGTCGCGAAGCTGCTGGTTGAGCTTTCGAAGTCTCAGGACGAGGAGATCGGTGATGGCACGACCGGTGTCGTGGTGCTGGCAGCGGCCATGCTTGAACAAGCCTCGGACCTCATTGACAAAGGCATCCACCCCATCCGGATAGCTGACGGATATGATCAGGCCTGCGAGATCGCCATTGCTGAGCTTGACAAAATCAGTGACGAAATTACATTTAGCCAAGATGATACCACCAACCTCCTCAAAGTGGCCAAGACCAGTTTGGGCAGCAAGATGTAAAAATTCTTATAGCTGTATAACATTTGTAGTTGATGCTGACAGTTTTGATAGTGTCTCCAAGTCCCACGACCAATTCGCCAAGATCGCCGTTGATGCCGTGCTCTCGGTTGCCGACTTTGAGCGCAAGGATGTCGACTTCGAGTTGATCAAGCTTGACGGCAAGGTCGGTGGCTCCCTCGAGGACTCTCTGCTTGTCCGCGGTGTTATTGTGGACAAGGACTTCTCTCACCCCCAGATGCCCGATGAAGTTCGGGATGCAAAATTGGCCATCTTGACCTGTCCCTTTGAGCCTCCCAAGCCCAAGACCAAGCACAAGCTTGATATCACATCTGTTGAGGAATTCAAGAAGCTGCAGGACTACGAGAAGGAGAAGTTCACAGAGATGATCCAGCAGCTGAAGGAATCAGGTGCCAACCTGGTCATCTGCCAGTGGGGTTTCGATGATGAGGCCAACCATCTTTTGCTCCAGAATAACCTGCCTGCCGTTCGTTGGGTTGGTGGGCCTGAGATTGAATTGATCGCCATTGCCACAAACGGCCGTATTGTGCCCCGCTTCGAGGATCTGACCTCTGACAAGCTCGGCACGGCTGGTGTTGTCCGTGAGATGAGCTTCGGAACCACGAGAGAGAAGATGCTGGTTATTGAGGAGTGCGCCAACACTCGTGCAGTGACAATTTTCGTTCGTGGAAGTAACAAGATGGTGAGTCACTTCGTACCACACGTAGTGAGATGTACGAATGGCTAACTTCAGCCACAGATTATTGATGAGGCCAAGCGGTCACTACACGATGCTCTGTGTGTTGTCCGCAATTTAGTGCGCGACAATCGTGTGGTCTACGGCGGTGGTGCTGCTGAGATTGCTTGCTCCATTGCCGTCGAGGATGCCGCTGTCAAGAGTCCCGGCATTGAGCAATATGCCATGCGCGCCTTCGCTGATGCGCTGGATGCCGTGCCCTTGGCCCTTGCCGAGAACTCTGGCTTGAGTCCCATTGAGACCCTTGCCTCTATTAAGTCGCGTCAGGTCAAGGAGAAGAACACACGTCTTGGTGTTGACTGCATGATGACTGGCACTAACGGTATGTCTCTAAATTATCACTCCTTACCATAGTTCTGTTCATGGGCTAACTCGGGCTCCTTAGATATGCGTGAGCACTTCGCTATTGACCCCCTGATTGGCAAGCGCCAGCAACTTCTGCTTGCTACCCAGCTGTGCCGCATGGTTCTTAAGGTACTGCTCCCATCCACTCTTTCTATCGTGCTCACTGCTAAACTTTAATCAGATCAACAATGTTATCATCTCCGGTGATGATCAGTCTGAGTTCTAGATCACTAGATCCTAGTCTTTTCTACGATGGCAAAAGAAAAAAAAAATGATGATTCTGGTCTGCTGTGTAAAAACAGGATCCCTTACATAGAACCCTTTTGGTTTCAACTAAACGAAAGGATTGATAATTTCTCTATCTGGTCACATTTTCTGGTCTCGCTATTGATTTGAGTCTTTGTATCTACGACTAGCATTTATATTCAGTAGACATGCCATGGCCCAGAACGGCATCTGATTCCTAACAGTCAACCTGACTGCCATGCAGCAGGCGACCCTAACCAGAAACCCTATCAGTGCGACAGACTTATCTCACTTATAAAACCCAGACACTAATAGTTCCCGACTGGGTCACATCTCTTCTGCCTTGGGGCCAGACGATGTCAACCGGAAGTCTTTGCCGAAACCACAGCAATAGCGAAATCCATACCAGTGTGGCGCATATAAACCATGTAAGCCTTGAACCAACAGTTCCGCACCAGCAGACCGGTTGGTTTTCGTGGGAGATCCGTGCCTCCATTCGGGATCGTGTGGGATTGCCTGTGTTCACGAGGGTCACCCGATATGCCGAGGAACACCAGAACCCAAAAGAAGACAGATGCACTCCCACCCCAACATCAACTGACACGGTTAGCTTTTTGAAGCCTGGCTTCCGTTTTATCTCGGTGCGCCTTCGTGGGGGTGCCTTTTTAGCCGGAGCATATCTTTCCCAATAAGGTCTTCTGGACTGATAGATGAACGGAACTAGATTGCTGGTGACTTGCCCCCATCGTGGGGATTGATATTGCCTTGTTACCCGGAGAAGAGATTGGAAACTCAACTTTTTGGAAACTGCAGTTAGGTAGTTGATGTCTGCTTTCTTTTAGATGGTACCTGAAGCCTTGTATGCGAGTTTGGGTCAGGATTTTCTATCAACTTGGACGATGCGTTAGCGTTGGCTTGATTCTTGTCATTCTATATCTCCATCCTGGCTGGTAGCACTGCTCAGGATTCAGATGAGTGTCCATGATAACAACGCTGTTTTATTCATTCCTACCTGAAAACATCTTGGTAGGACGAAGATCAGACCGTATCTGCATGCACAATATAGAGATCCCCACTCTACAAGGTAACCTGTACGAGGAGCAAATGTCGACATCAACACGAAGGCGCAGCGATATACGCTATTCATACCGGCAACGATGTTGACGTTCAGGTTATACAAATCCGGAACAAGCTCATTGTCCCGAATGTGCTGCGTTTAGTTGCATCGTCGTGACCCCCGGGAACTACTTCAAGGAATGGAGTGTCGGCCTATGGGACGGACTGGAATTGTGCAGCTGGCATAAAATGGATGATAATCATCGCTTTCCTCGGCAGGAGGCCCAAATTGGAATTTCACGGTGACGGCCGCGTACTCAGTCTCAGTCTCTGTGGGATGGACATGTTCATAGCTCGAAAAAAGATGGGCCCATCATGCAAAGACGTCAAGCTCTTGCAGCGCGTAGAGAAAAAAGCTTGCTTTCTTTTTCCCAACTCCTTCTTGAAACGGTATGCTAGAGCTTTCAGCTTCGTGCGGGGGGTTCAAAATTGATCCCAGGGTTTTACAGTGCATGGAAGTACGACCTCAGTTCCCCGCGACTCGTGGACTATAATATTTAGAACTCTGCTATTCACTACAGCTCAATTGAGGGTGAGACTGGTCTAGACTCGTTCTATTTTGTTCTACCTTTTCACATGTGAATTGATAGATGGTGTTTCGGGACATTGGAAGCTGACTACCTTCTTCAATGTTGACGGGATATCCACTTGTCTGTACGAGCTTACCTTTTTGAGCAGTCACAATTGAGGGTCGCTTTGACTTAGCCGAGAAGATGATGAACAAGATGTTGGACGATCGCTTAGCTACCCCCCATCTGTATCCCCAGACACAACAATGGCAACAGCTATCCGTCGTATTTTGAAATACCGGCTGCACCAGAAAGCCATCGATCTCGAACGACTGCATTGCAGTACAATTCCAAATCAAACGAGGCCAGAGTAAGTGCCGTCCCAAGATAAAGACCTTAAAATGTGGGCATATCAATGCACCGGCTGCATCGAGGATATCTAAACATAGCATCACACGATTGCAAGACGGATGACATTCCGCGGCAGATCAATTTAAAGTCCCCCGTGACCTGCAGCGGCTCGTGTTTCAGGACGTCTTCGCTGGAAAATTGAATAACGGGCGGCAGCCGCCATCACAGGAGACGGACATCAGCTCCAGCATAACCGGAGGTAAGTATGCCGGGGTACGATGTACCCTGCCTGGAAGGATCAGTTACTGGTGTACATGGATTCGTTCGATCTTCCACCTTGGACCGAATGCAAATCCATCGCTGCGGTGTGACACCGCTGACAGGTACGAGTGTAAGCCCCGATCTCGCGCCCATTTTCGTGGCCGGGGCGAGATTGCAATTTGTGGGACATGTAGACGTGGGTTGGTTGTGCTGGCTATTCTTGTCTTTTTTTTTCGTCTTCCGGTAGATTATCGGTAGAGAGGGTTAGATCAAGGGTATGAGTCTACGTGGGATCTCTCTGTGTTCCGTACCCTGCGTTCTTAATAGAACTGGGCTACATCGTATAGTCCGGTAGAAGAGTAGGCAATGTCGTTTTTTTGGGGGGGGGGGGTTTCAAATAACGGTAGTCGACATAGCCGCGCTATGCTTGAAGCAAACTTCCACTGGAAATATTCTTTCTGCGATTCAGATGACCTGGTGCTAGCAGTCTGGTTCCATGTGGAACAAGATGCCAGAAGCTACATGGACCGGCCAGAATCGACGTTTGGGTAAATTTGGGCGTTGTTGACTCTAACGGACCTCGGACTATAAGTCGCTATCGCGTCAGCCTCGATGCTAGAATCAGAATCACCTAGGGGATTGACGTGGCTTCGTTTCGTTCGAAGTCCAGTACTAAGATATCGGATGGGTTTCAATCTTCTCGTGACCGTTGTTTGAACTGAGCATTCTCCTCGGCTGGTGTGCAACTCTCATTCAGTTGTTCTACCGCTTCTTCGGGGAATTGTTGGTCTCGTCACACGACAATGCACCTGTTAGCCATCAACACATCACAAACCCAGTGACAGCTATAGCTGATGCTCAGGGCTATTTGTCTGTACTGGGCGACTTTGGCCTCACTGTGGTTGCTTGCGGTCAACTCCGTACTAAAGTATGGAAAAATTGGTACAGGGCACGTATGATACATGAAGTGACTATACTTTTCAAATTTCCCGTATTCTATCTCGATTTTTTTTTTGTTTCTAATCTATTTGCATCAGATCAAAAATGTTAAATGGGTTGCCAGTGAGCATCGTTGGATAGCCGAAAGCGGCCTCTCAAGGTCCGAGATGTCCTAATATGGCTTCCCCGGAATTTGATCCTCGCGAAAGGTTGGGAGCATTTTGATCACTTAAGAGTGTGTAGTGTTGCAGGAGTTCATTTGTTTAGTCTATAGAATTAGAAATTATAGAAAAAGACGAGAGCTTAGATGGACATCGTCATAATAACTCTGTCCCAGCTTGCATACGTAAATTAAACCACATCCGGGTGCCACAACTCGCAACTTATCTTCTAGCCTAAACAAAACATGTTGGATGAGATGCAGGTGATGGTCGTTGTTTTCAGTCGATATCAAAATTTAATGCGACCAACAAATAGCCACGACCGATGGGTAGGTAGGCGACAAAGCCGGATAAATTAGCTTGCTGGAGGCTCCAGATCAGAACTCAAGACACTGACAGGTGAACAGGGGGCAAAACCAACGAATCATCCAAAATGAACTCCAAGACATTAGCCAGTCAGTTCACAGTCAGCAGTGACAGAGTACTAGCAAACGACCAAAGAAAGTAATCGATCACCCGTCGCATGGCGCGCTGTCAAAGAAGCCACCGTGATAACCATTCAGAAAAGGCTTCGGTATCAACCAGGGCTTCGACTTCTAATGGCCTAGACTATGTGTCGATCAAACCCTCCGTGTCAAAAACAAGCAATCAAGGACAGCGATCCCAGCCTATCGCCCGCCACCTTCACACGCTGCGAGACTTCGAACCGGCGGTGATGAGAGAGATCTTTGTACACAGCCGCTACTACCGCTGGGGGCGATGGAAAAAAAAAACAAAAGAGCTGTCAGGAGAGAGCTGCCATTACTTACCACCAGATGCACATGGCTCGATGCAGTCAGCTTGCAGTGTGGGGGTATCATTGGTCGGGCAGCCTGGGATCACGTATATTGTCTAGTTGTTTGCGCAATGGAAAGAGCACAAAAGGAAGGTATGGTCTTTAGCTATTCCACAGGTAGACAGGTCTACAACATCGGCTTCTAGTCGGGTGGTTTTCAAAGTTGGGCTATTTCTGGAGACTCTTTTCTATCTCCAGCCATTGGAACAAGCAAAACCCGGCTGTGATCGCTTTGCGGCATTGAATGGCTTGGGATTCGAATTTGACATTGGTCAACAAACGCACTTCGCATAAAAGGAGTAAATTGAAGATCTGGAGTCAGGGGTCCGGAAGTTCACAATCTGAAATCATCCCTGGCCTTGACAGGGGCTGCTGCTCCAACTCAAAAACCAGACACCAGAACAAGCAAAGAAAGAGAAAGAAACGGTAACTACTCCGTAACACGCATTTGATTCTGAATCTCTCTCGCAGTGTGCTTTCTTGGAAACAATTGGCAATGCCAAGATGGTGGATAAAGCATAAAGTCCAGAACACTTCGTGCTGTGTGGAGTGGACTCTGTGTAGACCCTTGCACAAGGTTCCCTATCAGTGGATGTGGGTCTATAACGTTAGAAGAATGAGAGCAGACATGCCAGGACTATCGAAGATCTGGGAACCTGATCTGCAGAAAGCACAGGGTAGATAGATTATTGGGCCCCAATTCCAAACAAGGGAGATTTCAACGATCCGGGGCCAGGAGCCGCACAGACAAGATAATGAGCTAGACCTTTGCGGTATGCATGGAGATACTTTTTTTTTGGTTGCTAGTTTGTGGCAATTGAAAAAGTAGCAGGAATTACACACTTGACCACCTGAGCCCGAGCTAGTGTAGTAGTTAGATGAGACTGCGATATTGAAGGACGAGGGATATCACGAAAAACAAAGACACAACACGTAAGCCCAGAACGATCTTCGTCTAGGATAGGGATACATTGGGCTAGGATAGGGATACATTGGGCATCACCTGTTCCAGTAAAACATGATGTTTAGAAGCCGACTATCTGCATGGTGCGCAATGTATGAAAGAAGCCAGAGACATTCGGAAGAAAATGATCGCCGCGGGTATGCAAGTCCTGCTTCCGGCTGGATCGCAGAATTCAGGAACCAAATGCGTCTCTGCCAGTTTTACGGGGCCTACCAGCGTCGCGGAAACAGCAAGCGTTCAATCTGGAAGATTCCCCGGATATCCCTTGTTGAAGGTCACATACATTATCTACAGGCAAGGCGATCTTTGCAGAGTAGGGAACCAGACAAAAGGACAAGAACGCATACGTACTCGAATTTCCGTACCCGGTAGAGGAATATCTCAAGTGAAATTGATTCTGCCTCACTTGGTATGAGGGGTTCTAGATTGAGTTCATCGATCGATTGTCCACCTGACTCTGTGAATATAGAAAACTGTATCGGGCTTCGACTCCCGCAGCCGCGAGGGTCCCTTGCTGGTGCTAGTCTATTCTCAACCCTCGAAACGGACAGACTTTTCGCTTGAACATCAATTCACAAATGATGTCTGATACCTAGTTGATCCCCTTTTTTTTAGATTATCTAATCATAGTTTGATCTGTGAACCAAATGTATCCGACGCTAAGATTTGGTCTGAGCACGGACATTCATACCGGGGGAGCGGGCTACAAGGAAAGTGGGAACATGGGGAATGTGATTTGCTACCTGGTTGATGTGATACAAAGAGAACCCCTCGGGGACGCCGGGGGGGTCGCGACATATCCTATCTACTACTCCATACCGTCGCTCAATTTTGCGATCTGGATCAACGTCTCAAACAAAGAATTACTAGGTCGACACGGCGGTATTTCGTAATCTCCTTGAGCCTAGGCCGCGGAAATGAATCGGAGTAAATTATGGTACTCATCACCCTCGCACACCGTTATATGCCACATTTTTGGCCATCCAAGGTGGTGACAGTCACCGACGTAGTGCCTCGTCACATTGGAATGACAGCTTTGGCCGTTGGTTGATTGACACGAAGCGCGTTGATCCAGGAACGGTGCTACCTTGAGATCTCATTGATCGATGTAGCGGCATAGTGTTGCATCCCATACATAAGTCGCAGTATATGACACGGGGTTTATGATATACGATGGGAGATGAACGAATCTGCTGTATGACTGCGATGCTCGCCTACGAGGGGATCTGGATACCCCCGAAGTTTGAGTCCGTGTGAATTGTATTCAGAAGGCTGATATCTGATTTCGTATTTTTTAAAAAAAAATTATAATCAAGTCGGACAGTTAGCTGTCATCTGAAGACGTTGCGCGACTTGATGAGGTAAAGCATTTGGGCTGCACTATAATGGTTGTGGTTCAATAAACATAAACCAAATTGACCACAACATAGAACACGAGATGAAGATAAGGGATGAGCCGATTCCCGTGTCTTGCCATATCATATGGACTCAGGTGATTGGCACCAACACAGCTCAAATCCAAGATGGGAGATTTCAAGAGAATCAAATGGTCAGAGGCGTTCTGGTGGGAACGTCACAAGCCCCTGAGGTGGCTGTTCCTGAACTCCACATCATGTGACACGGCTTGCGCATGACTTTTGCCACTTTGTGAGCTGTCTCTTCGGGACTTTGCCCATGTTGGACCAAATGGGGTTATTTGGTTACTATACCTGGACACGCAGCTTGTGCTCCGTACTGTATGGGATGGTATGTATTGTTGCCTTAGCTCCTTAATTTGCCCCATCGAGACTAGGTAACTAGTTAGTTACTCCGTACTTCGTAGAGCTATTGCAATCTGAAGCGCGCTTCCCGTCAGGACTTGCGCCTTCATCACCTGTCATCTGCCCCAGCCCGAAACCTTGGTCTCATTCTGCTTTGGCGCTTCGGTCTGCCCGTGATCATTTCGTGGCAACTAGGATACTGTACTCCAAACTCCGTATAGTGTATGGAATTATGGAATAATGACCCACCCGGGTAATGGTTTCCCATCGACCTCGGTACCCCAGTATCCCGGCTCTTATCCCCCATGCCCTTGTCGAAGTGGGGCATGACTTTCCATTTCCCCAGTCCCGAGCTATTGGCAGCCGCGGCCTTAACGTGATCGTTTGCAACATGCCTAGTTTAAATGGAGGATCTTATGTGCAGTTCCATATTGCCACCTGGTACAACCCGAATGCTAGGCAGTGAGACAGGAGCTGAACGGATGGACGCGTAGATGAGTCAGGGGAGGTGAATTTTTCTATCGCGCTTCGCTGTTCCTCTCATCAGACTACCCATCAAAATGACTGCCATTGTCATTGTTGGGCAAGCTATGTAGACAGGGGGTCAGCAGCTATGAAAAAATATTAGGCTACACCAACGGCCAGGCAATGCTTCGCATCCTATAGATGATAATGTAGTGTCATACATCCGCAGGGATAAATCTGTGACCAACGAACTATTTTCAACGAATCAGACAAATTTGGTATTTCTTTGGTGGTCAAAGAAGATACACAGTGGTTGACACCTTGATACCTTTCTGACGGAGACCTTCTACAAAGGAAAGGAGGTACCAACCAATTTGCATACGCATCTACTTTTCCGATGCACCGACTGGGAGACTGAGTTTTTCTCATCCGGACCTCCGCAAATCTGAGGCCTCTGGTTACACTTTGATCTCGGATGATGACATCTTGCACTTCTATTTCAAAAATTGACACGGAAGAACGCACTTGGGTATGTGTCGGTCAAATCCAAGTCACTATACAGGTAGCTAGTAGCTATCATAGCCCTTAGTGATCTTGTGGTGCAATATTACATGATAGATTAAATGTGCGTGAGGTGTGACTTTGCCCTGGCAGGGGTCGTGTCCTGCAAAATCGGGCCTCAGGCGCCCGGTTAAAGGTGTAGATTGATTGGGTATGGAAAGGTGCCGCATAGTCCCTTTCCGCCAGTCCGGGGCCTGAGGGCAAGGGTTGCTGTAAGCCTTCAGCCCCTCATGAACGAAAAAAAAAAAGAACATCCCTTAACCGGCATCTTACGTATTGTGGCCTTCCTCATGTTGACCGTCATCCGTCGAGCTCGCATCTCTTCAAGAGAAGCAAGGAAAACCAATGAACACTAGAATGCCAGCTAACAGACTCGTGACTCTGTAGCCTAACTCTGTGACACTCTCGACTGCTGTGTCCTATTGGAATATTCAAAGATAGAAAATCTAGCCAGGATGTGCCCGTTTAGAAGAGATAAAAAGAGAAAGGGCGGTAAGACTGGCTCTTTGCTTCAAGTGAAGCTGTGGCTGACTTGCTTTTTTTCATCCACATGATTGAGGCCTGAAATAATTTACCAGAATGTCCCTCAGAAAGCTTACCGATAAACACTGTGGAAGGCGAGTTTACCCTTTTTGAAACAACGCAATGCATCTAGAAAAGAAGACGATCTACTATGGAAGAGGCACGTTGGTTCTCTGTCATGTAGCCGGGCTTGGAACCATCCCTTTCTCCCGGGCAAGAGCTGCTTGCGGGGGAAAGAGCTGGGGAAGTAGATTTTGGCCGAAATCAACAAAATCGAATAGCCATGTGTATAGTCTCCACCGGAACTACTTGTGTTTTCGACCGCTGTAACCTTGAGCTCATGGCAATTCATTCTTCCGGGCATAGTAGAATTGAGAATCAATGAGCCCTGGAGTGCCATGTCGGTGACCACAACGTGGCTTGAGATCTTAGACCGATCTCTAGCCCTTTGGACGCGGTGCATCCTATGGTCCAAGTATAGAGTATCCGTGACGAAATAAGCTTCAAACGCGATAGCAATTCGGCAAGTCAGCCGGACCTTCAGCTCTTTCAGAACCAATAGCTGACAATTTGACAGTTCATCAGTCAGTCGGGAGTACAGAGTAGATTGTGTGGCGGAGAGATGCCCAAATGCCAAATGTCCAAACGACCATCGAGATACACAACATGGCGTAGGGAGAGCATTGGTCTGGACTTCCGGCAAGTCACTGCAACTACCGCGTTAGAGGGTTGCCGTCTTTCGATCAGTACGGAGTACACTTCGGTCCTCTCTTTCTAGTATTTAATCGTTTTCACATATCTTTTTTTTCCCCCGATAGGTCACAGGCACTTCAAGGCTGTAATCATTTCTCATTCTTTGATAGAATGTCTAAACTCTTTTGAAATGTAAGCAATCGGGAGTTCATCTTTCGTAGAGGGTTCATCTTTCGTAGAGGGTTCATCTTTCGTAGAGATATCCTGCCCCAATCCAACATTGAAGCCCAGGAGGGAACCTTGGTTTCTAATTGTGGAAGGTTCATGATATTTTAGGTAATCAGTAAATCGAAACGAAAACTGGTACTGAAATTACACCGGTGATTTGGGGAGGAACTTCGGAACTTCCTGTCGGAAAGGGAAAGAAAAGTCTAAGGTACTAGGGGAATACAGTGAGAACCACGGTAGGGAGGACCAGAAAACGGAGAACATATGTTGTAGACACGGTATCGATGTAATTCAGGGCCCCGTGATGTGACTGAATTTTCCCCCTTCACCGACCCTAATCCTTAGCTAGGAGAGATATTTCGGAATTCGAATATGTTTTATTCGATTTTTTTTTCCCCTTGTATTGTTTTGTTCTTACCCAAAATTTCCAAAATTTCTTATTCTTTTAGGAATATTTCCAATTTTTCAATTTTCCAATTTTCCAATTCCGAATTAAATTTTTTTTTAATTTTTTCATTTTCATTTTCTTTTTATAATTTATTACCGTCCCCCTCTCCTTCCACTCCACTCCACCAAAGTGCCGCCCCCCGTCATTCTTATTGTCGTTACGACTCCCTTTCTTTTCCTCCTCCAGATTTCTCTAGTTCATCTCTCACAACCTACAATCCCTCTTACCCGTCAATCTTGAAAGATCGTTTCAGTCCGTGTTTCCAACACCCGCTTCATTTCTCCGACTCTTCGCCCCGGAATCTCCGCACTGTGGCGCTCTGACGGAAAAGTGACGGACATCCGGCACTAGAGCGTTGTCACCTCACTTGAAAATTCAAATTCGTTCTCAACCCGCACCTTTCGCGTGAGCATTCGATTGCATATCAGGCACCAAACCCGATTGATCGACTCTCTGCAGCACACCACAGGGCACGGACTCAATTTTCAAGGCCCATTCCAGAAATCGGCTGATAAACTTTCACCACCGGATCTCAAGCGCCGTACGACCACTATCGGGGGAGACGGCGACCCCGGAACATCAATTCACGATTTTCAACACCTACACTCACTTCATTGCTAGCTGTGGCGTCGCGAGAATGCCTTTAACCACACCGGTCCTCACGGTGGATGCCGACAATATTCACAAGGTGGACACCGCCAACGCTCAAAGTCTTCATGGAATGTGGATGGGTAAGCGAGACTGCTTCTGGTTCAGGGATCTCGTCTTTTGCTGACTTATCGTGTAGTATTTTCAAAATGTGCCGACTACATGGACCAAGGCCGCCGACTTGAAAATCTCAGTTGGCGGTTGTGGACTCGCGAAACCTTCTGTGTCGAACCCGAAAAGTCTGACAGCACTTCCGCCCACCCATTGCTACGATCTGAAGCTGGGGATTTACCTGAGCTTTCTGCCAGTGTCGAGTCGGCCGCGTCTGACCAAGCCGAGCGGATTGAAGCTCACATCAAACGTCCTAAGTTCTCCGACTATCGACCAGCCGTCGTTCGCGAGGACTCTCTAGCCAGCCTTGGCCGTGGAAAGGAGAAGCATATCACTTCGTTAGATTTGGAGCGGATGGTTCTTAACATTAAAGAAAAGAAGCAATTGGAGCCCAGGTCTCACCCTGTCGAGCCTCCTGCTCCCGTTGTCGACATTACTCCTCGCCCATCCACCCCAACTCCCACTCCTCCCTCCGTATCAACCGCTCGTCAACACCCTCATTTCTCCGTCCGACCGGCCCCCTACCCTCATGAGTCGACTGAGTCTTGCTCCACGACTGCCCCCGAGGGCAACGAGAGTGACACTGCACAGGTCAACGCGTCCGATACCAGTGTCTCCTCTTCCGGCATTCTTCCTGCCCGATCTGAATTGATCAAATCTACTAGTATTGTCCGTGGCTTCTCACCGTCACACATCTCATCTTCATTCAGATCGCAGCCAAGACTGTCTATCGAACCTAGTCCTTCCCGTTCCACTACACAACTGAAGCCATCGCCATTGAAGAAAAAGGGAGGCATGTTCACATTGGGCGGATCCTCCGGGGATGACGATGAAAGTTCGTTCGAAGAGCGCATGGTTCCACAGGCGGCCCAGCAGAACGTCGCCGGTGGAGTGTTGAAAACGAAGATTAACAACCCGGATTCCACGAAAAAGACCGCTTCTTTCAGCAATCAGGTCTCGTCCCACATCATTCCTAACTCGAAGAACATCAGTCGATCCGACGAGGACGCCATTGAGACAGATGATGAAGTCTCGGAGAGTGCGATCGAGGACGACGAAGACTCTGATTGGGAGGATTCCATCACTGAAGGTGGCGAGTCTAGCGTTGACGACCAAGGAGGGATGTTCCAACGGGTTGATTCCCGGCCCAATCTGGTCTCGCGTCGCTCGATGCTCACCATGATGATGCACCAGCCGGCCCGCATGCAAGGAAACGCATTCCGGTCCAGTCCCGCACTTCAACGATCACGGTTGACCTCGCCCAGCGGTCCATCTATTCCCCAGTCCCCTCCTGATAAGGATAAGGACGAGGAAAGCTTGGTCATGCGTGGCCCTGACATCCCCCGATCGAAGCCTATTGTGATGAACACCAACGCTTCGCACTCTATGGCACACTCCCCAAGAACTACCCGTCGTAACATGCTTGCTACTGAATTGACGGAGTCTCTCCGCCGACATCTTCTCTGGGAGCGACAGCAGAAAAGCGCGACAGCGAACGCTTTCCTCAAGCGTCGCCACACTGCCCACGACATGAAGAACCTTCAGGACTACCCCGGTCCCAAGGGTCCACACAAGGGAGTTGGTCCGAATCAGGCTAGTGCTGAAGTAGACACCAATGCTGCCAACCTTGACCTGGGCAAAAATGGCTCCTGGACCAACTACACCACTGACTATGGTCCCTGGGAGTATCACGTGAAGGGATGGTAATTCGTTCGCCTCTGATCCACTTTTACCTCCGCGCTTTTTGAATTTCCGCCGACTTGCTTTGCAACACAGCACAGCTTGTCCTTCTTGACACGTACGACCACGATCATGCATTGCATATATGGCGCATATCTGGAATCCTTTTTTTCTTTCTGCTTCGTCTTTTCTCCATCTCATCGGCTCCGGGGGCTAGGATGTTATCACAGCATCACTGGGCGTTTGGCGTTTGTTCTGCATGGAGGTTATGGCACACCGATTTCAAGGGCTATTTTTTCTTATGACCTTAATATCCATGTACAGCTCATATCCCTTGTGCTTTTTTCTGACCATCCATGGTTGATGCCACCTGGGCTTTGTTGTTTTTTGCGTCTTGCATTGCAAGATATTTCCGACTTGAGATTTTCTTGCCTGGAAAGTTCACCAAAAAAGGGGGGTTCATTTAATCATCTATCTCAGCGCTGCGTCTCTTACTGCATGTTCACATTTAACTGCAGAGAACACCTGGCATTTGTTTCACTACTTTCATTTGTCATTGGAGAGATGGTGAAGGTCTTTTTTTCTTTCTCTGCAACACCTGATACCACACGTTTATGTCATGCAATTCATCCGGCACCGATCTCCAAGGTCGGGCCACCACTTGTACGCTACCTGATGACAGCTAACAAACTAAAATTCCAATGAAAGAGATCAGAGAAAACTTGCCCTCACATGCGTATTGTATTTTCTTGACTGCGGGCTTAGATATCAGAAAAGGAGGCTTGCATAGGCCTCTAATGGTGGTCTAGACCTATGCCCGTACTGTAGCAGATGGCTATAGCTTTGCTGCAGAGCACTAGCAGTCCGCGAAGATTGCATGTGGAAATTCAGGGTTAATTTATGGCGCTGACACGTATGAGAGATGAGTCCGATGGCAGAAGATTGATACCTATCTGCATGTACTTTCTATGCAAGTGACCAATGATCCATTTTGATTATATTGCCGAAATACGCGGGCTAAATGGCACTTGACTGCTCCGTACTGCGTAGATCTATACGCCCTGGGATGTAGCCTTACACTAGGCACATCTATAAGTGCTGGATGTTGCACTCCCTATGACGAAGAGAGTAGGTGCCAATCAACAACCGCACCCAGGACATCAACAAAAGAAACGACAGAGTTGCCCTTTTTGTATGAATAATCATCGAATCATTGAATTTCCTAATGCGGTACCACCTGCCTAGACAGGTATTGACAAAAGTTTAGCTATGAGTTCATGAATGGACGCTTCTGTGACCATCTCTGCAGATCCCAGGGCGCTAAAAATATTAATCAAGGTCAGGTGGAATGCGAGAAAAAAAAACCAATTTGGATACAGGGGTGTTCAATCAAAAAGCAGCGCACTTAATATCCCGGTGCCCCATTTGTGGTCCTTGAAAAGATGTCAAAAGTACCTACCTCTCCTGGGAAACAAAAAGTTCGTGAAGATCTCGAACTTTGACCAAAAACTCGTATTCTTTTTCTAATATTCAGTTGACCATTTGTATGTATCATTTCACGACATTTCAACCTTGAAGGTTTGTGATGTTGATGTTTGATATTACGAGCCCAATTTAACCCCCCATGCAGCAGCCCCCGGAGTCTCTGCCGAAGAGAGCTTACACGGGCTAGTCCAAAACCGACCCGATCGACCGGCGAGATCCTCGGCGCCATCTTCTTTATTCGGCTTTGCACTGGTCACAGGTCCATGTGACGAGAAGCTTTGTCATCTTTGCATTAGTGTATGCCAGAGCTCCCGCAGCAGTCGGGAAGAGTTGATGGGCTTGCAAATCCACTCGACGAGGAAAGTGCTCAGTCCGCAGTGGCTTTCTCGCCCTGCATGCTTTGCAGGGCCAGCCCACTGGAAATCTCGGGGGCGTGCGGGATTATATGAGGGGGCCAGGTTGATTGGATTGGACTCGTGCTAGGTGGCTGACAGGGTGAGTTCTAGGCCTATAGGTGCACTTGGGGTTGTCACCTTTTCGATCTCGGTTCAATCTGGGGGCTATTTACTCTTGAAATCGTGCAACGATACTCGATACGATGTACGAACTACTAGTTATGATGCTTGTAAAGGATGCTGTAGCAAGGGAATCATACTCCGTTGGAAGGCTTCATTATGACACTATGATTAATTGTAATTTTTGCATACATGGATCTGGCATGCGTTATGCGTATTGTCATCATCGCCCTGCCTTCATTTTGTCATGTTTTAAAGGTGGGAGTTGCCTGAAGGATCAGGATTGATGTGCAGATCTTCAACAAAGGCTGCCTGCACTGAAGGATTTGTATCACGTTGATGTCATTAGTGGCATAGTTGTGTTTTCATGTATCGCCATGTATCGCCCTCGGTTGGAATGATGCCTATATGCATCAAGAGATGTATCAGTGTAGTGTGAAATGCCAATGGAAGGAGTGCAGAGTTTAACTACATAGTTGCATCGCCGCTCCGATGGTTTGCCGGGTGTCCACAATAGTCATGTGGCAACTGCACATGACCGGCGCACATGATCCGGGGGTGGAGCCGGATTATTGATGTCCGAGATCTATTCCTACGTTGTATTTCTCCATCTCCCATCGACTCTTTTCTCACGTCTCATTTTGTCTTTGAAAAATACCGATAGACACGAGATCGATCCCATTAAATTAACATGGTCCTCCCCCCCCGGGTCCCGCAGTGTCTCAGCGAGTGACGTATGCACCGCCTTTTCTCCAAGTTTGAACGGGTGTGGGGATGAAAACTTTTTCCTCCTGAAACACCCGACACCTTCTCCATCCTGGGAGCATCTCCAGTCTTTCCGGTCACCCCCGAGCCATGGGGCTCGAATTAGAACCATCACCTGGCAAAGAAATAAGGATTCGAGAACCAAACGGAGCCCATGACACAGATATAACTGACCTCATATCAAATTGAGTAGATGCACTCACCGACAGCATCCATGGAACAATCTAACCCAGATCGTGTACATTTACATCACAAGACTCTTCCTTCCGTTCCGACCCAATTACAGTGAAACAGCCACTGTGAGACAAGAGGCTCTTCTACGGAGTAGAGCCGTCACCCAATCTCTACGGAGTGTGCACACTCCAGCCTCTGTCTCCATAATCCACATGCCCAGTTAGGGCTAAATTTCCTCTCTTTCGGCCAGAATAGTATTCTTGATCTCAGCTCACACAGGCCAGAGAAGTGGGTATCCTAGTGGATCGTTCACAACCGGGGAGAGGCATGATTCGCCGTCTCCTTTTTTCTAATGTCTCACCGGTACTGAAATGTTTATAACTGATGCTGTACGCATGTAATAGCCTTCGCTCCGCATTTCCTAAATGGAACTTCATGCGACTTGTTACTTTCTAGGGCACAACCTCCACGGACCTCTCCACGACCAAGGCTGTTAGAAAGTGGCGTTGTGAAGCAAAAGTGGATCTCGGTGTTTTTTTTGGTCTCTGACACCTAACTGGCTCGTCGGGTTGGTCGGGTTGCGCCCGACGTGAAATCGGCATGCCGATGCAGCGTACTGCATGCAGCTTGTCAACAAAGCTACAACTACGGAGTACAACATACGACATGCGAGCATCTGAGAATATCTCGCTTTGCGAGTCACAAATGGACGGTGTTCGATTTGTTGGCAGATCGAGGCACTTTCCATGCAACTTCAGTCGCTTTCTCTGGGCTCTTTGATGATAGAGGCGAATAACACGGAGTAGACGCGCAAGACTACTCCGAAGTCTTCGTTGATTTCTTATGATCGTTCTCCACTACGAAGTGATCGGCCAACCGTGACCCATATTATCCCTGTCTACTCCGTAGGTCTCCTGAGCTCCTGAGCAAAGCTGATTTTGCATTCAGGTGCAGAGATTTTTTTTCAATTTGGGTTTGTTTAACTGAGTTCTTGCTATTCCTCCATATCAGGGGAAAACTGGTCATTCTAGCATCAATCCGGCACGACAACAGATGTCTTCTTTTTTGTTCCCTCACTTCGCCACATTTCGCTAGCATGCATGACATCCCGCGTTTCGTAGCTATCCTGAATGAAGTGTTACATCACTGCGACTAAAGATAATTCGGCGAAGCCCCGAATGAGGCGCTCGGGATTGGCCCCCGGCTGGATGTAAACCCGTTTCCACAGTGCCAAAAAAAGGAACCCCCGTGACGCTGAATCGGGAAAACCCAGCCCAGTTGCGGTGCCAGTGATTGGCCAAATCCCAATTCTAGGCCCTCGGGTGGATAAAGGTCACGTGTATCAGCTTTCTCAGGAGCTCTGTACTCCGAAACCCCGCAAGATGCCAACATCCTCAATTGCCGTCATATAAGAATCAATAACCTTAGTTATAGTCAAAGCTAAGTGGATAGTGGATATCTTACAGGGCAAATTGATATCTCTATTGTGTCCAGAGGACAAATGCCGACATATGCTCAAACCGAAAACCTGCAAGCTATGCCCATGGTCAAACGCGCCAACACCCACGGAAGACCATGCGAGATTCTGGAAGGCTTCTGGAAGGATGATCCGGTTGGCCGATGAGATCGAGGTTTGATTCGGGCTTTGCCTCTTTTGGTGTTTTACTTACTGTATTGTATTTGGCTCTTACATTACCACACACTTAGCGGAACGCTCAGTACCGGAGCGGAGCTTCCATACCGCTGATTTTATTACAATACCATTGACCGAGGCTCAAATCAGTACTTTCAATATCCTTGTACCCTGGTGCGGAGTTTCTTCGGTATAAAGCTTCATACCCTATAGAGTAGTTTTGGTTTATTCTTGAAACAACAGTTCGGCTCTTAGATCGCAGGCAGTCTGGGGCTATGTGGAATGTCTAAACCGCAAGTATACACATTGATACTCCCCGAGGGTTTGGGCTGGGTACCAGTGTCGGACTAGCGGCAGCCACAGACAGGGTTTATGCACGGAGCACAGCATTGGAGGCCCCACTGCATGGGCAAGTGACCTCCAGGTAGCCTCGCCCATACTGTTTCCTTCAATCAGGTCTAACGCCACAGCTGTGCGGGATTTGAGCATTTCCTGTAGACAAAAGTGTAAATTCTCTCTGTTTTGGTACATTTGCTTTGTTCAATTTCCGGTCTTGAGTCCACCACCCAGTTCTTTCTTTTCTCTAACCTGGTTACTTCGACCGGAGTACGGAGTACTCACTCTCTGTCAAATTCCTTCCATCTCGGGGTGAACACGTAAAATCCGAAGGTCATGAAAGCTAGGTAGTTTGAAAGATGACTACGCTCTCACGCCTAGTGCCGAACAAAAAGCAAGATAGCCGTTGTGGTTAGTGGATCGATGTTGCATCCTAGTTAAAACGCACACCCTGGCGAAGACGCACCCATCCACGCAGGGATGCGGGAGTTCCAGAATTTCGGGCGCAAACCCCTCATCTTCTCCGCGCACAGCGGACCGACCGCTGCCCATGACTGGTAGCCGTTGAGCATCTTGCAAGCTTGTTTCGCCCGTCGGGTCGTATTATTCTCTCGGTGAGTGTTAAACTTTTTCTCTTAGATTAATTAACCTGGCCTCGCTGGCCGCGGGTGAGACCCATTGTCAAGGGAATATCCCCCGGCATGGAATGTAGAATAATATAAGGCGCATGCCCCGCTCCGTGTAGTGATTTGCACAGTTGGCAGATTGGACTTCGGGGTCCTGTTTCCCTCCTAGTTCTTTCTCTGGTGGTTTTTTTGGGGGGGGGGGGGGGGGTTCTGCATGCAATGGTGCCGTGCAGGTGGGTTATTGCCAATCATTGCTAGTGTTTGGTTGGTTTTGCTTCCTGTTGTGGCTTCGAGCAGGTAATGTGCTTTTAGGCATGAACGCCACTGTATCTGGTTGTGATTTCGACGTGGGATGACGAATGCTATAATTGAGATTGTGTTGGATGTGAGCTCTAGAGGACCCTGCAGTGGTGTTATCATCATTATTTCGAGCTTGAAGTGGTGTTTGATGCTACAACATGCCATGGAGGTACTAAAAACAGGAGAGATTTACATGCGACAAATTCCCATCAACCGGCTGGTGATCTTCACCTAGAAACTAAGGGCACATTCGATGCACTGTGACTATTAGTGAGTCCGTAAGACTAGAAATGAGTCAAAGCCGAAAGGCGAATGAGATCATCGGTTCCGCCTGAAGTCTTGGCATTCGCCAGCAAAACCGTAAACAGCTTCTTGTATAGCTTCATCTCTTGCGACTTTGAAGATCTACTTGGGCCTATTTTCACGGACGTGTCACGTGTTACATCACCCTTTTTTTCTGCCCCGTCTTACTTTTGCTTAGCGCCGTGACGACAAAGATCACAAAAGTTCAGACGGTCACACATCTCTTACTGTGCAGATCTGATCCTGTCGATCTCAAGGTCACCCGATCTCTGCGTTGGCCCGCGTCACCTCCAAGTCGCCCAGTACCTGGCGATTTGACACTGGATCATTTTTCGCAACACGGCTTGAGGCTGAGTTTCAGTATGGGGAATAGATCATTTAGCAATGCGGGTCCAGTACCCCAAGCCGAAGGTGAGTCGCGCATAATTCTATTATTGGCTCGTGAAAGCCATCGAGCCGGAAGCTTTTCTTCTCCCAATCAATTCCATGAGATCTACTTGGGCGGATTATCTGGGTCGACCCTCAACCGGCTTTCGTCTCTGCAATCCCCTGTTGCATGTCGATACACCACATGTTGCATCCGCCACAAAGCCTATCAATCCCCATGTTATCTCCCAAGACTTGGTTGGGGTGCAGGGTGGTCCTGGTCTGCCAATTTGCCTGGATCGGAGTCGGCCACCCACAACCTTTTTGATCACATGCTCATGATGCTTGTTGAACAGGTACAGAGTTGCCGTCTTCTTTGACAATTGATGAGTTGTCAGAGGTCCGGTCGCCTGGTGTTGCATCCACCGATGAAACGAGTACTGCTCGCCAGTCATCGACTCGGCGACAGAAATGTCGCTTTTTAAAATCCAAAAAAGGCAAGTCTGTATTCAGTGTTTCTCTCTCCTTAGGGGCTTTCTGCCCATGTTGCCACTGCAACGATCGACGCGTCATTGAATACGGACTCCGGGTGCCACAGACAGGCCCCATCGGGAATGCTTGCACGCAGCATCTGCCATGTTCACCCAAAGGGCCAATTATTTCGAGTTCATGACCAGTATTGCATGTTTTACCCGTGCCCTAATCTTTTACGCATGTTTTCATTGTTCTGGTGATTTTCTGGGAAGGAGATGTGTCGCTCAGGTCATATGCTAACATTGTTCAAGGATGCCGAGTTGGAGCAGCATGTCCGTATCTACATGATACCTCGGCCACTGAGACTAAGAAGCCTTCGTCAGGCCAGCAGACAGCAGCCCATTCCTTAAGGAATGAAATCCAGAGTTCGGCACAAGGCGTTGTCACTGGTGCCGATAAATTGAACAATGGTGAAAACCAATCGAAGCAGAGCTCTGCCGCGGCTCCCATCCAGCCACAAAGACCAGTTTCCAAATTGGAACAAACAGACCCAAGAGAGTTCCAGATCAACCAATTGAGGCGGCGATACCGTCCACAGGAAGTCAATGATGCTCAGGGGACTACTTTGACATTTGGCTTGGTACCTTCTGATCCGGACTTCCCTTTTGAGCTTGAAAGACTCCAGTGTGTCCTTCGTGTCCCAAGCACTTATCCAAAAGGGCGGCCTACGCTTGCAGTGACAAATTCTGAAATGGAAGCTGCTTATCAAGCCAATGTTGTCAGAGGCTTCGATGATCTTGTCGATTTTACCTACCGTACCAATAGCCGAGGAACTCTTTTGGGCTGGCTGAACGGTCTGGACAAAAAGCTCGAATCTTTGCTAACTACCCTGGAGCGTGGGCCAACACTGAAGTTCTTTCCGAACCTTGGTGGTGGATCCACAACCAAAGACCATACAAAAGCCCCGGGAAAGACTCCAAGCCAGCCGAGCTCGTCTCAAGCCCATGTTAAAACGCCGAAGTGCGTTGCTAAGCCAGCACCACGGGCACGAACTGTAGCACCTAAGCACACAGCTGAAGCGAAAGCTGCGGCTGAGAAGAGACGAGCAACTGAGACAAAGCAGCTCGAGGCACGCCTTGGAAGACTGCCGTTGTACCAAAAACAACAGGATGGCAGGACATATGTTATTCCAATCCAGCCAACCAAAAAGGATCGCCTACCGCGAGCACTTCAAGCACTCAAGACTGTGAAATTGATTGTGCCACAGCTCTACCCGCTTGAACATAGCTTGATCAAGTTACAGGGAGCCGAAGGCCCCGAAGTGAAAGCCACAGAAGTGGGATTCACTCAGTGGGTAGAACAGACTTCGCAGCTGAGTCTGGTATCTCAGGTCAACTACCTGGCGAGCAATATCCACAAGTTCGCTGCAACGCCTTTGCCAAAAGAAGAGGAGCCCACTGAAACTGTACCTCCACCAGTGGAAGAAGATGAGGATGAGTTTGTGGAAGAGCCTGCAAAAGTACCTGCGACTCAAGATAATGAAGAAAGACCACATCTTGTTGTCATTCCAAGACCACCCGAATGGTCAGTTCCTGATCCCACCAGTGGCGCCGAGGGGACATCAGATGAATCCAGTTGCGAGGAAGACGAGTATTCAGATGAAGAGGAAGACGATGAAGGTGGTGCGCCCGTTCCCGCATCAGTGGATAACAACGCGCCCGGACGAGGCGTTGCACTTTCCTTTCCATTCTTAGAGCTCTATGGGATTGAGCTGCTGGAACTCTTGAACCTCAATATCACGATCAAATGTGATAGATGTAAGGTGGCGGTCGACATTAAGAACGTGCCACATATTACCGCTGAGCAGGGCCAGATGCCGAAAATGGAGTCGTGCAGGAAATGTGCTAATAATATGAGTGTCGGTGAGTATACACCTAATCTCAGTCTCTTTTTGAGATGGGTTATTGACTCTCATGTGCAGCGTTCCGGACACAGTTGATGCATTCTCATGCCAATCGTGCTGGCTACCTTGACTTGGGCGGCTGCACAATTGGGGACATGCTTCTTAGGTTGGTTCCCTCAATCACAGTCGTAGCTCTCCATTAACTCATCCTGCCATAGCGACTTCATCCCAACATGCTCCGAGTGCTCGACTCCCCATCCGGCACCGGGCATACCTGCAGTTCGCGGCGAGAGTGCCATGGGTATATGTCGCCAGTGCCATCGCAAAATGGGTAGGTTTGAATGCATATTGCCTGTTGTTTGGCTACTAAAATGTCCAAATTTTAGTTTTCAAGATTCCCGAGGTCAAATTCCTTCTGGTGGGAAGTGCAACAAGTAAGTCTCGATGTATCGAACTTGACACAAACGCTTTTACTGATTGTTCTATCATCTAGTCACTTCTCGTGGAGCCCTACCCCTGAAACGAAAGGTTCGTGTTATCTACAGCCCATCATTATGATAAAGTCTAATAATCATCCTAGCCTCAGGAGGTCCTCGGCATTGTCGCAGGACAAGAACTTCCGCGATGCGGTCGATGCCAGCACTATGCCAAGAGTCAACGCTGGTTCAGGTATGTGGTCCGCTATCGATGCGTTGGCAGCAGATCATAAGGTCACACTAACCCCTTACAGATTCAGCTGCTGCTCTAAGGTCTTCCCTTGTGACAAGTATGATTCCCCGCTGGATATCTCCCCATCCCTCTTCACATGCTGATTGATTTATTTAGATGCCACGACGCGGAAACCGACCACCCGAACGAACACGCAAATCGCATGATCTGTGGCTACTGCTCCCGCGAGCAAATCTATAGACCCGAAAACTGCGGTATCTGCAAAGCGGTCTTGATTGGAAAGGCAGGTAGTGGGTTCTGGGAGGGTGGAAAGGGAACGAGAAATCGGACTCTGATGAGTCGTAAAGGCATGTTATTCATTTTTGAAGTCATTGAGAGTCCATTCGTCTAACGGGGGCTCTAGATCCGAGGAAATTCAAGCGGGTAGGAGGTAATCCTCCTACTTCAAGTTCATCAAAGCGGAAGTAAACAAAAACGGTTGAGACTAAAACTATTGTTACAACCCCCGTGGAAGACATACCAGTACAACAAGACGCTGTCAGTCCCAATGTCAATTACATCTTCTTACAAACTATGAAACCCCAAAATCAACCTATCCACATCTCATAATGATCTCCCCTGCCTTGGTTATCCCAGCGAAACATTCCTATTCTTTCTGCTCCTCGCTGATTACCCACATAACCAATCTGAACGTCCACGAAATCAACCCACAATATATTCATCGAATTAGGGGTGCTTTACTCTGCCACTTGCGTTGCTACATACAAGTAGGTGATGTTGGCGATAGGCAACGGTGCTGACGCATCCGCCTCGAAACATCCACCCCCGTTTCATCTCTAAGAGAAATTCCAAGTCTCCACAGCACAGATATATCCAGAAGAGCTGGACCATACTGTGACAAAAGAAAAATTTCCTGGGAACAAAAAAGAAATAACTCTATGGCAAGAAATTTCTGCTTGCTGAATCAAGAGCCATGTTCGACCGGAAAGCATACTTGATGGAGAAGCTTCAATGTGGAGAGGACCGAATGACTAAAGGCGTGGTCAATGATGCTATTCTGGAATTGATAGGTGTATTAGATAGAAGTCTAGATGTACATCGGTTTAAGATTCGACAGAACGCGAGCTTGCGGACTTGTAGGATCAACGGAAGATAACTGGGTGATCAAGATTGCATCTTGTGAATTTTCTTTATGTTATCATTTCCTTTGAAGTACCCTAAGCCTTAAACTGCAAGACACTCAAATGAACGCCCATGCGGTCTCTGTCAAGTAAAACACCGTTGCTGACTGGGAATATTGTCTTCTCAATTCTCACGGTAGCCAGCCACCCCATCACCACTCACTGGGAAGCTGGAGGACACAAAAGCCCACGTTCAAATATTTCCTAAGCCATAGACCTAGGTTTAAAAATTCGGTGCACTATTGGATGGTTCAAATGTGTCATTAAGGAAACCCCCTAATTCGCTAAATGCTTGCAAATTCCCAACCGGCAAGGGCTCATCAAGATGCCCGACTATACGATTCTTTGAATCCTTAAATCAAGTTACCGCGAAGTTCCTGTTCTCGTTCGATAGCCTCAAATAGTGACTTGAAATTGCCGGCTCCAAAGCCCTCGAAGTTGTGTCGCTGGATAATTTCAATGAACACAGTGGGACGATCCATCATGTGCTATTTGTCTGGTTAGTATCTGTTCATGAAGACCGGAGCCATCATTTGGACATACCTTTGTGAAAAGCTGCAGCAGATAGCCACCCTCATCGAAATCAATCAAAATGTCTAAACTGCGGATGGTCTCGAAGCTTTCCTCGAGTACCAAGCCAGATTTCTTCAAGCGGGCCTCCATCTCCGTGTAGTAGGTCTCAGGAACCTTGATGAACTCGACACCACGTGCCTTGAGATTGGTAATATCACGGATAATATCGTCGGTGTGAAGTGCAATATGCTGTACACCGGCACCGTTATAGAAATCCACATATTCCTCGATCTGGGATTGCTTCTTGCCCTTTGCTGGCTCATTGATGGGCATCTTGACAATCTCGTTGGGCGACGCCATGACAACACTACTCAAAGCCGAGAACTCACTATGATAGTGAGGTTAGCATGGGACCTGGTGATCAGTCAACCCCTGGTAGGACACCTACGTGGAGATCTCGTTGTCATCGACGGACCAGAAACGGTGGAAGCCAAGAGCCTTCTCGTAGCTAACCGGTGGTATTAGAAAAAAGTAGTCCAAGTGGGAAAGATGGGATCTTCACTCACTATTCACAGATTTTATTCATCTCATCCCAATCCTGGTTTCCAACACAGTGATCGATCTTCTTGAGATGAACACCAGGCAAGAACTGCAAAATGGGATCCTCAATGCCAGTCTCAGCACGGTAGCCTGGAATAAAGACACCACGGTACTCGCTGCGCTCAATAAGGGTGTGGGTGGTCTGGCCATAAGTCTGAATAGTTGCAGTCTTGAGATGGCCACTCTTATCTTCCAGCACCTTTGGGTTCGAGACAGCCTTGGCACCATTCTTCACGGCAGCAAAGAAGACATCATTGACGTTATCAACTTCAAAAGCCACATCCTTGACTGCATCACCGTGTTTCTCGAGGTGGTCATGGATCTCCCGTAGCTCGGCTTGCTCTTCAGGATTGAAACGGTCGATTTGGTCAAGGGACCGCAGAGGGGATGTCAGAATAAATGTGATGTCACCGTTGCGGATGACATGGGAGCAGATGTTTCGGATGCCAGTCTCAAGACCTTTGTAGGCAATACGCTTAAAGCCCATGCGAGTGATGTAGTAACTTGCGGCTTGCTTGGCATTACCAACGTACCAGTGGACATGGTCGTAACCGCGGTAGCTGGCCACTGAAGATGCCTCGTCGACAACTGAGGGAGGACTATTGGAAATAGCTGAAGGAGCCATGTTGTTGAATCCCTTTTGTGATTGTGATGATGTCGGTAGATAAACTGTAGAGAGATGGTAGGACAAGATGAAAGGCGGTTGAGGTATTTGAATTTAAGTCAACGCTTCCATTTATTCGAAATGACTGATCCCCCAGTAGCCGCATCTTTTCTCGGCGGATATCTATGCCAATCCACTTTTACTGCTGACTTTTGGACGCCTTGCAACAGCTCCCCGGCGTGCGGCTATTGCAGGGCCCTGGAATACCCGCAGATATCCGAACTCGTTGAGTTCACTGTGATATCCGATGTTTCAATTTTGACGATTCTCAATTATTGAGACATTTAATACTGTTCGTCTATTATTATTAGCATGTTCTGAATTGTCTTTCACGATATCCTGCAACCCATCGCCTCAACACCAAATCCCAAGATGACATCGATCACGGCTGCTCGGCCAACACTGACGTCTAACGATTCGGCTGTGCTACAAGCTCTCTTTGATGCCGAATCCTCTCCATCATCGGGAGTCACTGTTGATTCATCGCTCCCCTCATGGCCATCGTCTCTGAATATCTCCGAAACAGACTTGACATCGCTCAAGCAGCGCGAAACAGACATCATCCGCCCGTTGTTATCAAACAAAGCACCAAGCATAGAGACAGTCCAGTCGGCACTGAACGATTTCGATACTCTCCTCACCCAATATCCAAAATATCCCTCCGCATACACAAATCGAGCACAAACACTTCGCCTGCTGGTCGATCTGATCTACAGCACAACTGCGGGTAGTGATCAAAGCACCGACACTGAGATAGCCGATGCTGCCCTCTTTGCTCCCCAAACCTCCCAGCTCTGCTCTCGCATCTTCTCCGACCTAGGCCAAGCCATTACCCTTGCCACGCCCGCCTTCCCCGCTGATGCAGTCTCAACCACCCAGGAGCGGTTGTTGGCTGACGCACACACGCATCGAGGTTACTTGCTTCTGAAAGCGGCACGCGTTAAAAAGGCTAGCTCTGGTGGTGAGGGGGCGGGACCGGAGCGTCTGCGTGGACTTTCGGCTGATCAGCTTGAGGAAATGGCGAGTCGGGATTTCTTCTTTGGGGGTCGTTACGGGAATACGATGGCGCAGCAGCTCTCTGTACATACGAATCCTTACGCTAAAATGTGTGGAGCCATAGTGAAGGAGGCGATGAAGAAGGAGCTCGAGGGGTGAAGATCATGAACAACGAAGAAGCAACTTAACTCGGGTAATTAGCATTTGAGATAACGATGTACTTGTGAAAAGCCCTTTCTGATAGATTTGATTGAATCATAGCGTTGGTATTTTTTTTTCTTGTTACTATAGAACTGTTTAAAAATGTGTTTACTGCTTTATCGCATTGCTCAGGCCTAGAACTCTACCTTGAGCTTTTTTTTGCTAGGGTTCACAAAATGCCGCTTCAGGGGCTTCCAGCTGTGCTCGTTATATTCTGGCTGCACTTTCTGACAGGTCTTAAGACCCCACTCCGAGACGCCGACCATGTGAGTACTAAATAGTCGTCAGCAACTATATCACTTCTCAGCAACGGTAGCAAAAATCGAACGAACCTTTCAAACATGAAAGCCATACTTCCATCACCAACCTTTTGAGGCTTCAGCTCAGCATTGCTAGCTCCCTCAAAAGCACCCGAGTCGGGTCCATGCGCGCTCATGACGTTGTGCAAACTAGCACCAGCAGGCTTGAAACCACCGCCAATCTTCGCATCGTAGTCACCAGATATCAGGCCCATGAACTCCGACATGGTGTTACGGTGGTACCACGGTGGGCGGAAAGTACCTTCCGCGACGAGCCAGCGAGGAGGGAAGATGACAAAGTCAGCAACGGCCGTACCAAGGTGGTCCGATGGAGCCGTCAGCACAGTGAATATTGAAGGGTCGGGATGGTCAAATGAGATCGACCCAATAACATTAAAACGGCCGAGATCGTATTTGAAGGGGTAGTAATTGCCATGCCAGGCGACAACATCGAAGGGGGTGTGATTCTGTCGCGCGGTGAAGAGATTGTTATTGAATTTGGCGAAAAGCTTGTACTCGCTTTCCTCTTCATCGTCGAATGCCGCAATGGGGGCTTGGAAATCGCGTGCATTCGCCAGGCAGTTGGATCCAATGGGACCCAGCTCGGGGAGTTGGTAGTGGCCCTGGTATAATTCACAGATATATCCCCGTACAGGGCCATCTGGGAGTGTCACTCGATATCTGACGGAAGTGATTAGCCGTTGATCACAGGTAGACATGGACAGTTACCAACCTAACACCACGAGGAATAACGCAGATCTCATTTGGCCGCAGAAGAATGCGACCAAGTTCTGTCTGGATGTCCAGCACACCGTGCTGAGGTACAATTAGAAAGTCTCCGTCCGCGGAGTAAAAGGCTTCCTTGTCCATGTCCTTCCCTGCGGCATACATCAAGATACCTAAACCTTGCTTCTGTGTCGGGTCGCCAGATCCTGCAATCAAGTGCAGTCCATGCACCCAGTCGACCTTCTCATCTAGATCGAAGGGGTTCCATCGCAGCTGGTTAGGGATGTGGTGAAGCTTATGGGTCTCGATTGTCATACTCGTATGATACGAGTCGGCATCCTCCGCGGTGAAGTTCTCATGAGCGGCTGCGGGTAGAATCCGATAGACCCATGTCTGCTTATTCTCATGACGGGGCGCAGTGAAGGCCGTTCCCGAGAGCTTCTCGGTGTAAAGGCCATAGGGAGCTTTCTGCGGGGAATTTTGGCCAATTGGCAGAGCTCCGTCGACGGCTTCTGTCCTATTTCGTCATTGATTTGTGTTCATTCGGTGTTACGAACTATGCATAAACATACTCGTGATACGAGTCGAAGCCCGTCTGGTACTTATAAGGGTCAGGGTGATTGAAATTAGTGATAGGCATATTGGTAGTAATGTGTGAGATGTGGATAGTGCAGACCTCTTGATCAAATACCCCAGATCAACCTTGGATTTCAGCTTTCTAAAGAAGCAATCCTTGTGTGAAACATCTTTCCGCGGGAATCTGACAATTCCCGCGATTATCCTTCAGTCCGCATCGGCTGGATGCGGGGAGAGCGGACAATTTCCGCACTTTTTCGAGGGGGGAAACAATATAGCCAGGTGGTGAAGGCCCAGTACAGTTCTATTCTGTTTCTTTAAACTCCTCAACCAATCACTTATCATGGCTTCGTGGCTTCAGATCCCCAAGAACTCGCCGTTCTCGCTCTCCAACATCCCCTTCGGGATCATCTCAACGCAATCTGCATCAAAGGCAGCTGCAATTGCAATCGGTGATTATGCATTGAACTTGAGCGCATTCGCTTCATCTGGAGGCTTTTCACAGCTACCAGCTATCGAACAACATCTCGCTGTTTTTAGCCAACCGACACTGAATGACTTCGCTGCACTTGGTCGCCCAGTGCACCGACAAGTGCGCGAGTATCTACAAAACGTCTTCCGTGCCGATACAAAATTCCCACGGGTTCTTAAGGACAATGCCTCCCTCCAGAAATCTGCTCTGCTTCCCTTGTCCCATGTTACCAATCATGTTCCCATGCAAATTGGCGATTACACCGATTTTTACGCCGGTCTGAACCACGCCTACAACATTGGCGTCCTCTTCCGTGGCCCAGACAATGCACTCCAACCCAACTATAAGCACCTGCCCGTTGCATACCATGGCCGTGCCTCGTCAGTCGTGACTTCGGGTACACCCCTCCACCGTCCCCAGGGTCAAATCCTGGCGAACCCCGCCGCGGATCCCAAGGTGCCTACTTTCTCTGCATGCAAGAAACTTGACATCGAGCTGGAGCTTGCGTGTTTCATCGGCAAGCCCAATGATCTCGGCAAACCTGTCCCAATTGATGAGGCTGAGGACCACATCTTCGGTCTGGTTCTCATGAACGACTGGTCCGCCCGTGACATTCAGGCTTGGGAATACGTTCCTTTAGGTCCCTTTAATGCGAAGAATTTTGGTACCACCATCACCCCTTGGGTGGTTCTGATTGATGCGCTCGAGCCTTTCCGCGCTGCCGGTCTGGAGCCGGCAAACCGCGAGTCTCTGCTCCCCTACCTGCGCGAGAAGCGCGCCGACAGTGCCTATGAGATCCCTCTCGATGTCGAAGTCACCAACCCCGGTGGTCAACCCACTCTTATCGCTAGCAGCAACGCTCGCAACCTCCTTTACTCATTCCCTCAGATGGTTGCTCATCACACTATCACGGGCTGCAACTTGCGCACTGGCGACTTGCTAGGATCAGGTACTATCTCTGGTAAAGAGGCTAAGACGCAGGGTAGTCTATTGGAACAGACTAACGGCAAGGTTCCTCTCAAGCTGGCGGATGGCTCTGAGCGTATATTCCTTGAGGATGGTGACACTGTTACCCTGCGCGGTATGGCTGGTACAGAAGGCAACTATGTCGGCTTCGGCGATTGTGTCGGCACTATCTTGCCTGCTGTTTCGCTACGGTAGATGACATGAAATGAATCAACTGATCAACGTTGTATGTTTTAGCTTAATTTTTTTTTTATTCTACATTGTGAAACTTGCAATCAAAGGCTTCCGCTAGTTACATTTGGCTATCACAACCAGGATAAACAATCCACTGCTATGATTCCGTCAACATATAATTCAACATCTGCCTACAGCATGACGACAGAATACCGCAGGCACAACGACGGATAGTAATTTTCTCAGCTACTCTTTAATACGAAATTCCTCAGGAGCATCATCCTGTGACCTCCAATGTCCCTTCTTGACGGCCTCCTCCATCTCCAGGTTCTTCACAATCTCATTCGTAATGGGAAACTGACCCAAGTCAACACCAAGCCGCTGAGCTCCCCAGACAGCAGGAATTAAACACAAATCAGCTATTGTGATGAAATCTCCAACGCTAAACTTCCCAGCTGATTTTCTAACAACAGCCTCATAAGCCCTGAGCCCATCCTCTACTAAACCCGTTGACCACTCAGCACGATCAACACCCAGCGGCCCAACCCGCTTCAGGATCCTGAGGTTCGTAACAGGCTGTATATCACAAGAAATCATGTTTGCCAGCGTACGTACTGCAGCGCGGCTCTCTGGGTCTGAGATCGGAGGGAGCAGCGCGGGTCCTTGCTCTGGGAATGCTTCTTCGAGGTACTCAAGTGCGGCGAGAGATTGTGTAATTGTCACAGGTGCAATGGAGTCTCTCTGGATTACTAGGGCTGGCACTGTCCCAGAGGGATTGATGGCCAGATGGGTTGAGGAGGATTGCTCGCCCCTGAGGAGGTTCACGTAGATGGACGTGAAATGTATTTGCTTTAGATGCAGGGCTATCCGAAGTCTGGCAGAGCAGGAGGAGCGGAAATAGGTGTAGAGTATCACTGTATCTGTCATTGTGGCTGAATAGGTGGGTGTTCGATCTATGGGATATTGGAGTAGCAGTGATGGTACGACAAAGGGCCCAGATGGAAGAAAATTTGTGCTGATGAACCCAGCTATCCAGGTTTAACTACATTATGTCACTTTCCCCAGACGCGGACCTTATTTTCCATTTACCTTACCCCGGTAAATTGCCTTGTCCATGTAGAGGTAGAGTACACGGTGCGGAATGCCTTCCGTCAGAGTTGAAGCCGAGTTCAAGCGCTGCGGCTCGTACATTTCGGCTATACCTCTCGGGATTTTTATTCCTTCTAATTGATTTGCCTCGTGGGTCGTTCTACTTTGTACTTTCCAAATTGCATAAGAGCCTCTGGGGGGTGCAGCCTTGATCTTTTTGCGCGACATGTGCTTCTGCGAGTTCCTCTTCTATTGGCTCTGAACCGCCGGTCTAGGGGTAATATCACCAATCAAATTCCGATGAAATTAGACAAGGATTTCATTCATAAAAGATGGTCAAACTCATTCATTAGCCCTATCATGATTAAGATACAAATTTTTACCTCTCGAAAGTCCGATCCTAAAATGGACTGAGAAGCTTGTGCGGGGCTGACGGATATCGCCGGCTAATAATCCTGGCTCGCGTCTCTCTCTCCATGCAATTATCCACAGCATCACCTATTACCCACAGAATCCACTTCCAGCACCGAGCTCCTGGCTAACCCGCCCAGGAACGGTTGACGATGGATGGTGTCAGATCCTCCCATCCGGACAAGCGATACCAACGCACTTACAAGGCATGCATCCCTTGCCGGCAACGGAAGGCCAAATGTGACCTAGGAACCGGCCCAGATGGCCTTCCGATCGGCCCACCATGTGCGCGCTGCCGAAGGGAACTAAGGGAGTGCGTGTTCCCCGAGAAACGGGCGTGGGAAAGGTCCCGCAAACGAGGTACACGAGAATTGAGTGCTTACCATATCTGAATCGGCTGGTCTCTAAATGGTCAATTTCTAGCGCGATCACCAGAGAGCTGTGAAACGGATGTCTCACCTCGAAACTCCAGTCAACTTACGACGACATCACCTGATACTTCTATCCTCGCACAAGGACGGATCCAGAACCTGCATCATGCAGGCGAAGTCACCAGCTCAACACCCGAGAACAACTTTCAGCCGGAATGGCCATATCATCGGGATGGAGGGGAGTCTTACCGTGGCCCCCTTGATCGCCCTTCTATAGGGTCTTCACGAACTGATCAGTCCCACTCTCATTTATATGAAAATAACCAACACCGATCGAATTCTACCCTCGCAAGCTCTATGATGCGCACTGTCGTTTCGAGTGGCAATGATGCACTCAACATTCTCTTCGAAGCTGCAACTGCTCAAGAAGAAATCAGTCTTGAGGCTCGCTCTGAATCTCTAGCTGGGCCTCCGTCTGCAGGCCCGAGTACCCAAGATCGACAAGATCGAACACCCGGAAACAACGAGTCCGCGTTTGAGTCGATGGCACGGGTAACACGTCCTGTCAAGCTATCCGATGCCACCCAAGACACTCTCAATGTCTGGGAGGCCTGCCGGTTTGTCAAAATGGGTTTATTCACTGCTAGAGAGGCTGTAACTTTTACTGATCTGTGCGTTCCCTCACATGTTCCATGTCTGTGCCAAATGAAGGCTAACCGAAAGCAGGTTCTATGAGAACATGTCATGTCTATCTCCGATCCTGACTGACTTCTACGCCAATCATCGATACCACCACTGGCTGATTACTCGGGAGCCGGTTCTATGCTGCACCATTCTCATGATCTCTTCTCGCTATCATGTCCTTCCCGGAGCAGGAGGAGAGTCGAGGAATTTCTTCATCCACCACCGACTATGGTCCCACTGTCAGAAATTGACAATGCGGCTTATTTTTGGGCAAGAGAAAACAACCAAATCCAAGGTGCGGAGTCTTGGTACTGTGGAGGCGCTTCTGTTGATGTCAGAATGGCATCCTCGCGCGCTGCACTTCCCGCCCGAGACGGACGGCTGGGATGATGATTTAATTACAGCGATTCCCAACAACCATGATAATATTGATTCAAGCTCAGCACCTGGCAGTCGTGGGGTAGAGGATATAATTGAACCAGCACGTCGATCTGACCAGATGTCCTGGATGTTGCTTGGATGTGCGCTCTCTCTTGCACACGAGCTGGGTATATTTGAGACAGAAGGAAGCACCTCACCATCCGACGAACCGGAATGGGGGGATCAGATGGCAATTCGCTGGCAGCGCGTACAACGCCTGCTATACGTCTACATCAATCAGTTGGCTTGGCGGATTGGATGCATGTCACCGATTCCCCAATCATTGAACCATGCGATCCCGGGCACACAGAAGCCACAAGGACTGAGTCCACCGGGCAGCACATGGTTGACGTTCATGGATTCGTGGATTGAGCTTACCAAGCTAGCCAAGTCTGTCACCGACATGTTCTTCCCCTCTGCCGCGTTTGCACGCCAACTTCTGCACAGTGGCCGATATGTTGGTCTTCTTGAGCATTTCCGACCTCTTCTGAACCAATGGAAAGACAAATTTCTACAGCCCCAGGTACTCGATAAAGCATTCTACAACGATCTATTCATCGAATACCACTTCGTCCGTGTTTACACCCATTCAGTGGGAATGCAAGCAGTAGTGGAGCGTGCTGTCGCAGAGAACGGCCCCAACAACTTTGACGGAGTGCGACCCATGACCATTGATCCAACAGACTACGAATACATCCAAGAGGTGATCTATGGATGTGGCCAAATCTTGCAGAAAGTCACCCATCTAGCCGAAGCAGGGGCTTTGCGATTCTCTCCAGTCCGAATTGTCCTTCGCATAACTAGCGCCTCGATATTTTTGATGAAGGCGCTCAGTCTGGGCACCAGACAAGCCAAGCTCCAGGAATCAATTCAAATCCTCGAGAGGAGCATCAAAGCCCTCAAGTCAAATGCTTTGGATGATGTGCATCTCAGTACGCGGTATGCCGCGCTGCTAGAAATGCACGTTTCGCGCTTGCGGCGCAATCTGCTTGCATCGTCGAAAGTCGTGAAAAGTAGTCAAGACGCCCCAGGAAGATCATCCATGGGGCCCCCTCCTTGGCCGGACAATGGTGACCGACCAAATCTCAGCAGGGCCTCTGTATTGCAGGACCCACCACCTGCTATGGGATACATCCCGTCGTTGAACGATATTGGTGCAGACAATTGGCTTTCGCTACCCTTTGACCCATCGATGGCGCCGTTTGATATGAGCCATGGATGTCAGTTCCCGATGTATGAAGGTGGGACATTAGATTTTCTTTCAAATCTACCATCGTGAAAGACTCAACACTAGACACGGAGCATTCAATTAGATAGCTTTGTAAGCAGCCCTATCTGGTGGCAATCACGCAATGATAGAAAGTGATCCCCCCCCCCCCAATTCGGACAATACTCACTCCGCCTTGTCTTTCCCCGCACCCAACAACAACCAACATTGGACTTCCAACCAGTCCTATTACCCAGAAAAATGACGAAGCAAGCATTATTCAAACCCACTTTAATCATCCACGGCGGCGCCGGCAACATTCAGCGCTCCAAACTCCCCCCCGACTTATACGCCGCCCACCACGCCTCCCTCCAATCCTATCTCCGCTCAACCCATACTATCCTCAAAAATGGCAGTACAGCTCTGGACGCAGCTGTGCACGCCGTCTCTCTCCTCGAAGATGACCCTCTCTTCAACTGCGGCCGTGGCAGCGTCTTCACAACAGCTGGCACAATCGAAATGGAAGCCTCCGTAATGGTGACATCCGTGAACCATCCCGACGCAACCCAACCAGGCGCGATCAAGCGCGGTGCAGGCGTGATGGGCGTCCGCAATGTGCGTCATCCGATCCGTCTTGCGCGCGAATCCCTTCTCAGATCGGGTGTCGCCGCCGATGGATCTCCGGTAGATGACGGAGGGAGTATGCATTCTCAGCTTGTCGGTCCATATGTTGAGACTCTTGCTCGGGAGTGGGGAATGGAATTTTGTTCCGATGAGTGGTTCTTCACGCAGGAGAGATGGGACGAGCATATAAGGGGTTTGAAGGGTGAGGAGGAGCCTGTGGTTTTAAGTCAAGGGACTGTCGGTTGTGTTTGTCTTGATCAGTGGGGGAATCTGGCTGTTGCCACTAGTACTGGTGGTTTGACGAACAAGTTGCCTGGGAGAATTGGCGATACGCCTACCTTGGGGGCTGGGTTCTGGGCTGAGGCTTGGGATGAGATTGTGCCGGGTGGTGATGAAGCAGTGACAGAAGACTCTTCGGTGGGTGGCTTGCTACGCGATGCGAGGAACTGGCTGGGGGATTGCATGCCGTCGTTCTTGCGAGATCAGGCCTTATTTCTGTACTCGTCCCTGTCGGGTGATGGTTCCTCCCGGCAGCTGGACTTGGGTTCTGGGAAGACTTGTCATATTTATCAACCTTCTGCTCAATACTCTCATCGGCGAGCTGTTGCGGTCTCTGGGACTGGGAATGGAGACTCTTTCCTTCGGGTTGCGGCTGCACGCACGGTTGCCGCAATGCTACGGTTTTCTCCGCCTGGTAGGTTCCTTTCTGGTCTTGCAGATGCAGTGACGGCTGTTTCTGGGCCAGGTGGGGAACTTCAACGTTCAGCTGGCTCCAGGTGGAATAATACCGGTGAGGGCAAGGGCGGTATCATCGGCATAGAGGCAGAGCTTGCCCCTGTAAACCGGGCATCGGATTTCAAACTACATCGGGGTAAGGTTGTATTTGACTTCAATTGTGGTGGTATGTGGCGTGCCTGGGTAGAGGAGGATGCTGCTGGCAATGAAGTTGAGAGGATTATGGTCTTTCGGGAGCAGTATGAATAGAACAAGTTCCCTCTAATTTGGTCAGATGGTATGTTCCTATATCAAGATGATTTCTTCTGCAATTGTTCCCAGCTATTTTCACGAATGTGTTAGCAAGGTTCAAATTTACTGTAAAATCTAGTGACAGGAAAAGCAGAGGAGGCAAAGACACACAGACAGAAGGGGATTACTGCATAGGCGTTAGTCCAGTTAGAACACGGACATACCTATCCTGTATGTACCACCCCATGCGGGGCAAGGCAACAATCCTTCATCTAGGAAAATACCAGGCAGAGTCTATAGATGCCCAAATTGAAGATTGCTCTTTTTTTCAGTTTTTAACTATCATCCAGCGTAGTTTGTTCTAATCAACCGCTGTGGGTAATGCAAATAGATGTGACCACACCCTCTCCGAAAAACACCAATCACGGACTGGGCGCTGTAGATAACTAATCCGTGTTGAGGACTGGAAGTCTCCCACCAATCGGTTAATAAGCGCCATGTCTAAAAGTAGCCGCGCTGTTGACGCGTCATGCTGTGTATAAAACAATGACACTCCCGGCTTTTGAGGGCGATTATATCAGAATCAATTATTTATTCTCCCTCGACCTCGAGCTTTTTAGTCACCCATGATATCCTCATCATACCATTGAGCCTAGACACAATAACGCGTGGTCCAAGCGGATCTGTCTATCGCTAGTTATACTTCGCTGTCCTTTTCTCCATCCCCAGGTACGAGGTAAATATTGCTTATCTCGAGTGATACCTCCAGTGGTGAAATCAGTGGCAGCAGTCCTTACTTGGGAGGAAGCAGCCCCTGACGTGTCACCATATTACCCTCGAGTTGGAATGTGCTTTGTCTGCATCGCAAATGATATGGCTTTTGACCCTTGTCTTTCAAGGTATTCTTGTATTTGCATCAAACAGTATATCTGGAAGCAACTTATTCTTGCGAAGAACTGGTAGATAAAAGCCCTAGTGTTGGCTCACCGTGCTTGAAATTTTGAGAAATGCCTCGCATAGCTTTCGAGTCAGACGGTCTAAGCAAGTAGAAGCAAACAAAAATCCCACGCAACTGGAGTAGAACAATCAATCTATCGATGTATCCCTGGCAAGACGAACTATTCTAGATAGTATTAAACCCCGGATCGAACGTCTGTGTGGTAATACTTTTGGACTTCGGCGTGCCAATTCAAGATGTGGCCCAAGTCTGGGCTACATTGATTGTCTTCCTTAAGAGGATCGTCCCGGTCAGCATCGTGGAAAGGATCAACGATCCACGGATGACGTTGTAGTCGCCTAATGTCTTCAATTTTTGAGGTTCCGTCATCAAGCCAAAGGCCATCGTCGTAATGTCTATGCCAATTAAATAGATGAGACGTTGCGCTCCAGGATTGCTCATCGGCATCTTCACACCTTTTGAGCCCCACACTTGTGTGTCAGTATAGGTAACAAGCAACATGGCAACTTTTACTTACTTTGGAAGAGCTGGAGGAGTATCTCCCAGCATGTCAAACAATTGTGCATTCTGAAAAAGTCCAGATTCATACTCATAATGTTCGCTCGCCTGGATTTTTTCACCTGAACGTAGAACCCAGAAGTTCGCCCACGACACAGGAAAGAGTTTGTGTCCAACATGAGCGAAAATCTCAAGGGTCAGATTTTTCTTCGTAGTAAGCCCGAAAGGAGGTGCGGTGGTCCACGGTAATGATCTTTCTGGTCGGCAGTAGAAAGATATCTGGAACTCCTCCGCTCGGGAAATAGCTGTTTCGGTCATAGTGTCGGGGGGGTACATCACTTGCATAAATGATTGTGTGGTATTTGTCCAAATTGCGGCAACGAAGCCGATGGGAGGTATTCGTCTGAGCGACAGGTTCAATACTGGTGAGGCCTGATCATGGACCACGAGAGAATACCATAAGAGGCTCAGGTGTGGTCTTTTCCATGAGATCGCATCGAGCAGCTTCTGATGGTCTTGTTTGGCGTGCGAACATAGAGCCTGTCTGATACCAAAAGATGCAGATCCAACCAAGTTGCATGGGATGGTTGGATCAAAAAAGGCACTGCATAACAATGAGTCAAGGGCGTCTTGGGTAACACTCAGGGTTATCCACTTATCGATTTTTCGGAAAATCCCACGGAATAGAATAGGAGTTGTTCCACGGGGGGTTGGAGGACGAGAAATCATCGCCGGTGGAGATAGTTTCGGGCTAGGTATATTTCGCGATGGAAGCAGCAAGACGGAGGCAAACCCAACCAGCATTTCTCTTTCGAGACCATGTGAAATGCAGAAATCCAAGAGGATGTTGAAAGCCACAGATGAATTCGGTAATGATGCGGCCCATTCGTAGCTGTTCGTGTACTACATAAGCAAAAATCAAAATCGAAGTAACTAAAGAGCTGGCAATGGTCCCTTTTGTGATGACTTTTATCTTCAGCTCGTAGCATCCAGGAAGAGTACGACCTACCCCGTCCACTCTTCACCCGAGCTAGCCAACGACCTTGTGTGATGATTTCCCAATAGTGCTCAATCATTGAATCGCCACTGTCATGGAAAAGGGCACAATCCTCGCCAGCAGATTGGAGTATTTCAACCCAGCGAGAAGATTAAATGTATGACCAAGCCAAGACAATGCTTGTAAGATATGCGAGTTGAAATTCTCGTGCCGCGAGCGTGACACCACACTCTGATTGTTCGATGTTGGATCTATACACCGTGGGCAGCGGAAAGCCAAGACATTGGAGATAATCAATGGACTTCCATTGTTGGCTACATCTAGGGTGATGAGTAGTTTGAAGATGCAATGATGACCGTAAGACAAGCGGCGACTTTGTTCCACCTGTCAAGTCAATGTTCTTCGGCGGTTCGTGGAAGAAAGGGAGGACATTTTCTAGCAGACCTAGAAAAGCCTTCAGATGCATGTCTAGCGATATGTTTGCTCCGTTATGAGTAGATGCTGCTTCACTCCAAGAGTCCAGAGTCGCTTGCTAACATGATTGGAACTGAGTTTCTGGTGGACATATCCCGTCACCGGGGACCCATGATTCATCATCGCTACTCCGAGAATCGGTTACAGAGCCGGATAGCTCTAGGTCTTCGTCGTAACCAGGATAGCTATGCTGACTTGGGATGTCATTGCTTCATTTTTCCTTTCTCGATGTGATGGCTGACGAAGACACCAGAACCGATCGAAAGAAGCGCAGTATAACAGGTATGAATGCGGTGAGGAGCGTGAAATCAATCCGATCACGATTTTTGATACTAAGAATTCTGCCAACCAATCACTACATACGATTGGGGGGCATTCACGGCAAGTTAATCTTTAACAGAGACAGCTCACATCGCAAAACCCCATTCCCAAGGAAGCTCGATAATTTAGGTTTGTATAGTCGAAGATGGCGTATCTGATGGAATCAAAATAATAGGTACAGACGAAACAGCAAGGCTCAATCAATCGAATACGGCCAGGCGCTTTAAAGCGTCGTCGACTGCAAACTCCCCCTAAGCAACTAAATTCGGAAGTCGAAGGCTCTGTCAAAAAGTCAACGTAAAGTAACCGCGGGCATCAAAATAGTGCCTATCGTCCAAGCTCTTCATCTGGTGACTCGAAGGGTGAACTACGTTGAACTTGTGTTGCCTCAAATGAAAGGGTCAAAAATGAGAGGCTCATATTCATATGCCTTTTCTCATCAAGTTTTGTTGAACTGGGATAGAAATCCTGTAATTTTTTTGTAAAGGTGAATCGCATGACCTATGTCCCAGCTGACGAACAACACGATATTGGCTATGAAAGTGATCGCCGATTTGTATGGGGCTTATATCCCCTAGTCGGTAGTCCTCAAGTCTCTCGACTCCCTTGGGAGGTTCGTAGAGGAGACGGGTGTTCAAATCATCACCAGTCTCCTTTGAGTTGAACGCGGGGAGGGTGAACGCGCAGCGGGGTTGATGATGAAGCAGCAACATACGCACTGTAAATATATAGAGAGGCGCCATTGCCAAGGGTCCCAGTCTTGTGATGTCTAAGATAGATAATCACTTTCGAGACTGTTATTTCCATAAGAAACCAAAGAAGATAGCACCGGAAGGTCGGGAAATTGTATCATCAAATTGTGTAGCGCCGTGAATCAGCGCTTATGTACGGAGTGCGTGGATCGGACCCTCCCCTGGCGCGTGCTGGTGGCCAGTGAGCAGAAGGGATCATGACGGCGGACCCATCTGGTTTGAGTGGGCCGATGAACTTGGTCCGAGAATAGGGATAGGTCAATGATTTTGGGGCTATTGATGATAGTAGCCTAGGACATTCCCAATTCAGAACATGAAACGTACAAAAACACGAAAACAGAAATCGATCAGAGGAAAAGAGGACCGATCCTGTATCGAGTGTCAGATCACACGCTCGTGCCTGTGACTTCCCGCATCTCCACCTCTGCCGAACTCTTCTCCCCTCAACGTTTTTTCACATCCCCTTTCTCAACTTCCATTGTGTCACTCATTTTTTTCAAACAGAGGTCGAGGTTCTCCCACTCATTCAACCCTATTTCCACGAACTTTTTTTACTGGTAATTGCGCATTCGTTCTCTACACCGTGTCCCCTTTCTTGACGAGAGATCGGCGGTCTTCAATAAAAGTCCATTGATTGTCGCTTTGAATACCCCAATGTGCGACTGGAATACTGGCGCTTCGTTGTGATCATATAAACACGTGGCTAGCAGCTCTAAATATCAGTCAACCTCCCCCTTGCCTTCCGCAGGTATGCACCATTCGCACGGTTGATATACCGCCATTCACCTCGTTGCGCCTGACTTTTGTTTTTCTTTACTCTTTACACTTGTTTCCAACATCAATCACAGCTCTACCCGGCTGGACCGAGGAAGTTGACCTTTGATCGTCCGTGATTGCGCCATTCATTCCAATCCTCTGTGATAACTTCCTGGCTGGACCAGGTCATTTAATACAATGCTGTGCGGTGGAGACCGTGAGAAGGGGGATGTAGCCATGGAGGAAAAATGGGACTATGTGGTAGGCCTACATCTGCCTGTGTTGTAAATGTTGTATAGATGACTCTGCATACTGATGATAACTCCCTTAGAACCTGGACGACTTTAAATCCGAGTCCTGCCTAACACCCTTCTCATATTTCTTCATATGGGTGCTCCTATTTATCTCGATTGCAGTCTACGGTGTCGATACATTCACTGCAATCAATTTGCTGGCTTTCTCACGATGGTCCGGCAGAGTACAACCAGCCATCCCCTTCAATATCTCCCGCTGGATCTTCGCTGCCTGCATTATTGCTTCGCTTGTTCTTTTGGCCTATCGATGGATTCATGCCATCCGCGCCATCCGCTCGGGTAGTATTACTCGTAGCTTTCTGGACCCGCTGGCTGTGCGTATCCAGAGTGTTCGCTTCGGCCAGCGGGGTCGTGGATACCGGCGATTCCTTGTCTTCGCTGAATTAACTAAAAACAGGAAAGCAGCAGAGTACGTTGCTCTCTATGCATACTTTTCATTCCAGTGTAAGCCTAAAAAATTGCTTCAAGGTCCATCGAAAATTGCTAACCAAGTTTCAAGTCTGGATGAACACGATCTTCGCAGATGGTCCGCGTCAAGTTCTCAATGCTATCACTCTCTACTCGGTCATGCAAATGGACCTTATGCCTGGAGGAAAAAATGCAGCCCATGACGATGGAAATTCCTCGGTTGTTCAATTCTTTCACAACGTGAAGATTTTGGCCGAAGATAACACCCTTCAAGCTGTGGTCTTGTTTGGTATGCTTTTTACCCTGATCGTTTGGGTCATCTCGGTTCTCAAGTTGATGTCGGCGATCGTACTCTACTTGATCTTCCTTTTTCACCACATCCCAGCGGAAGACGGGAGTCTTTCGAGGTACTGTCGTCGGAAGGTTGGTCAACGTCTAAAGCGCATCGTGCACCGCAAGAACAATAAGGCTCTGGCAAAGGGACTTAAGTTACAGAACCGAGCACCCACTCAGCCAATGCTGGCCACGGTTTCAAACCCAAGTCTGCCATCTCTCTCTGGAGACAAGGTTCCCACCGTGGCTTCGCTGTCGCGAAGTACCACGGAGACTACTTTGCCGCCTTACTCGCGATCGAATCTGTCGGCGCTGGCGCAAAACCCGACACTGCCGAATTTGGAGTTCGATGCTAAACCAACACTCGCTCGAACCGGAACTTCAACTTCAGCAATTTCAGAGACCGTTTCACTGACTGGCAATGCGGCCGGAATGGGATACACTCCTCTTGATGGCCGGAACCCAACGCTCCCGACGCTTCCCCCTGTCCCTCCCTTGCCGCCTACCATTCCATCACGCATGGCCACTCCTCAATCTCGAGCGAGTCCTGTGCCGTATGGCAATGGCGATCGTAATAGCCCTGGCCCTGGATATCGCAACCTGACTGATAGCTCTGATTCTCGACCAAATCAGAGCCACACCCCAATGCCTGATTATGTTTCGACTGACATGCACGCTTCCGATGATTACGATGATTTCAACCATGACCATGTGCGTGCTCACTACAACCCCTACAGTCCTCCGAGGGGTACATACGGCGAAGAGGATGAATACGGACAAATTTTCGAAGCTCCAGGTGGCCAGAGAGGCGCGCCTTCTGAACAGCAAGATTATTACTCACAGGATCCATATTTGACAAGATCCTGTGCGTCGGCCAGTACCGGCGAGATGCCTACTCCTTATCGACACACCCCGGCAAATACCGATGGCACTCCTGTTCCCTATGAATGCAATGCCCCGGCAAGCTACCAAACCATGCTTCCCCCACAAGCAGCCACGTACACACCGCCTTCACCTAGGATGTACACTTCAGCGAAATCGGCAACCACCGCTTCTCAAACTGGTGGCTATATAGCTTTCAACCCGTCCATGGCCTATAACGCACCCCAGACTCACCCCCGTGGGGCTCCTGGCCCGTCTAGCTGTACTCGAGCAAACACTGCCTCGCCCTCGGCCATGCATCGCGGTCCACCGGGACACACATTCAATCGCGCAAACACCCACCAATATTGACATGGTCCACCTTCTTAGCCTTCACTTGAGAGCTATGACACCTTGTCATAATGAAAACCAGGAGCTGGATCTCCTGTGGTTGATGGCCGGTCCACTCGTTAATGCTGATCACGACCAACGAGCCCCACCAGATCTTGTACAAACACCTTTTCACCTTACTTCGATATTTCCCTTTTTGAATTATCATTCCCGATGACATGAATTGATCACCTTTTTTTTATTCCCCTATTTATCACAACGAAAGTACAGATATGAAGTAGCTCGAAAGTAGTCATGATATCCCCCTTTAATTACGGTTCTATGACCCAGGACGAGGCAAAATACGAACGACGATTAGTTCTAGTTTTGTACAGCCATAAATCCTACAAGTGACATCAGCCTGTGGGCAACTTTCACCATCACAACAAATCAACAAACAAACACCCAATCACCAAATCTTCTTGGCAATCATCTCATACCGCTGTACATGATCAACATTGAACTCCCCATCCTTACTCTTATCCTTCTCCTCTTTCTCCTTCAACCGCCGCAATCCATCCGGATCATCCGCATAGATCAACCTCCTCTTCTCGTCCCCAACCTCAACAACACCCCACCCACCAACACGTTGACTCCCCTCAACATAGAAATCACGAGTACGTGGCGCTCCACTCTCGGTACCAGACTGATTAGTTGAGGACTGTTTACGCTCGCTCTCCCGACCCTTCATTTTCTTGTATCGGGAGCGCGCAAACGCAAGCAGAGCCATTCCCAATAGGAGTTTCAGGATGAGCAGGACGATAAATCCCGTCAGGAGGAGGATGCCCGTGAAAATGTGGACAGACTGAGCTGGTGACGGAATAGCGTTTTCGAGGAGGGTGCGGAAAAGCGCGCTGACGTGGGCGGCGGAGGCGGGGAGAAGGGTTGCGATTGTTAACGGTGAGGCGGAGGGCATCGGGGAAGGGGCGTAGTTGTTGTGGATTGAGGTTAGGGAGGTTGCTCCCATTGCTGTCGAGGATGGGTTTTGGGGTATCAGGGCAGCTAGGAACATTTGGTATGTTTGCACCGAGATACGGAAGAAGAGGCAGGAGAGTGGGATGACTGGGAGGCCGATGCGACGGGTTAGGTTTTGTTCGCCAAAGGCGTTGGTGTAGTAGTCCTTTGCTAGCACGTCGAGGAAGCGGCTATAGATGGCTGGGCGGTTGTTGTTAAATTTGTTGATGTAGGCGTGCTTCAGCCAATCTACTAGCATCTCCGAGCCTAGGACGACTAGGAAAGGGCCTAGGACTTGGGCAAGAGTTGGGATGAAGGAGTTGACGCTGTTGAAGGATGAGAGGATAGAGGATGGGAAGAGGGTGAATGCTTGAGGTAGGATAGATGATGCCGTGCGTGGAGGTGTGGACAATGGTGTGCTGTTTGTGATTGTGGAGGATTGGCTTGGGAAGCTAGATCCTAGCCCGAAGTTGCCGATGAAATTGAACGCGCCCGTCTCCACGATATTACGCGATGCGATGATAGTGAGCATCAGCCATAGCTGGAATCGTTCCACGACATCCGCACAGGTAAGCTGGAAGAGGTTCTCTTTCTCAAACTTGCGGAAAACGGTAGATTTGATCTCCACAAATTGATTGGATAGAAGTAGCGTGATCAGTGCGTTAGAGTATGAGTTCACTGCCACGTTCAGAGTCATGACCTGGTAAAACAGAGACAAAGCATGGGATACTGTGTAAACAAGTGCCACCAGGAACAACCAGAATGGACGAATGATCTTGCTGCGGCCATCTGGAAGACGCTCAAGAGCCTCCCGCGAGAAGAGACACTCGAGGACATCTTGACCGATGGCAGCCAACAGCCTGTCGCTGACCTCCAGCACATTGTAGATAACGTACAGCTTGATGGCAGCCTGTCCACGAATCCAGTGATACATTCGACTTGCATCAAAGTACATCAAAACACAACAGGTGGCTATCATCAGCAGGCCTGTCAAGATGTCCGCTTTGTCGTCTGGAAGTAGCGCCGATGGCGTCGACTTCTTCCGCCGATGGTGGTATTTTCGGGATTCGGAGGATCGATGTTTCCATCTTGGTGCTATATCTGGACCCATAGAAGAACCCTGAGGAGTGGCGTCAGATTCGCTTTCGCGTCTTCCACGCTGGTCCTCCTTTGCGTTGTGATTCCTCCTGCGCCATACTCGACCTATCCCGTTCAGGACAAATTTCCAAATGAAACGGATCTCAGCTCCCAAATTCATCACCCATGACTCGCCCAAGATAAAAATAGCTTTGATAAACCGTAGTGGCAATATCGTGAAAGAGTAGAGCCATGCATCAAGGCAAGCAAAGCTCCCAAAGCAAAGTACCTGCTCGAGCATAGGTGCAAGCATAATGAAGTTCATGAGCCTCTCGATCTTAACTGCTGATGATTCATAAGGGAAGTCATTGGCTCCGTCACGGTGGATGTACAATGGTGAAGGCCGACCAGAAGCAAGCTCAAGCTGCAGATACGTTGGCAGAGAAACTGGCGGCAAAGGAATAGATGACGGTAACTGTGAGGGCATGGGGGATTCTAAAATCTGAGGAGATGCCATAAGGTGGCCCCTCAACTCGCGATCCAGCGCGGGCCGGTCCTGTTTCGAGCGCGATGCCCATGTCTGGGTAAGGCGGTCACTAACTGGGGTCGAGAGCAATTGACGTCGCGTGGAGCCAGGAGTGGAAACTGTTCGTGCTGGGTGCGGCCGATTGCGGAGGGAGGAATTTTGAGCATGCCGTGGGAAGGCAGGGCTCGCCGGCGCAGAAGCATCTCCCAGCAACACTTCTTTGGTGGAACGCAACTTTGGCAAAACACCCGAGGTCAAAGGCGTTTCGCTCAGCGACTGAAGCACAGACTCAGGTATTTCCGGTCGTGCGAGAGGAGAATCCCCATGGACGTTTTCCGAGGCTACTCGCCTTCTGGTGTTCGTTTCTGATCCCCCGGGACCGTAAGGTATTGACTCCGACGAGGATGTAAGTGCCTGTATCATCTCAGGAGACAATTTCATGACCTTGGCTTTATCATCTGGTGGTCGGGGATACAGATCACTAGACAGTTCAGCCAAAGCAGCCTTGACCTTGTGCCCATCGTACACGTCCACCACTGACAACTGGCCAAGGTTATTTCCGTTGTTCGGCGAATGCTCGACTAGGATACCGAGTCCATGCTCGTGCTCCAAGCCCGCCATTTTATGTCCTCCGTTGGTAAGGTGGCGTTCGTCACGCTCGCCGCTAGACTGTGCCACAGGCGTATCTATTTGACTGTACTTCTCCTCGACAGAAAGGACCACAGATTTTTCGTCTACCCTCATACTCCCATTGGTCCCATTTTCGACACCATGTTCGGCTATCTTCCGCTGTGACGGAGCTTCCCTGGTATCTGCAGCAGAGCTCATTCTGACGACCCAGCAACTCACAACAAGGCAATGGACTCCTTGAAAATAGCCGAAAGATTGTGATATCACCGATCATACCATCAGCGAGAGAGTAGATCTTTAGCTTGTATCATTTGATTTGAATTTGGCTCGCAACAGGTGATCAAGCTATGTTCGAAGGCGAAGGACCGTGAAAAAAAGATAGTAAGGCAACAATGGAGTGGTTTGTTCTATCAACAATTTGATCCATCCAATTGGTACATCCTGAAAAAAATAAGGCACAGTCTAGGCTGTTCAGAACACTTGTTGATGTTGGGGCCGCCTGGGGGAAGATAAGGATGGCAGATCATCTGGCAGGTCGGTGAGTCGGAAGTTGACGCTTTTGATGCCTTGGGACCTGAGGCACCAACATCAGTTGTCACGTGCGTCCGAATCGGGAAAGGTGCAATCCCGTAGGCAAGACCATTAACCCGCTAGGCCAAAAGATCGCAAGGACAAACGGAACATCTGTTTGTCATTGCAGTGGCATATACAAAGTATACAAGGCCGTAACATCCGTTATGGACCACAAATGTGTTACCACCCTGTGGAAGACACTAGCATACAACGCAAAATTGCTTCTGTCCTCACTGCCATTGGAGCTCTTCCTCCTGATACCGGCCAATTTGAAATATGCATCAACATTAAACGCCATGTCCCAGACTTGTCGCCAGATTTACGCCATAATCAACACTCAGCTTTACTCAAAAGTAGCGAAAATCTCTGAACCCAACATCCTGCGACCTGTGGAAACTGGCAATTCAGACGCTTTAATTATGCTAGGGTCTGCTGGTCACAAATTTTCCGGCTTTCTAGAAACGTCGCAGGGTTGGTGGAAGAAATGTGACATTTTCGATATTTGAAAGAACCTGGCGTCTACGTCTTCTATGGTCATCGCAGCAAGGAATGGTCATCTAGAGACTCTTCGAATTCTCATCGAAAATCTGCTTTCAGTTATTTTAAGGTCAGCTATTCGATCCCGACATCTTCCGAGCCACGCGGCCCTATGTGGTCAGTTGGATGTAGTTAAGTACTAAATTGCCCAGGGTGCCCTCGTAAATCATATTGACGAGCTAGGGGACACTCACTCGATTCTTCAATCTACTGTTATAAGCGATCGCGTGCCGATAGCTGAAAACATACTTGAGTGGATTTAAAGCCAAAATCGCTCCCAAGATTCGACATTTTATACTCTTTGGTGTGCCACAACGGAAGGCCATTTGGAGATGATGAAATGCCTAGTCAAATGTGGCTCTTTCTTTGCCTATGGACCGTCCAGTTACATCTTCGACCATAACTCTCGCGCAGCCTTTGATACTGCCATTTAATATTTCAACATATCATCGTTTTTCCTAGCCAACGTGGCTCCCGAATTTCCGGGCAACATAACCACCAGCAGCTAGAAATCGATGATAAAACCTTGTGATAATGATACATACGGAGAATTATGGCAATCTGCACGGGGAAATCCACATCTTGCCCAGATGACTTTGAACCGAGTCGATCTGGAAACACAACTCGCAAGTAATACTCCACTTGAGCAAGCTTACCTACTTGCAAAAGTGGCACAGACTGGAAACATGTCTCTTGCAAAACGACTACTTGTCACAGGGTGTAACACTGTCTTGTCCAAATTGAAACACTCACCAGTGCCCCATGCAGTGAAGAACGGGAACACCGAAATTGCAGAGGCTCTTATTCGTTGTTCAGAGGATCCAGTTTCTGAATTGGATCTTTCTTCTGCGGCGAAAAGGGGAAGAAAAGGTGTTGTGCTTGGGCTTCTCCGCAAAGTGAGGAAAAAGGAGTTTCAAGAAATTTACCCAAGTTGCACTGGATGCAGCACCCTCCCCCGACAAGTTCATGCCTGTGATGGATAGTTTTTGACAATCTCGCCAAAGAAGACGTGGAGATTTTGATTTCGATGATAACAAGCTCCACTGCTCGTCAAGCTTCGCGTGCGGGTCACCTGGGAGTTGCCAACTATTTTACTTGAGAAACCGGGCAAGCAACCATTTGACGTGGTGCCAAAAGTCTTGACATTCTCCGACCAGGCTCAAATGAACCTACCCTACTCCAAGAGCATGCAGCTGCCGGTTGCCCACTTGCTCAATTCGAAGCGGTCCTTGCACAATAGAAATATGAGCTAGACCCAGACAGCGAAGAGTGCAAAGCCGCGCGTGTTGCCGGCGTCGTTTACAAGAAAAGGGACCTTTTCAATTCTTCCATGAGAAAGGGCTTGATGTCACTTCCAACAACATCCACTATTCGAAGCTCTCACCGTTATTACATCTAGCTGTGGAAACACTGAAAAAAAGAGGCAAGCATGGCCATGAACATGGACGATGAAAAACCAAGCGCAAGCACGACAGTTAATTACTCCAATAGACATCCATGGTTGGACCACATACATCCCCGCGCGTCAATTCAGTTGCTCATCGAGCAAAGTTCAGAAATCAATCAAATAGACGGAGCTGGCCGAGCCGCTCTCCTAGTAAATACAGAAAGAGAGACAAAGAAAGTGTTCAAATTGGGAGCCAATTTCCTACTCAGGACGTCGGCAAATGTCAGCGCTCTTGAGCCGGCAATTCCTCAATGCCAAGTACAACGCGTGAAAGCCTTTTTGAAGCCTGAAGAGGATCATTCTTTTACGTACGAAACTACATCAGCCTCATCCCTGGCGTTCTGCTACTGGAGATATTGCCAAACAGAGCTCCTACATACCCAGGAGGTCGATCTTGGATCTTCGGAAGCGATTTCAAGTCTGTGCATGGAATGCTTGCTCGAAATGGACGGGTAGAGCTACCGCGAGAATCACCACCTCAAGCATGGAAGACGTACCCGCCACAAAAAATGGCTAGGCATTTTGGACGGGAGCCCTAGGGATGGTTCGGGGAAGAGTTTAGAGAAAGACTTGCAGGAAGACTCGGGGGAAAACTCAGAGTCGAATTTACAGGAGAACTTGGAGCCGGGTATCGAAGAAGACAACTTCAGTCCAATTTCGTCTGCAACCACGGAAGATGACAGCATTGGTGATCCACGCTGGGCGCGATTCTTCATCGCAAAAGCCATGACCCAACATCACTGTACTTGGAGATTTGAGTCGATGAGAAATAACGAAGCACAGTAAAACCGTGTTACAACGAAATAAACGAAACACGGGTGAAAGATTCGGTAAATGGTATACGTAAATGCCGGGTCCCATGTGAATTACAGACAAGTGGAAGTGATTCTGGTCTGAGAATAAGATTATCTTCATTAAAAATGAAAAAGCCCTGATGTCTTTTTACTTCCTCCCCCTGATTTTCTTGCTGCTGGAAATCTTTCTGCCTACTGAGGGCGCGTCAATTAGTTTACATCTTACTCTTGCGGCTCTTGATATAACCAAAAGGAATTTACAGCCTTTTTAGCATGATGATATAGACCTAGGTCTCTTTGATCATAATCCATCTCTAGGAGGAACTTGAATATCTAGCTATTAAGCAGGCTATCTACTAGAGGGCTACGGGTTGCAACGCTACTCCAGGAGGTAAGATCGATCAGCGAAGTATTTTAATTGGTTCAAACTCGTTGAAAAATGGCGTGATAGAAACCTCACTTTGCCGAATATATCTCGTACCATGGGGAAGAGTGGGGGATTTACGAATTTCCTTCGCAGTAGGTGGGGAATTTTGTTGTTACCATGGCGGAATACTCGGTGCACCAGTTAAAAGGTCAAAGCCAGGTGACTGTGCCAAGCCCACCGCCTACCCCCCCGGTCGGAAACTCAGCCACCGCTTACCCCTTACCCCGTGTTAGTGGGCCCCAGCGGATAACCCCGGTTCACAAATTACCAATTACCTTTTCATATTTCAACCCCATACAAAACACATTTACAATACAAGGATCCCTCAATTTTCTCAATCATTAGCCACGCTAGGGAGAACATCAAAAGGTACGTCATATATTTAGTGTCGATGAAGCCTTAATCACTTCGGGTCAATCTTGGTATGATGTTCTCAAGTGCGCTTAAAGGAAGAAAAGTGAAAGTTTCAGTTCAAACATTGTTCAATCAATGTTGCTCTTTCAAGACGCGCTCTGCACCTCTACCAAACTAGTGTTTGTCGAACTACTTCTAGTAGTAGATCGACAGAAGCTAACCTACATTAGATCTTTCAACATGACAGTGGGCGAGGCTTGGGGACTTTTCTCTGCAAGGTGTATGGTTGGGACTCACCCACTTTGAAAGCGGTCAGCAGATCTGCAAATCTCTTCACAATTGAATTGAACACTCTGTATCTATTTTCTTACGAACTGAGTGGAATATTGTTTTGGCCATCAATAATAATTAAAATGGTTGGGCTTACGTCCATGCGCTCGAAGGTTTTTTTCTTAAAAAAAATTAATAATAAAAATAATACCGATTCGATACGGCAGAAACAGATACCCTGCTCCGACACGGCCGAGAAGCACGCTGATGGATGCACGCCACTGGTAGTAAATTTGGTATTCTTTCAAATTCATACAACTGATGGATTACCAAGCAGCTCCGAACTACATGCAAATAGTGAATGACTACCAACTTCTGGTATTGGTATTACTAGCTAAAAAAGCAAGTAGATGCATATGCATTAGCGTAGTTCTCGTCCGGGCTGTCGGAGCAGGGCATGCACTACTGCACGTAAGTGGGGGAAGACTACCCAAAATCAACACGCATTGGTGATGAGTATACGGAGAACTCCGTATACTGCATTCCGTCGTCGGCTGAGCAAGTCCCCGGTCTCCACCTTGGAAGAGAGTCTCGCGGCCGGCACAGAATTGGCTCATACTATTGTCGATTTCTGCAGGATTAAATTTGTCACCTCGTGGCAATGTTCACCCGATTGGGTCCATCCGGATACACCAAGACCACTTTGCCCGCCAGCATAAATACTTCATTGGATGCTCGGTTCTTGAAGTAGGTGAACTCGTTCAAGATGAGGTCAATTCTCCCATTCGTTTTCATTCCAGCTTGTTTGGCTGTACCCTATGCCGAGTACATATATGCACCGTCCTCGAGAACTTTGACTCCACCAGCGGTCATCGGCGTAAATGGCTCGGTCACAAATTCAGAGTCGCTGACCAATGCTAGTGACAAGCGTCCAGCTGTCTTCAATGGCCCTTCATCGGTAACCTTTGATTTCCAGAAGAATGTTGCCGGCATAGTTTCCATCGATGTCGCTTCAGCTTCTTCTGACGCCTTCCTTGGTGTAACCTTTTCCGAGTCGAGTCTATACATTAGCGAGCAGGCGTGTGACGCGACTGCGGATGCAGGACTTGACAGCCCTCTTTGGTTCTCCTTTGTAGATGGACCTGGTACCTACACAGCGGCAAAGAAGCACAACCGAGGTGGCTTCCGGTATATGACTTTGGTCAGCAATACGACGGCGAAAGTATCTCTGAACAGCGTGACGGTCAACTTCACAGCTGCACCGACACAGGACCTGCGCGCATACACCGGTTACTTTCACTCAAATGACGAGTTGCTGAACCGGATTTGGTATGCCGGAGCATACACCAACCAGATGTCGACCATTGACCCATCCATGGGCAACGCGCTCGCGTGGTTTCGGATAATCACCACTGCCGATAACATTACACTCCCGCAGACCGTTTCGTGGTGGAGCAACTACACTATCTCAAATGGAAGCAGTGTTCTCAGCGACGGCGCTAAGAGAGACCGGTTGATCTGGCCAGGTGACATGTCAATCTCACTGGAAGCGATCGGTGTGAGCACGTATGATCTGTATAGCGTGAGAATGGCACTAGAGCTACTGTATGGTTTGCAGAAGAAGGATGGTCGTCTACTCTATGCTAGTCCACCCTTTGTTGATCTCGTCAGCTTCACATACCACTGTCACAGTCTCAACGGTCTTGCTCTATACTATCTCTATTCTGGCGACCTGAACTGGTTGTCTCGGTATTGGAAACAATTCAAACTAGGCATCGACTATGCGTTGTCCAGTGTCGACGCCACCGGCCTGGCGAACATCACTGCCAGCTCGGACTGGCTGCGTTTGGGAATGGGTGGCTATGTAGGTTCCCTTTTTTTTTCCCTGCCAAATCCACAGAGAGGTGTGACGTGGAGAAACATGAAGCATAAACTAACAAAACTTAGAACATCGAAGCCAACTCCCTCCTCTACTATGTCCTCAACCAAGGCCTGAGCCTGGCAACCGTCCTCAACGACACCTCCGTCCAGCACCTATGGACCTCCAAAGCAGCAAAGATCAAGGATGCCGCGAACAAGAAACTCTGGGACAAGAGCGCCGGTCTATTCCGCGACAATGAGACCACGACTTTCCACCCCCAAGATGGCAACGTGTGGGCTGTCAAGTCAAACCTAACCAATTCACCATCCCAAATCCGACAAATCTCCAAGTCTCTACGCAACCGCTGGGGAAAATACGGTGCGCCCGCCCCCGAGGCCGGACCGACTATCTCACCCTTCATCAGTGGCTTTGAGCTGCAAACGCACTACATTGCCGGGAACCCCAACTCCGCGTTGGATTTGCTCCGTCTGGAATGGGGCTTCATGATGGATGACCCACGCATGACCAACTCAACCTTCATCGAGGGCTATTCAACAGACGGGTCGCTGCACTACCAACCGTATACCAACGACCCCCGCGTGTCGCATGCGCACGGTTGGTCCACTGGCCCGACATCCGTTCTCATGAATTACGCTGCAGGGCTCCAATTGAAGTCCGCAGCAGGGGCAACATGGTCCATTACTCCACAGCCTGGTGATCTGACATCTGTCGATGCGGGTTTCGCTACGAAACTTGGCCTCTTTGCGGTTGCTTTTGAGGTGCGCAATGGGAATTACCAGCATCTCCACTTCCGTACTCCAGTTGGAACTACGGGGGATGTTGTTTTGCCAGGGTTAGCCGGGACCTTGGTCAGCGCCAATGGAGCCAAGGTTGCACTCAGTGCTGCTGGGATGGCTAGCGGGTTGGCAGGTGGCAATTGGACTTTTGTTCCCAGAAGCTCAGACAGGACAAGGAGGATAAACTGGTAGGATGAAAGATTTATAAAGGATACCCTTCTTGTATATATACAGTTTGTGTCCTGCGAACACGCGCCAAATTGGGTAATTTTTGGGGCCTTGTTCAAGGTCTTGCCATTTAAAAAAACAGAACTCAGTTTGGTTTAAATATATAGCTAACCACAAGCTCGGCTTGTTCCCTACCTATTAACTACGTCCCTTTCTGTTAATACGGATTGTCTCATAGATTAATTGCGAATGCTAAATGCCTTGCTCGTAGCTCTGGTGCCATACGGTGTACGCCTCAAGTACCAGACTACCACCCAGTGAGCCATCCTGTCTACCCCATTTGCCTTCGCAAATTATTAAAAGGGCCTTTGAGAACACATGTTGCCTGTACAACACACAGGTAGATTCCAAAAATAAGTGGAAACAACCGAACGTGAAATCATATCATTCCAGATTTGCATGTTAATCATGCCTATCATATCGGTATTCGAGAGCTATAATGCTTATATGCTATCATCAGGTGTATTTCACAAAGCAAAGCAATATCTGCCTCAATCCCAAAGCCTCTAGATTTACCAGTAGCCAGGGAAAAGCCAGTCCAGCTTCTCCTTAGCCTCGGGCTTCCAGTTAGCCTGAGGGGTGCTGATACCGAACTTTATACCACCGGCCAGGTGCTTAGCCTGGACCAGCTCGGAGTGTTCATCGCTAGTCAAGGCATCAAGGACGGCAGTGATGAAACGACGAGCGTTGTCAGCGTTAGACTTCATGTTACCCATGACCATCTCGACGGTAACGTCGGCGGTGGCCTCGTGCCAGCAGTCATAGTCCGTGGACATACAGATCATCTGGTAGGCGATCTCGGCCTCACGGGCTAACTTGCCCTCAGGGAGGACGGACATGTTAAGGACGCTTCCGCCCCATGAGCGGTACATATTGCTCTCAGCGCGCGTGGAGAATTGGGGTCCCTCTGAATTAGTGTAAAAGACATGATTAGCGATGTTTTGTCCAAAGATTGGGCCACACCTTCACATACCCATGCAGATCAGAGTACCGCGGTCGTGCAGAACGACACCATCACCCTCAAGGCTGTGCCCGCACTCACGCACCACCTTGGCGATGCCCTCATCAAAGGGGTCACCGAAGGGGACGTGGGCGACAATACCGTCCTCGAAGAAAGTCCACGGACGCACGCCCTTGGTGCGATCAATGACCTGGTCGGGGATGACAAAGTCGCGGGGCTTAATTTCCTCCCGGAGACTGCCGACAGCGGAGAAGGCAATGATGCTGCGGACACCGATAGAGCGCAGGGCGGCGATATTGGCGCGGGCGGGAACCTCATGAGGAGCGATCTGGTGGTGCAAGCCGTGGCGGCTCAAGAAGGCGATAGCGACAATCTTGTTGTTGTGCTTACACTGGTGGTGCAGAATAGTGATGGGCGAGGAAGGAACGCCCCAGGGTGTTGTGAGATTCAGCGAAGCCACCTGAGTGAAGCCGGGCAGCTCACGCAGACCGGTGCCGCCGATGACAGCGATTGGGACGGGCCCTGTCGGATTCACTATCGTCAGCTTTCTGATGAAGCGGGGGCATGAGGGGCAAGGTCAGAGAAACAGAAGTACACGTACCGTCATATGTGGTAGGGAGAGAAGCCATTCTGCGAGCGAGTTATTTCGGGGACTCAATTCGACGAAATGGTTTTGATATAGAAGAGAATGAACGTAAGCCCAATATCCAGCGCATCTTGCGCCATCTTCAAATTTCTGAGGCTGCGGCCAACTTGCGCTTCTCCGATTGGTTGTGAATCGACCCACGTGCTGTAATGTTCCTAAGGCCGCCACCTGCCTTTTTGGGCGATCTATAAAACTTCAATGGACATTTACATCTACAGTATCTACCTCTACATGTCTATCAGAGTCGCACCTTATCATTGACCAGGAATATGTTCAATTTTTTTCTATTGTCTAATTGGATCCATGTACAATTCGAGATAAGTAAGTCCAACTTGGGGTAACAGAGTCTGGATTAATGTTCCCCAAATCTAAGCTGGCAACCACTCATAATGATGAGGACCCTTGTGAACTGGTCCTGGATCTTCACCTGGAATACCAGGCTTGTTATAGTTGTGTGCACCGAAGTAGTCCATCTGCGCCTCCATAAACTTGGTCGGCAGTCCCAATCCACCCTCATACTTGAGATATTCAAGAGTAGCTGAGAGAGCCGGAATGTATTGATCAAACAAGGTGCCCTCCATGACAACTTGCTTGAGACTATGGAAGTTCTGGCGTAACTCATGCGCGACCGCATCCACAAACTTGGTGTTCGTCAGCTCATTATGGGCAGCAAGGGGCGGCTGCAGGAGATCCGCGATATAATCGGACTTAATGATACATCCCGCTCGCCAAATCTGAAGACAGTTGCCCAAATTGACATTCCAGCCTTCGTCTATCGACGCACGAGAAATCAGCTCCAGGCCCTGACAGAAGGATGCCAGGAACGAGCAGTACACAGCTTGTCTCAGGTTCTCGATGATCACTGCGTGGTCTCGGGCTCCCTCGATAGGTTTCGGCATTGGCATTTCCAGCTTCTTCGCAGCACGCGCTCTCTCTATGCGGTTTCCACTTGAGATTCGCATGTAATGGGCGGCCGCTAATGTCGGACAAGAGACGTGCCGGGCGGCAGACTCCATGAGACACCAGAATGGAGTGCCTTCGGTGTTATCGTCATCCTGAACTACCTTGTCAAGAACATCATCGAGCACATATCCATCATCCCGACTGGCTCCCTCGCCTTTGCGATCACCTTTGGGGGTTCTTTTTGTGTGCAACATATCGGCGCCAATGTTAATCAAGAAGTTACCTCGCAGCTCGCCAGACTCATTCCATTTATCAAAGATATCTCCGATTCTGCCATGCTCCATGCCCAGTCCCTCATGCATGTATTGCCAAGTCTCAGCAAGAACAGAAAGCATCCCACCCTCGATGCCATTATGAACCATCTTGATGTAGTGTCCTGATCCACCAGGACCCATGCGCTTCACGCACGGAGTCCCAGATTTGGGATCATGGGCCGCATATGACTCCAGAAATGGCATAACACGCTCGATAGCTTTGGCATCTCCCCCAGGCGAGAGACTGGGTCCCCGCCGCGCAGACTGGTACCCACCCGAAACGCCCATTCCAATCCAGGCGACACCGATGGCGGCACATTCTTTCTGGCGTCGCTCGGTGTTCCGGTAGTTCTCGTTTCCTCCGTCGAGAATGATATCACCCTCTTTGAGGTCTGGTTTCAACAGGCGGAGGACTTCGTCTGCGGGCTCACCGTGCGTGATAGAAAACATGAACAGTTTCCGGTCGGACTTGCCCTCGAGGCTCTTCGCGAATTTATTGATGTCATAGAAGCCTTCAACTCGACCGGTGATGCTCTTGTCGTCTCTTGCGTAGCGCACTACTTCGTCGACGTTCTTCTTTTCTATATCCCAGACCGAGACTTGGAGACCGAGCTCAGCGAAGCGGAGGGTCATCATAGAGCCCATGTTTCCGGCTCCGACAACGCCGATGCTTTTGATGGGGGGTGGCATTTTGAATTGGTCTTTTTCTGCAAGGCTAACTCATTCACGGGTCGCGATTCAAAGTTGAAATGCAAAAAAAAGGCGGGAGATGTTCGTGTGAAGACTCATGGGATGACTTTCACTCTTCTTGAACGAGAAGCTTGTGGCAATCGGATCTGTGATCCGGGGCATTGTAAACATGAAATCAGACACGCCACGAACTAGCAACGGAGGGTGCTTCCTCTTGTACAGATAGTACAGTGGTGTAAAGGAGGCAAATGGGGCAAAATGAATCAATTTACGCTCTATCAGAGACTCAAGCTGTGGCCAAGCTCAAGATAGGCTCGTGTGATGCGCAGATGACAACGCGAGCACTAATCGCAAAATACAACGTTACATCACGATGGACACAGAATGAAGCACAAGTGGGCAAAATGGAGCTGAAGGAGGCAAATATATACCCAACGGTACCAAGCATGGCAACCTTTTGATAGAAGCTCTGTCCCCATGCGTTCAGTGGGCTGTATCTTTTCGCCGATGCCAACAGCCCCCAACAAAATCACGATACACCACCTCATTTTTCCCTGACAGTTCTTCGAAGAAAAGCAAACCAAAGATGTCAATCCCTCATTCAAGCCTCCAAAAAATCCCCCTCTCATACGCTTCCTGCTCAATCGGCTGCAGCCCAAACGACACACTCCCGCACCGCCTCCAAGCAATTGGCGAAGCAGGCTTCAGCGCAATCGAGCTCTCCTTCCCAGACATCCTAGATTTTGGCGCGCAAATCACTGGTAAACCAATTGCGGCGAACGACTATGCCGCAATTATGCCCGTAGCCGCGGAGATCCGCAAACTCTGCGAAGAACACGGGTTGAAAATCATGATGCTGCAGCCATTCGCCAACTTCGAAGGTTGGGTCAAGGGCTCCATAGATCGTGAAGAGGCATTTGCTAGAGCAACAGGTTGGATGGAGATTATGAATGTCGTGGGCACGGACATGTTGCAGGTATGCGTTACGGTGACATGTATATCTGCTGCGCAGCAGGAGAATTTGGAGAGCAGTAAGCTGATCCCACTCCCAGGTCGGAGCAACAGACACACCCGAGCACTTAATCAAGAAAGAACGCGATGTCATCATCTCCGACTTGCGCGCATTGTCCGAAATCCTCGCAAAACGTAACTTCCGCCTCGCTTACGAAAACTGGTGCTGGTCGACCCACGCACCCGGGTGGAAGGAAGTCTGGGAGATAGTGAAAGCTGTCGATCGTCCGAATTGTGGCTTGTGCTTAGACACGTTCCAGACTGCGGGCAGTGAATGGGGAGACCCGACTACCGAGTCTGGTCTGATTGAATCTGTTTCGCAGTCCGAGCTACAGGAGCGTTTCACTGCGAGCATGGATGAGCTTGCAAGTTCTGTGCCTGGTGATAAGATCTATCTGCTTCAGATCTCTGATGCGTATAAGGTGTCACCGCCGTTGGAGGACAAGACTATCGATGGGCTGAGGGCTAGGGGTCGCTGGAGTCATGATTACAGGCCTATGCCGTATGACGGCGGGTATTTACCCATTGAGGATGTTGCGAGGGCGGTGCTGAAAACGGGGTTCCGTGGCTGGTTCTCGATGGAGATTTTTGACAGTGGTCCGCAGGGAACTGGGAAGAAGTATGAGATGGGGCCTTTTGCAGCGAAGGCTATGGATAGTATGCAGAAGTTTTTGAAGAATTGTGCGACGAATTGAGGGGGAGAAATTGCCTGCGATTTGTTTGTTGATGCATTGTTTTTGAAGAGGTTGAATTTGGTATATTTGGCATATGGTCTTTTAAGACCAAAAAAATATCATACACAGTTTTGAGCATTCTTTGGAAATTCATAAGACAAAATTTAAGAAAACGCCGGGGTGGGATGCAAGATTGACGCCATTGAGATCATGAAGTACGCCGTATCAACTTGAAGGTCATGGATGGGAGACAGTTACCCATCAGTTGGCGTTGCTGGGGTACGCAACGGTGTATGTGGGAATGTACTCCTCCTTAATGGAGCGCAAGCTGACGAAACGGGACATCAGGTTGGCACTTCCGGCCTTGTCGTTGGTACCGCTAGCACGTGCACCACCGAAGGGCTGCTGGCCGACAACGGCACCGGTGCTCTTGCAGTTTATGTAGAAGTTACCAGCGGCGTTGCGGAGAGCCTCATCGGCAACCTGGACAGCCGCGCGGTCCTGCGCGAAGATGGAGCCGGTCAGAGCGTAGGTGCTGGTGCTATCGATCTTGTCACAAATCTTGGTGAAGTCGGCCTCAGTGGCGTCATTGTAGGAGTGAATGACGAGAATGGGACCGAAGAGCTCGCGGGAAAGCAGAGGGTGGTCCGGGTTCGTGGTACGGTAAACTGTAGGCTGGATGTACCATCCCTTGGAAGAGTCGTAGGTTCCACCAACAAGCAGCTCAAGCTCGGAGTCATTCTTCGCCTCCTCGATGACACCGGAAAGCTTGTTGAATGAGGCCTCGTGGATGACGGGACCGCAGAAGTTGGTGAACTCAGATGGCTCGCCAACGTTGATCTTTTGCACCTCCGCGACGACCTGCTGGACAAAGTCCTCGGCGATCGAAGAAGCAATGTAGGCACGGGAGGTGGCGCTGCACTTCTGGCCCTGGAACTCGAAAGCACCGCGCACGGTCTGGACTGCGGCGTTGCGGACATCTGCAGACTTGTGTACCAAATGGAAGTTCTTGCCACCGGTCTCACCCACAATGCGAGGGTAGCTGCGGTACTTACCGTCGGCCACGCCTTGTGAGATCTTACCGTAAAGCATGCGGAAGACATCAGTGCTTCCGGTGAAGTGAAGAGCGGCGAAGTCGCGGCTCTCAAGTACGGTGCTGGTCACCTCCGCGGCGTCACCAGGAACGAACTGGATGACATCCTTGGGAAGACCGGCCTCAAGAAGGATCTGGTGCACGAGCCAGTTGGAGGCAATCGCGGAGGGCGAGGGCTTCCAGATCACAACGTTACCCATCAAAGCGGGTGCACCGGCCAAGTTTCCACCGATTGCGGTGAAGTTGAAGGGGCTGATAGCGTACACGAAACCCTCAAGAGGGCGGTACTCCAGACGGTTCCACACACCGTTGGCGTTGTGAGCGGGCTGCTGTGCGTAAAGCTCTTCGGCATACTTCACACCGAATCGGAAGAAGTCGCACAGCTCGGCGGCGGAATCAATCTCGGCTTGCCATGCGTTTTTGCCCTGTCCGTGCATAGTCAATGCCATAATGTCGTAACGGTACTTGGTCGCAATAAGATCAGCGGCCTTGAGGAAAATGCTAGCACGCTCGGAGAAAGGAGTATCGGCCCAAGACTTGCGAGCAGCGAGAGCCGAATCAATGGCGGACTGAATATCGGCCTTAGATGCGTTGGAATAAGTTGCCACAGGAGCGTGAGTTGCGGGGTTAGACTGAGTGAAGGTTTCATATCCCTTGAGCTATGTGATTGATAATTAGAAATTGCTGTTTTAAGTACGTATTCAGTCCTTTTTCCAAGTCTTACCTCCTTACCCGCAACAACCAAAGGCACGTTCAAAGGAGCTTTCTGCTTGTACTTGGCCAGGGCCTCCTCGAGACCCTTGCGGTCTGGAGTACCGGGAACGTAGTGTTGCTTAAGGTTAAAAATTAGCCCAATTGATCAAATAATCTAAATTCCAAGACCAAACTTACGTTAGGCTCATTGTTAATCTGAGGCACCTTGAAAGTGGCATAAGTGCCCATGAAGCGCGTGCCGGAGCTCGGAATGCGGCCTGCGAGGCGCGAAATGGGCGCGCGGGTGCGCAGAATCGAGGACATCTTGGTGTGTGAAATGAAGACAATGAAACAAATCTTCCAAAAATTGAAAAGGGAAGATTTGGAGATGAAGTTCGCGGGGAAGAACTATGATGAAAAAGGCCGGCTACTACCGGTCAGAAGCTCATAGTTGCACTGTACAACGGCCTGGGACTGACTGAGGGCTACAGCCAATCAGCAATGGCCGGCTGCTGTCCCGGGTGGGTCCTACCGGGCCGGCGTCTATCAGCGTGGGTTTGTCGACAGAATATCAATTTGTTCACCGGGCCTTGACCCTGTCATTTGTAAGTCCAAGTTCTTATTACCCAAGAGATTATCAACAATTGACATTCCCCGCAAATCTAGATAAGCTTGATAGCGGCGATTAAAGTGCTTTAAAGGGGAAATAAAAAACGTAGCATCAAATCCACTGATCGGCACCAAGTGCATACTTCGTTTCATAGGTAAAATGTACAAAGTCCACAATAAAGTAGTAATTATTATTCCTTTGATTGGTATATTCTAATATCTAGATCTCTACCACGTGGTATATCATACGCACAGTTAGAGCACCCCCTAGAGGAGCCTTGCAAAAAATAACAACAGATCAAAACTGCTCTATGCAATCCACCACCATACTCGCTCAAGCCAGTTGCGTGGCTGCGGCTTGATCTCCTCTTCTTCAAGTCTGTCAATCTCATCTTTACCGCTGAAAATGTCAAGCTCCGACACCTTGACCATCCATGGCGTCTTGTAATGGAACTTGTGACCGAGGTACAGCACGAAGAAGATCACGAAGACAATGTAGGAAACCAGAAAATCAGATGCGGTAAATTTTCCTGGGAAGAATATCGTGTAGCCGTTGGTTATAGCCAGTAGTGATACAAAGACCATAACATAGTAAGCACCATAAGGCTGGAAGGGGGTAATGAAGGGCCGCGACTTGAGTAACCCGTGGAAGTCCAAAGCGCTGCGAAAACGCTGAAATGCAAATCGTTGGTAAGATAATCTATAACACCAACAGGAAAAAAGGTAATTCAACGTACCAGGTATGCCACTGCCACGATGACCCAAGCGAGGAAGCCACCGATTGTTGTAATGTTGGTAAACCAATAAAACACAGTTGAACCCGAGTTAGACAGATTCAAGAATGAGAGTAGACCAATTGCCCAAGTTACCAGGACAGCATTGTAAGGGACACCGTTTTTGTTGCAGCGAAGGAAAAATGCTGGAGCCTGGCCTTCACCGGCGAGCGAGTAAAGTGTGCGAGACCCAGCAAAGAGCCATGAGTTGCCCGAGGAGAAGGCAGAGGTGAGAATAGCAGCATTGATAACGTGGTTCAATCCAGCAATACCAGCATTTTGGATGCCGACAACGAATGGACTGGCGCCAGCACCAGAACTACCGCTCGCAACACCCTGCAGGAGGTTCTTGTCGTTGTATGCGACCGTCACACCAATGACCAAGCTACCCAAGACATAAAATGCGAACAGACGATAGATAAACCGCTTTGACGCCTTGGGAATGTTGCGGCGTGGCGACTCAGCTTCACCGGCAGCAGCAGTGATCAGCTCTGGAGAGAAGATAAAGGAGAATCCGCACTTGATCATAGCGGTCCAGAAGGCTAGAAAACGGCCTGTGTTTATGTTTGGAACCAAGTAGGGCTCCACAAATGCGCCTGGCGATTTCCAGTATCGGAAGCCGAGACGGTCATGGTTAGGACCTCCCCCGAAGAAAAGAATGACACCCAAGATGATCAGACCGAGGATCGCAATGATCTTGAGTGATGCGAACCAGAATTCAGCTTCGCCATACCAAGAGACCGCGACAATGTTTAGAAGGAGGACAACTAGAGGGGTTGTGTTAGAGAATTTCATGACTGCTGAACTGTTGGCATATTGTGTACTCACGAACGAGAATAATTGCGATCCATACACCCACGTTAACCGGCGAATTCCAATACTCTATAACGAGGCCGCATGCAGTGACTTCTGATGCTAGCAACATTGAAAATGAATACCTGTATCGTGGTATTTATTAATTTGCTGTAGGCGGGCCATGACAAAAGAGATAATTACCAATAGTTATACCCTGGAGTCAATGAGATTAGCATGGGAGTTTTTGAAGCTTGAAAGGTGGGTTCGGCATACCAATAGCGAATCCAAGACTGGGCTCCGTAAACCGAGTGATCAAATAAGGCGTAGACACACCCTGGACGGGGAGATAGGTGGTCATTTCACCAAGCATGTTCATGACAAAGTAAACAATGCTTGACATGACAATATAACCCATGAGCAAAGGAGCTATCACTTGTTAGCTCCATCTCGAGTTATGTTTCGCACGATGATTCTTACCAGGTCCAACCGTCGAGAGCGATGCGCCACTGCCGACAAAAAGACCAGTACCGATACAACCACCCAGAGCCAAGAATTGAACATGGCGCGAGCTCAAACCTCGCTGGGTCTTTGAATTATGACTTATGATCTCTCCCTGCATGGCTTTTGGGTCGTCACACGGGGACCCGGGACGATCCCCGGCCTCGAGACTCTTGGGCGAGTCGCTTTTCATGATGCGCGAAGGCAGAAGAGTTGGAATATTGGCCAATCTGGAACACAACTCGGGAAAGAGAAGAACAACGACACGAGAAATTCTGAGTAGCGTAGAAACCTACCAAGCAACTTTAGATTTCCGGTGAAAAGTGTAACTCTCAAGGTTATTATACGATGAAACTACTCCGTAGCCCTCAAACTGTTATCTATTCGGAAATACTCTGCCAATGAATGGGGCATATGCGCCATGAGCGGTTGCTCTAATTGGAGAAAACCTTCTCTCTCTTGTTGAAAGATAATCCAAACGTCTGGGTGAAACGAGTTTTCCTCCGCCAATCAGGGATTCAAGGCCCCTGGATTTTCATCAACCACTACATCCAGAAGACTGCACCATTATGGAGATGATTGGCGCTCACATTGCCTTTTAGCTCTAGCTCGGTCTGGCTGCCTTATCGCAGTGTCATGCATATCTTTGTTCTCACATGTCAGATTGCTCTTATCTTACTCTTGACACATTGTCTCGTATCTCTCGATTTAATGTTCAACCTTCTAGTGGCATTCAATTGCTTAGCCCAACCCTTCTTCCTGGTAACCACCTAGTGTAACCGCCTAGTCTGCGATTGGTGCGTAGACCACTTTGACTTTAAGCATTTGCCTCCCGTTTGCCACTAGAATCACGTGGTATGTATGGGGAGAATCCGGGGTAAACTAGGCGGACCTGCCTAGGTGTGGCTCCTAAGGAAAGTAAGTCGTAAAAAGGCTGGAGGATACCCACCGAACACTGAAGCATTTCCAATCCCATGTTGGATCTAAAACCAAAGGGAGCTGGAAGTCACGCATACAGGACCGGCCCGGTCAGAGTGGCTTATCACTTATCAGTGGGTCATGGGCAATATCAAACCGGCCCGTGATCTTTCGACAGGGTTGAATTTGTTTGCGAACTTGTTACAGACTGTACGGGCAAAGAGGCGAATATCGAATCGTCACTCTCGCTCGGACTGATCGCCCCTAGCATACCTTGATATTTCTTAGCGTGATCAATTTATCTCTTAACCGTCGGCATAGGTCAAAAGAAAAAAAAAAAACGAATCATAGCATAGTCAATCCTTGGACCGCAGTTCACAAAACCTGCCAGGCCCTCCCGGCCCGTCAAGATGGGCCTGCTGACCGTACCGGTGCCTGGCGGTTGCCACCGGCTCTATACCTCTTACCCAATGAGTTCCACCGACATTATCGCCATATCTAAAAGGTCGCCTCCAACCGTGGCTCTTCTGCTTCTCCGACCATTTATCTCTAGTCTTTCACCTTTGACTTGAAATCGACTTTTCTTGTCTTCCAGTCTGAAGTAACAATCTCACAGTTCTACATCTTTTGACTGCCAGCCATGAAGGCTGCACCTTCCGTGCGTGTGCCCCTCAAGGCCGCCGCCCAGACTACCCGACTGGTGAGCGGCACCAGCAACTCGAGATCTTCAGTCGCCTCAGTGTCAGCCTCCAACACATGGCAATCAACTACAAAAGCCCCGCCTCCGCTACCACGCAAGGCACTGACAGCACCTCTGGCTAAGCTGCCCTTGTCTTCAGTTCTACGCTCGTTGTTGGTTCTGTCCGTTTCCTCATCACCTTTACTTCTCAAGCCATGCATCTACACTTTGTCTTTGTTGGCTCATCCTCGCAATGCGTTCTGGGATGTGTCCAAGAACCCACTGCTGAACATGCTTGTCAAGCACACCATCTACAAACAATTTAACGCGGGCGAGAACAAGCTCGAAGTGCAAAATTCGATCAACCAAATTAAAGCGCTCGGATGCCGAGGTGTACTCCTTGGATATGCCCGAGAGGTCCTCGTCGACGAGAACTCGGATAACGTGTACGATGTCAAGGCTGCTCTAGCGGAGATTAAGATTTGGATGGAAGGCACACTTCAGACAGTTGACATGGCTCAACCTGGCGACTTCGTCGCTTTGAAATTCACTGGAATGGGCACCGATGCCCTCCGCCTGTTGCAGTCGCAGACTATGCCTACAGAGAACATGGACAACTCAATCCTCAAGGTCTGCGATCTCGCCATCTCCCGTGGCGTCCGCCTGCTGGTCGACGCTGAAGAACAGGCCGTGCAGCCTGGTATCGAGGCCTGGATCATGAAGTATCAGAAGTACTGCAACTCTCAGACCCCCGGCCGTGCCATCTTCTATGGAACGTACCAAGCCTACCTGCGCTCTACCCCTGCCACTCTGGCCCGCCACCTCGAGATTGCTCGCGCGGAGGGATACACCCTTGGTGTCAAGCTCGTCCGTGGCGCCTACATGAAGACTGAGCCCCGCCACCTCGTCTGGGCCGAGAAGGAGGAGACTGACGAGTGCTATGATCAAGTCGTCGAGTCTCTCCTCACTCGCAAGTACAATTCCATGCTTAAGGCTCCCTCTAAGGACACCCCTACCGAACTCCCACCCGTGAATGTCATCATTGCTACTCACAACCGCGAGTCTGTTCGCAAGGCTCATGCTCTGCGCATGGAACAAGCTACCCGCGGCGAGGACTACGGTGTTGATCTCAGCTATGCTCAGCTTCAGGGTATGGCTGACGAGGTTAGCTGTGAACTGCTCCAGGGATTCGAGAGTGCCGAGAACAGTGTCGGAGCTACCCCCATGGATGCCCCCAACGTCTTCAAACTGTTGACCTGGGGCTCGGTTCAGGAATGCATGGGCTTCTTGCTTCGTCGCGCCGTGGAGAACACCGAGGCCGTTGGCCGTACTAAGGATTCTCAGATCGCAATGATCGTTGAGTTGAAGCGTCGCATTGGCAACGCTTTCAGCAGCAGCAAGTGATGTCCTGGCCTTTGCGGATTTTCCTTTTCGGGGGCGACCTAGATCGTTTTTGTCTTTACTTGGCAGCCCACGGGCTGTTTTTCTTTACTTTTCTTGGTGTTACATTTTAATTTGCGTACAGCTCGGTGCATCCTTCATGGCGTTATTGCTGCTTTCTGAAAGCCTTGGAAGTCCATTCTGATGATGATCAATGAATTTAATTTTTTAAAAATGAACTGACTAAATCCGTGATTAATTTTTAGTCAAGATAGTAATCCGACTGAGAAATCAAACCAGAGAGATAATCTGATACCATCTGGTATGATTGAGGTCGAATCATTTTAGAATGTAGTCCCCACCAAGTTGACCTGCCCCCTCCCGAGGTCAGTACGCATCGGAGGGCTCATCCGATAGCCTTCCCCATATATTCTATTCATCACCTCGAAAGCTTTCTTATTGACTTCCTTTACAGTAAAGAAACCAGAGCAAACAAGTCCTCACGCATTGCGGAAACAAAATCAAATCCTCAACCAAGATGCACATCCTCTCCGAACCAAACGTCTCCAAAATCTTCCGCAGTCTAACTCAAGATCAATGCTACAGCTTCATCACAGCACTGAGTAGCGCCCTAATCAGCATAACCAAAGAATCAAAGCCCACAACCCTATCCTCTACTAAAAAAATCCACCAACCCCTCCGGACAGTCTTTACCACTAGCGAGGGCAACACCTGCATCTTCATGCCGGTATCGGACACCGCATCCACCGGCATTAAAGTGGTCACAGCCAGTCCATCTGGAATCCAAGGCGTTATCAACATCTTCAACCCAGAAGGCCATCTGCAAGGCCTCCTCGCCGCAGCAGAAGTAACAGCCTTCCGCACCGCGCTAGCAACAATGACCCTCTTCGTGCGCTGCACGACCCTCCGCAAGGATAACGTGCTTGTTCTCGGCAGCGGTCGACAAGCGGAGTGGCATTCGCGTCTTGCACTTCTACTGTACCCGGAACAGGTGCGACGGGTTACCTTTGTGAACCGCGGTGCGAAGAGACTGGCAGAGATGGAGAGGGATGTTATTTCTGAGTTGCGGGGAATGTACCCCGGTGTTGTCTTTACGACACTTGCTAAGGAGGGTGTTGATGATTATGAGCAACGCCTTGGGGAGGAGCTTGCCGCTGCAGATGTCATCTTTAGTTGTACGCCTGCTACGGAGCCGAATTTTGGGTATGCGGCGCTGCAGACAAACCCTAAGCAGAGGTTTATCTCGCTAATTGGGTCGTACAAGCCGAATATGCATGAGATTGATACTGAGACGCTGCTTTCCGGGGGTGGGAAGGTTTATGTTGATTCGAAGACGGCTTGTCTTGAGGAGGCTGGGGAGTTGATTACTGCCGGTTTGGGGGAGGAGCGATTGATTGAGATGGGGGATCTTTTGGAGGCGGAGGGCATCGTGGAGGGAGCGGTGGATGTCCCTGCTGGTTGCAATGTTGTTTATAAATGTGTTGGTATGGGACTCATGGATCTTGCTATTGGGAAGAAGGTGCTGGATGTTGGGGTTGAGATGGGGCTTGGGACTCATGTTGATGGGTTCTAAATGCTTTTGTATCTTAGTACGAGAGATCCTGTCATTGATCAGATTAATTTTTTGAAATCATCAACATAACCATTTCACTTACTTCTAACCCCTTTTGGATGGTTTTGAAATACCAAGCCACCAAGCTACTCTAGCATCACTTTTCTCGGTTTCATTGCTTAAGCGTTTCGAATTCATAGCATAATTACTCATCCTCCATGTAATCATTCATCACGCTCAATAGAACGCCCGTTTCCTGGCAGGCACCGGAAAGCCGTTAGCTGTCCTCATGAATCGTAGGACCAAGAAACTCAACACCAGCAGAATTGTTTCGAGATCTCTCTTACTCTCCACGAGTATTGAACAAGTGTTGATTGAAAGCACTGTATATTTCGATATTGCTGAGGTGGAGAATAATATGCTTCAAAAGCATCAAGTTTACTAACTGATTTATCATGTTGCCATAGGGGGCTTCGACTCTGCATTTTGTCACAAGCAGCCGCTCCAGATATGGCAGGAGGTGTGTCTAGCAAGCGGCGTGAGGTGACACCCTGAGACACGGTCGGGTGTGCTGTGGCTCAATTCGGATTACTCCATACTGTCAAGTTCCAGAGATGCGTGCAGCGGAAGCGGCAAAATGCTTCAGTACACGTAATTTGCGGAAGGTTCCAATCTTCGAGGTATATGGTTTTCGACAAAAGGCAGATAACGAGCGCTTGCCAATCGCCGTGTTTTTCAGTAATTCGGAGATCCCCCAACCATCGTTGTAGTCTCTGGGTTGAGGCTCCACCAAACTTCTCGATTGATTGCTTCAAGATTTCATCGAAGTTGTCAGCTGTTGCCCGGGTCGTTCGATGTCAATCAAATGTCCCAAATTCTGCCTGTTTTCAGGTTTTTGGCTCTCCTGGCCATGTAGGTATTGCAGGTCAGGAAGTCAGTAGGTTTTGCCACTCGCTGAGAGCCGCAGCAAGGGTCGAGTTCCATGTGGATGGCTGCCTCAAGTTGAAGTTCTGTATACATGTGTGCATTGCACCTGGCAAGGCTCAGCCGATTTTCCTGTGTTAGTAACTGACCCATGATACTAAGTAGCACCTCAGCCGGGAGGGTGGCTTGTGAAGAAACCTTGAGTTTTGATGAGTCGATAGTTCGATGATAGATGATGGAAGAATGAATGAAGTTGAAGGGGTAGGGTTTAAAAAAGCAGAGAATGAAGGAAGAGGAAAATTAAAGTAGACTCAAGGAGAGAGCAAGCAGCCAATGATGCCTATCATAGTGGGTACTGGAGAAGACAAAAAAATAAAAGATGAAGTGAAAGAGAAGCAAATTGACATCTCGCTACGAAAAGAGGACGGGTCATGAGATCGACAAAATTGATGCACATCCCCCAGTAATGTGCTTATTGAGAAAAGGTAGGTAGAGACGAGAATAGAGACAAAAGAGGAAAGTTGAAGCAGCCGGCTAAACAAGCTGCCCGAGCAACGCTAGAGAGTGTGAAGTAAAGACGCAAATTAATCTGAAGGAATATAGCTGACATTCAGGGACATACATGTCCACAAGATGGGGTTCAGCAAGCAGAGAGATGAGAGCAGGTTGGTCTGCTGGCAATTCTTAAAGCCGGTGGTAAGATGTCAACAATAAATGTAGAACAAGTCAGGGTAAAAACAAGTCAGAAAAGAGGGAAGGACATGAAAATCCCCAAGAGGGCTAAATGTCGACCAAAGCCACCGATGAGCGGAGTAAAATGAGTCCGAGATGCGGGGATCTTTATCGATTAGCCTTCCCTTTTTCTCCTCACATGGCCATTTTCTTAACCTGGGACATTCCGGACATCTTGAACATTTCCTTTTCTGCTCAACCTCTTCATTGTTCCCCTTTCTCCAGACAATGCCCTGATCCGCTGTCACGGTAATGAACGACTCGACTCCGACGCCCGCACCGCAAAAACGTCCTCGCGTGGCCGAGGAAAACCGCAAGCGAGCTGTCCGAGCGTATGCTATCCTCCGAGCATATCAATTAAACCGGAATTTCTAACATAATCCGTTTTCCACAGGTGCGATGGCTGTCGCCGGGTGAAAGAGAAATGCGAAGGAGGTGTGCCGTGCCGAAGATGTCTGCGATATCGCCGCCAGTGCAATTTTACTCACATTGACCCCAATGAAAAGACCCGGTCAACGTCTGTATCGTAGGTTCACTAATCACATCCTATCAATATCTAGATCGCTAACGGCGCAACTCATGATATCAGGCTTTTGGGCCGAGCAGCCGCCCTGAGTCGAAATGACATCGCCGAGGCCGAACGGGTGCGCCTGATGGAACGGCTCCTATCGCATTATGTACCCAATATCACTTTCGACATGCAGTCTCTGCGCCAGGCTGCAGAAGATTTGAAAAGAAAACACCGCGATTCCGATTCCGATGCGATCTCTACCCGGGAAGACCCCAATGAGCTGGAGGACCTTGCCATTGATGAGGAGGATTTTACAATCAAGGCCATGCCTGATAACACAACCCGTATGTTGATCCCTGGAGTGCTGATAGGATTTTTTTTTGTTTGACACCATTTCCCAGAATATTCCGGGGAATTTTCATACTTAAATTTCACAATGAAGATCCGAAAGAAGATCGATGAGTGGATGAAGACCGCAGCCCCCGATGTAGGTTTCCGTGAATTGTCAGTGAGCGAAGTCACTCATGCTAAAACAGACCCCGTAGGCAACTTCTGAAGTTGAGCCTTTTGAAGAAAGATGGCGAAGTACACAACTCCAGTCAGCGTCGCCTCAGGTGTCTGCCTCAATTACATGTCTACCGCCCCGCTATGTCGCCGATTTTCTTGTCCAGATCTTCTTCAAATACGCACAAACCAACAATTTCTATATTGAGGAAGACTGGTTAATTGAGAAATTGGGCGTCTGCTACACTGACCATGAAAGTTTGTCATTTGACGATGCAGGCGCCGTGTGCTGTATTCTTATGGTTCTGGCCGTGGGCACTCAATTCGCACATATGGAGTCATCCACACCCGTAAATTGTTTGCCCTCGGGTTCTACAGCTAATCAGGATCATCACTTTTCAGAGGATGAAGTCGGACTCACATTCTACCAATTCGCCTCGAGGCTTTTACCAGATATTATCGCCACCGCTTCCGTTCGAAGTGTGCAGGCCTGTCTGCTTATTGGGACGTACTTGCTTCCGTTGGATACTTCAGGGTTGTGCTACACATACTTTGGCCTGGCATTGAAATTGGCTATTCAAAATGGAATGCATCGGAGGTATCACGGCGAAGGCCTATCTCCGCGCATGATCGAAGTGCGGAATCGGGTTTTCTGGACGGCTTTTACCATCGAAAAGCGCATCAGCATTCTTCACGGTCGACCATCATCGTTGTCGGACCCCGACGTTGATGGTCCCCTACCTGTTGATTTCCCCGGGTTGATGCCCGTCAATCAAATCTCCAACCACCCAAATATGGTAGCACTCATTACATTGACTTTGAAGCTTGGGGAAGTTTCCAATGACATTACCTCATTGCGAAAATACCGCAAAGAGCAACAGCAGGACTGTCTTGAACGATTATTGAGTCACCGAAAACATCTTGTCGATTGGTGGTCGACACTACCAGAAGAGATAACCTGTCGTGATCTGAACCCTGCAGGCCCGCTTTTCAGGTCTAATGTTCATCTCAAGCTAGACTACTGTCTGACTCGAATCTTCATTGGGCGCCCTTTCCTTTTCAGCAACATTAAAGGCATCTACCAGATCCCCTCTCAAGGCCTACCATACAAGGGCTCTTCTGGTCTTTCCGGTCTCTCGAAGAATCGCGCAACTCTTGTTACAGATTGCGTGGAAGCCGCTCTAGAAATCATCGATCTGTGCCGCTTGCTCCGTGACGAGACCGGTCTCGCGCGAGCCTCATTTACCGAATTTAGCTCATGTCGCGCAGCTTTGCTAGTCATTTTAGCCCAGGGCCTGACCAAACGAACTGAAAGACTTGGTGCCGCCCTCAAACAGGGAATTTCCCTTATCAAGATCATGTCTATGGGTGTTGGCTCAGCCCGTTCAGCTGTTAGTGTTATAGAGGCGCTCGAACGTGCTATTCGCCGTCTCGAAGCATGGAGCGAGACCCAACCGGACATGAGCAGTGGAGGTACCGTCGAATCCGCCTATGACCGATTCAAAAACTGGGAGATGCTCTGGAAAGCGGGACCTGTCTCGCCGTCGATGCTCGCATGGCAACAGCAGGAAGCTTATGCGTCAAGTGACCAAAATGTCCCACCAAGCGTGCCCTCTCAAGCCTCTACGATGGCAGGCCCATCTACTCTTCTTCATGGCGTGTCCATGACACCATCTTCTACGGCCATGGTTGGCGTAGGTGGTTCTGTTCCAACACCCGCTGCACCCGATCAAAGCATCCCAGAAGGCGAAGAAGTTCCACTCCCCGACACTTTCTCCATTTCTCAGCAGTCCCTTTCACATATGCCACACTTCGGCTTCGATCATTTTGTTTCCAACTTCCCACAAGAGTTGGGCGAGTTTACTGCTATTCCTTGCTTCGAGCCAGATTCACAGGGTCAGTCGAATGGGTTGGCTGGTGGTGAAATGAAGGCGCCAGGTAGCAGGCCAGACCCCCCTCACTGGCTGAACTTCATGAGAGATTCATGAACCTTTTTTCTCCCATCGTGCTTTAATACTAAGCAGCAACTCATCTATACAACTTGTTTCAGTTGGGTTTAATGACATTGGCATTCGTTCTCTTGGTATACCATCTTGCGACTGTTTGTGTTCACTGTCATCTATTGCACCTGGGTGGTGGAATTTTCGGAAATTGTACACAGCCTATTTCAGCGCATCAATTCACAATTCACAATGCAATAATATTTTAATTAGTCTGAATCAAGTGACTTATAACTTGTAGGCACACAAGGAAATCTTAACATCTGTTCATTTGCGTGTGATGATGCCTCAAATGTTCCTTGATAAATATACATAGTGCCCATAACCCTAATCGAACGTAACCTTTTTTCCAGAGAAAGCAGCCGTGGTCTGTTCCTTGGCCTTCCGCTTTGCCTCCCAAGAGGGATGCAAGGGGCCCTCATCCTTAGGCGGACCACCTTTGGGCTTACCACCAGAACGCTGTCCAGAATGAAGACCAGCAGGATCATCTCTCTGAGGCCGTGCAGGCCCAATGCCGAAACCACCACGCCGGCCCCCTCTTCCTCCCCTGCCACCCCGTGTACCGTCAGTTGCACCACGCTTCGTGTCCCATCCATTATCTCTACCACCGTACTTCGCAGCCAACTGCTCCTGCTTGACATGGTTTGCAGTAGCTCCATACTTCTTCTCCCACAAAGCCCGACGTGCCTGCTGACCCATACGGTTTTTACGAACAGGCTTCTTACCGTAATCTTCCTCATCAGTAGCTTCTTCCGAGCCAGACCAATAACCACCGTTCATTAGAGACGGCAAGAACGTCGTGCTTTTCAATGGTTCAGTAGAGCCCTTGCTCCCCTTTACTTTCTTGGATGGTGGGGAGTCTGCAGAGAAGGAGGGTGATGGTGAACGGGAGATAGAATCGGAGATATCGTCTGCGGCGAGGTCTTCCTCGTCGCCAGATTCCGAGTCAGCTTCGGAGTCTGAACCCGGTCCAAGTCGCGAGTTGAATTGTGAGAGGTCTTCGTCTCCGGACTCGTCAGAGTCGGAGACGTCCACGTCGTTCGCGGAGCGCGAGACCTGCTCGCCGCGCCGGGGTTTTGTTGTCGCTGTCTCCGATTCAGACTCCGATCCACTGTTTTCCTTTCGTTGTTTCTTTACTGGCGTTTCCTTCTTGACATCCTCTTTATTCGCCTTGCTAGTCGGCGCCTCGTCAACTCGAAGTAGTTTCCGAATGCCGGCCATAATACCGGGGATTTCCTTCTGCACGGGAGTGGATTTGAATAGTCGCGCTAGGATATTGGCTTCGGCTGTACTCTTCGGTCCGTCCTGGGAGACTTTCTTGACGGCCTGGAACTCTCCAAATGTCCGCGTCTCTGCAATGCGCTTCGTTCTGATAAGTTGCTTAAACAGGTATCGCTCGGATGTTGCATGGTAGTCGAGACCCTGTTAGAACTCACATTAGCAATCGATATTCTGAGCAAAGAACCTCCGCAAAGTCCTCTGTGTGCTCATAGTAGTAATATCCACATACCTTCAAAGTCTCAATTTCTTCCTTTAGTCGCGCCAACGCCTTATCGTCCTTCTGTGCTTTCGCTGTCTTCTCTCGTCGACTCAGCTTTTGTCGCTCAAAGCCGCGCGATGTCTTGAGACCACGCATAATAGTCAATACGCCATTTTCGAACATTTGCGTTAACCGTGTGCCGTGAATGGACATTTTGCGGGTATCGCTAGACCGCGCGGGCCTGCTGACTTCTTCGAGCTTGCGTTTGGGCATTTCGTTCGGTTGGGTGGATGTATGTAGATGTAGGGTATTTATTTGGACTAGTCAAAGAGTATTTGGCTCGTTGACAAAAAAAACCATGGGCAGTCTCGAGGGTCGTGTTGATCGTCGGATGTTGGCGTAGCTTAATTTTTTTTTTCTTGGGCGGATCCCGGTGCCAAGACAGACGCTTGCAATGGCCATCGCAGATCTATCGGCTTGTAATTTTGTTCAGGGTAAAGATTTATTTGCAAATTGGGATATTAAAAAGGAATTTAAATCGTATCGGCCACACGGGTTTATTTTATCAGTAAACTCGGGCAAGTCTTATACTACATGTGCTACATTGCTGGAAAAATTGATTGGACAAAAAAAAGACCATCGATTAACACTGACGGATATGTACATACAAACATGGCAAGGAAAATGATACGCATACAGACCCTCTCTATTTCTTTTCTTCATCCTTCTCCTCCGGCTTGGGGGTTGGAAGCTTGAACTGTGGTTAACAGGTTAGGATGTTGTCTCTTAGCAACGAAAAGATTTTGACTTACGGACTCGGGAGTGCGGTTCTGACCCGCACCCACGGGCTCCCAGGCAGTAGAACCGCCCTCAAAGTTACGGAAGGCCTGGGTGAGCTCAAGGGGCTCAATAACGATACGCTTCTTCTCCTCGTCGTAGCGCAACTCAGTGTAACCGGTCAAGGGGAAGTCCTTGCGCAGTGGGTGGCCGTCGAAACCGTAATCGGTCATGATGCGGCGAAGATCAGGGTGACCGGAGAAGAACACACCGAACATGTCGTACACCTCACGCTCGTACCACAGAGCACTCTCGAAAAGACCGGTCACACTGGGCACGGGAGTGGCCTCGTCCGCGTAGGTCTTGACACGGATACGGGAGTTGTGACGAACACTGAGCAGGTTGTAGACGACCTCGAAGCGCTGGTCGCGGGTGGGGAAGTCGACACCCGTGATATCAGAGACCAGGGTGAACTCGGCGGCAGTGTGGTTCTTGAGGAAGCTCATCACGGGAACAACACCGGCGGGAGCAGTGTAGACGGTGAGCTCATCCTTCCACACAGTGAACTGCTGAATATATTTGGGCAGACAAGACATGACATACTGCCCATAGGCGTGAAGGCTGTCAGCCATGGGCTGGTACTTGTCGGCAGGGTTGACCACAGGAGCGCGTAGGGTTCCCTGGGCTGCCAAAACACAGTTCGGTTAGCTCAATTGTGTCCTATCTATCTGCTGGTCCAGGGCACATACGCGGGCGCTGCGCCTGGCGCATGTTCTCAGGTTCCGGGCCCGGTGCTGTCGAGGCCTTGGGGGCACACTGAAGGGAGGAGGAGGAAAAGGTGCGGGCGGCCATGGACCTTGTGGCAGATGCCACAGAGCGGCCGGAGCCCAGGCGCATCAAAGAGCGTGCGGAGGCCATTGTGTAGAGGGAGCAATGGCAGATGCAACAGAAAGAGGGGACAGAGGCATGTAAGTCGGATTGTGAAGGTTTAGAGTGGTCGAGCACGTTTGGTCACGTGTTGGACACACGCTAAACCAAATCAGGCAATGCCAGCAAAATGAAGCCGCGCTTCACAATTTCCTTCCTTCCTCTCTCCGTTCATCCTCTTCTATCAATCGTCTCTGCCCTTTCTTTTACCCTCTCTTTTTCTCTCGCTCCTCCTCAAACACTTAATCGCCGTTAGTCTTTCTACACTTAACCGGGCGGCGTATTTCTTTTATTTTACCAATTTCTCGTCCGATTTAACCAGGTGTTGGCGTTTGAGATTTCGTGTCTCTCTCCGGTTGTTACCGTATTCCCCGCGATCATGTCCAGCATCTCATTGATTGATTCCGTCATCGACGATGACGACGAGTTCTGGTACGTCTTGAGGCTCATTTAACCCGCGCGATTTGTGTACTGATAACCCCACAGCCCCCTGTGCATTGAAGAGTTCGATCTCTCTGATAAGAATTTCAAACCGTGTCCTTGTGGATATCAGGTAAGTCTTGGTCATAATCATCCACGTGTCTCTTTCACTACTTGCTTTGTTGTGATGGGGACACACCGCTAGTCTTTGTCTACTTGTGCCAGACCTGACATGTGATCTTTATTTAGATTTGCCAATTCTGCTACAACAATATTAAAACGCAGAATGAAGAAGGCCGATGTCCTAACTGTCGGCGCGGATACGATGAAAGTACCATTCAGTACAAGATTCCCGACGTTGAGGAGTGAGTCAACCCATGCTCTGTGATGTCTTCGCCCCATCCCCACTAACGTTTTACCTCTAGGTTCAAGGCAGATCTGGCACTCAAACACCGCAAGGCGGCCGCTGCGAAAAAGAAGGAGGCCGAAAAGCGTGAAATCGAGGCCTCCAGTCGGAAGAACTTGGCCGGTGTTCGTGTTGTCCAAAAGAACTTGGTCTACGTTATTGGCCTCAACCCTACGATTCGAGACGAAAACCAACTCCTTCAAACGCTCCGAGGACGGGAATATTTCGGTCAATATGGCGAAATCGAGAAGATCGTGGTCAGCAAGGCTAAGCCCGGCGGCAACCCCAATCAAGGAATTGGTGTTTATGTGACTTTCTCGCGCAAAGTTGATGCTGCGATGTGCATCAACGCCGTAGACGGTTCCGGAAATGGTGATCGAGTGCTCAGGGCGCAGTACGGAACAACCAAATATTGCTCGTCCTTCCTTCGCAATGAGCAATGCAATAATCGGAACTGCACTTTCTTGCACGAGACTGGGGAGGACAGCGACAGCTACAGCCGCCAGGACCTCTCATCTATGAACACGATTTCCACCCAACGCCCAAATCTCCCACCTACTCCCTCTCACGTGAGGTCCGCTCAGCCCATAACCCATCCTATGCGCCGGCAACCAAGCAAGGATGGCTCGATCAGCAGCCGCACCGGCATACCAGATGGCCCGGCTCTCCCGTCAACTGCCAGCTGGGCCAACAAAGATGTTGCCATTCACCGAGCCAGAAGGACTAGTCTCACTGGTAGCCAAGCGTCTATTAACAGTCCACGGCCTGCAAGCGTCAATGTTGCAACCCCAGCGGAAGAACCGAAGCGCGCAGAGAAGCCATCTCCGATTTCCCAAGAAGCCCAACCTTCAACATCCCAAGTCGATCCTCAATCTCCCGCCCCGCAACCACGTCCTCGCCGTGTGACACAACCTCCGAAGCTGCCATCACCATTTGACGGTCTGATCAAGGATATAAACTCTCCAGATTTCAAGTTTTCCTTCAGCACAGCAGAATTGACTGCGGAAGAGGTTAAGTTAATCAAAGATTACCCATCTTTCATTGACCCATATGGTGGGGTTAAGCGCAGAGCAATGCGCGAGAAAGTCGAACAAGAGCGTCTGAGCCGAGAGCATGAGCTTCTCCAATCTGTTGCAGCTGAGGAGGATAGCCGTGAAGCGGGGAGCCTTCAGCTAGGTGGTGAGCCAGAGGAAGTAAATCCCCCGCGCAGTCGCCAGACGCGGGAGTCTCACGGCGCTATTCGGCCTCCTTCGCAGCAGGATACTGCGGATAACTCAACTGTTGGATCTCCTGTCTCTGCGACTAGCCATCAATTCCAAGGCTTGAACCTCGCTGGACGAAGCTTAACTCCCTTGCAGCAACAGCAGTTGATGCTACTTAAGTCCGCTGGTAATCAGCATGCTGGTCTGTCTGACCCTCTCAGCTCTGCCGCTCTGGGCCAAGCCGCCCAAGTCCGCCAAGGCCTTGTGCAAAATCAGATGGCACAGTTCAATGCGCTGCAGGCAGCACAGAGCCGACAGTCTTCCAGATTCTCCTTCACCAATGAGGCCGGTTCTAAGAATATGCCTAACGCACGCATGTTGGGTCAAATGCAGTCTTCATCTCCCAACCCTCTTTCTGCTCCAAGCCCTCAACACGGTCTTGCAGCAAGCGGTTTCTACGCCAGTGGTGTGCAGGGTCCCCCCCCGGGACTAAAGACGGCCGGTACACCCCCGATTAGCGGTGGTGGTATGTTCGCCCAGGGACACGGCTTCACTTCTGGACTTGGTGGTAATGGGGGAAAACAAGATCCAACACCGGAGCTAATGCGCGAACTACTGCGTGGACGGACTGGTACGAACGTTGGTGGTTTACAGGGCCAAGAGGCAGCTAAGCGTGAGTTCATGTTCCCTTTTCTTCAACAGCACAATACCCCGCCCCCCATGACTCCTGTCAATGGCCTTCTCAGCTCCTTCTATGGGCCTCAGGCGGGTGTAATGCCTGATTCCGGTGGCCCACAGAAGCAGAAGAAGAAGGGGAAGAAGCACAGACACGCTAACACTTCCTCCGGTGGAGGTGGTGTAGTAGATCTTGCGGACCCGAGCATTTTGCAGGCGAGAATGCATCAAGTCGGTGCGAATGCTACTGCTGGGCAAGCGTTGTACGGGAGTCAGGGTCAAGGTGGGTACAACCCCTCGATGGTGTATGGTGGTGGCCTCAGTCGGTGGTGAATCCCTATTGTCTTCCTTTAACCTACTGTTCCCGCGATTTGCTTTCCTGCATTTTCCTGCTCGCTTTTTTGCGAATACCTTCTTCCCTTGACGGGCCAGATCTATCCTGATGACATGATATCAATTCCTTTTCTTTTCACCTCTACATTGAGGCTTTGCATTTGTTGTTTCTGTTTTTATTCGCGGTCAGAATGGCAGCTCTGACTTGTGCGATCGCTGAACGTACCCCTGGCGTACTATGGCTTCTCTCCGCCTCATTCAATTGCTATCTATTTCCTGCATGTTTTCTCTGGCTCTTTTCAAGTGTCCTTGCATTTCATGGACATACCGACGTGTGTTCTGGGCTCCCTTTGTATTCGGCGGCTGTGTATTCCCTTTTCTACTGTTTCTGCATCCGGACTTCCATTATACGATCTGCTGTGTCTTGAAGACCACAGGTGTTTATGATGGATTAATGTACGTTAAGATCTCCCTACCCTGATACCGCAAGCCGAAAAGGGTCTTATTCGAAATCAGTTTCCTCACAGCCGCCGTTTACATAGACGCCCTGTCCTGCAATGTTTCTGGTCCGGGAGATGCCCATCATGTAATTATCTCGTTCTCATTTTTGTATTTTCGCTTAGTCGTGCTGCTGCTTAGTCGTCACCATCGTCTCAAGCGATTTCGACCCGATCTTTACTTCACCATGATATGACCACCCACTTCGATCGCCACACTCTTCGCTTTCTTGGAATTTCGCTAATACAATGCTATAGTAAATGAGGACTTTCCACCTCTTGGAGATCAATCCAAAGATCGGCGACCCATTGACAGCTTTGGGTTTTTAAAGTCTCAGTTACCCGGTGAATCAGCCGCTCGTTCTGGGACTCCAACTCTGCCACCTGGTCTGCCTTTACCCCACGCTCATCCCTCATCTTCCGTCTTCCAGGAGCACACCTCCTCTAAACCTTCGTCTCCCGCTCCAATTCTTCCACCGGGCTTGACGCCCAGTATTTCGCGACTGAACAGCCCATCGCAGAGCCTCATTGGCAGCCCCTCTCATCTTTTGAGCCCTGAGCTCACAGTGGGCGGACCACTGACATCAAGCCGCGTGAAGGACGCCTCTCAAATCTCCTTTGGATCACCCGTGCAAAAATCCGCGAGCAAGGCCCGTACCCAGCGCAAGAGCGAGTTCAACATTGGAGCTGATTTCAAAAATTCCCCTGCAAAGGCTGAAAACCAGTCACAGTCAGGTTCTGCCACTACGAAAGGCAGCGCACTTGATTTTGGTTCCCCACTAGTTTCATCAACCAAGACTGAGCAGGGACCACCTCCTGGCTCTGTTTCCGCAATCGGGTCGCGACCTGACACACCCCAAACCTTCGCATCCCGCCTCTCTGACTCCCCTGCCCCTCGTCAGCCTCGAATTCTGCGTGTGGTAGAGACCCCAAAGCCAGAAACTCCTCCGATTGTCACGGCACCCTCTGTGCCCGCTTCTGTTGTTGGAGGTACCAAGTCCCGCTCTAGGAGACAGAGTATGTCCTCAACCAGCATCCCCGACACTCCTGCTGATGTGGGATGGGAAGCTGATTACTATCCTTCCACTTCTGCTTCTCGTGCAAATTCCCCTCCTGCTTCTTCTCGTATCGGCTCCGCCCCCGTTCGCTCCATGACCAAGAGCCAGGTCAAGAAGGAACGGAAGCAGAAGGCGAAGGAGGCCGAGGCCAAGAAAGTTGAAATTGCTGCTGTGAATGAGGAGCCTGTTCAAGCACCCATCATGGGGCGAAAGCGCAAGACCAAGAAGGCCCCCACAACCACTGTGAGCACAGCCAATGCACCCGCTCCCAGTCGCCCCGAAAAAGCGAGCCCTGTGAAACCAGCGAGCGCTCTTCCAGTCAAGGCCGAACTCAAGGTGGATACTACCACAAAGAAAGTGAAAGCCAAGGAGACCAAGCCAGTCAGAGAGCCTACTCCTCCCCCTGTCGAAGAGCCACCTGTTCATAAGGAAACCCCCGTAGAGCCATGGCGTACAAACAATACAGTTGGACAGTTGGTCAAGGATTCCGAGGCGCTTGGACGGGCAATCAAGGATCTTTTCGTGGAAAGAACTAAGCCTCTACATGAGTTACTCGCTGAGATGCACAAATCCGGCGAACTTGACCTTAACAAAAGTTCCCTCTTCAACCCTAGCAACCTCAGCCAACGCACAGACATGAAGTGCACTGCTGAGGACTACGATTATCTCCAGTGTCCTAACGAGTTGACCGAGGAGGACCGGAAAACTCTGCTTCGTGGCGAGCCCGTTCGAATTGGCGATGATTTCCTGAAAACTCGATGCCTCATCACGCCCCGGGGCTGTGTCCTACGCCACCTCGAGCCAGAGGAGGAGGAGCGGTACCTCGAGCTGGAGAAGAACATGACCGGTACCTCCGATCCTTTCGTGATTGGAGACGACGCGAGCAATCCCAGTGGCGGTCTGGAAGCACTTTTCGCGAACCCGGAAAAGTTCAACCTCTGCTGGGTTGACGATATGCCCACTCGCCTGGGTGCCACCTCCCCTTCTTCGTCTCTTGAGGCGTCGGAATCAGTGATCCCGCCTAATGTCCTCTCGGCCATGGAAGCAGATAGCAACCGCAACCATGACTGGGCCGTCGCCAACTCGGCTGAATTTCTCAACACCACCCCTGCTGCCGTGCGCTCTTTCGCCGCAGTTACCGCACAGCACATGCTGGGTAATCCGGGCATGGTTGGTACCAACCCATCCCTCGACGACGTTGCTGGTTTGACCAATGAGGAACTGAAGGATCTCTCTGGTCGTTCTCAAAAGGATCTCGAGCTCACCCGGAAAGAAATGGATTCGCTGGACAAGAAGTTCGCTGCTCTGCTTCGACGCAACAAGAAGCTACAGCAGCAGGCATTGAACTTTGCTGCTGGGTCGGAGGTTTGATCAGCCATTGCCCCTCTCGTGAACCGGGGCTGTTTGTCCCCTCCGCAGCCGTGTGTATCTAAGTAGGCTTGCGTGTATATCTGTATTTGCATGATACCCTGTACGATGGTATCTCACGGCGTTTTAGTCCATTCTGTATCATTAGCTATCTTAGCCTGACTAGCCTGAACGAATTCATATCCATACTCGTGATCTATGTCCAAGTAGGTTGTGTAGTCTAATTTCCAACACTTCCCGCCCACAGACACCTTCTAGGCCCAGCCTCAATTTCCTCGGAGAATTACTTGGAGGTGATATCTATTGCAGCCAAATCTGCCTGCCGGGCTGTAGATCTGAAACCGGAAATTGAAGACCGAGCGACCCGGTGTCACTTCATTTCAACATTGTAAGCCAAAAGTCGATCTGAGCGTTTTTAATCTCCTAGGCTCACCGTTTTAATTTCTATAGGTCAAAAAGGGAGACGCGCCTAGTGATCAACCCCCTACTCCACCAGGGCTAGATGTCTTGACTTCCAATCACGCCGAGACATTCGATGATGAATTTTGCCTCCGAAGGGATCCGACATTAGCTTCTTCTTGGTTTTACACGATGTCAACTTGGATCTCCAGGGCGAATGAGCCCTGTGCCTTCTGTTTTGTGTGTGGCTCTTGAAACACGTGGCTGGTTAGTGTTATGTGAGGTCTCTTTTCCCTCTCGATCTCAAAAAACAGATGGATCAAGGCTGATCCTTGACTCTCCCTATTCAATCCCTCTCTTCCCATAGGACAATATTTCCTTGAGCTTTCTAGCATCTACATCTACCCTAAAATGTATCAACTACGAGGAAAAGTCCTACGATGGTCGATTTTTGACCCGCACCCGATCTAGGTTGCCGTAAAAGCCCTACGCACGGTCTATTGTGGGCCCCAGTAGGCCTCTCCACCACAGCCGATGATTGTATACAAACACTAGTCGTGGCGTTCATCCACCCGCTCAGCTCTTGATACTGTAATTACTGCATCTTAGCTTCCACTGCGGAGCAAACGCCATTAATTTAATATTTCCACAAGCTAGGGCAATAAATGTATCGATTTTTAATCAAAATGTGATCGGTCGAATGTAATAAACCGATTTTAATTTACTCAATGTGATAGAACTACAATCTCTAATCAACTTCTATAATACATGTAACCTCTTAAAACTTACAACTTTCTTTCTATTTAAATTGTAGTTAATCAATTTAAAGCTGGATCTGTTCTATAATGTTTAAAAAGTTCCAACGTTCGATTTTTTCTTAGGCTTAAAACCAGACTAGAACCAAATTGCAAGTTTCATAAATCATGTGATTCCTCTGTCTACACTGAAAGAATAGGGCCCCCCCCCCCCCCGGATGGACCGTGTGCCCCAAAAAAAAAGCAGCCCAAAGCCTAGTCCATTCGTGGGTTGGGCTGGGCTGAGCTTCAGGTTTTGTGGGCTCTATGGAAGCGTCACCCAATCAATTTACCTCGACTTTCAGCTACATATTTTGTAGTATCAACATGGTGAAGGTAGGAGTAATTTAAAAATTAAAAATTAAATTAGTCGATAGAGAATTAGCCAATAAATTCAACACGTTTGCTTTCCGCGTAGTACGTAATCTCCTAGTTACGATCGGATGAAGTTGTCCCACTCTCCTTTGATTAACTGTGTCCTTAATATAAGATGTAGCTCTCTGAAAACACCCCTAGTCTACTGAGTTCCTACCTATTTCTACTACTTCGGGGTGGAGCTTGCAATCATGTAATCTTGAAGAGCCACTAATATAGCTCAAGAGGGCTAAAATCGGGGGAATGTGAGGCTAATCCTCGACGTGTACCCTGCATTCTTTAACCCGCTCCCGTATGATACACGCGGTGTACATACGCGCGTGAATCGTGAGCATACTTGAAGATAGTGCTGAGGATATCATATAGTTAGAAGCCTTCTTAATGAGAATTTAGATTATGAATTCGCTACATCGCTCTTCTAGATGCTCTTTTACTCCCGCTCTATCACCAGTAACTTTATACGCCTAATAATTGGTGCTGCGGTGATAGGTATATTCGACGGCGAGCTTCGAGGTGGATACTCTAGCTTCTAGAGCACTATAGGTTCCTGGACGTTGCCTATGGAATAGTAAGATACACCTGCCACAGCCCCGAGCGGTTTTCCAGTAGACCAAAAGATCATAACCAAGTCGTCAATTCAGAGAATTCACTTTGTTGTAAAGGCGTATATAGGTAGGCTCTCCATCCTCTGGGATCACAATCGCGTACTATATCTACCCTTATTTCTAGAGATTACAATGCCGAAGGAGCGTATACAACAAAGTGGGCGTAGGAATTAAAATTAAAATAGGGCGGTTGGTGGGGGGGGGTGGGGGTGATTTACTAGGCGCTAAAAAATGTGGATTTGTCGCAGAACTTAATTAAAGGAATGCATTTTCACGTGTTTTTCTGTGTCTTTCCATGTGCTCTTTGCTATATAAACGGCCCTCCTAGGCGCTGCTTTTGTTCTTTTTGTTCTTGATTTTCAACCCAACATCTACAATGTCTCGATTCCTTTCCATCATAGCCACCGTGCTGGCCCTAGCCTCAATCGTCGCATCAACCGGCCTGCTAGTACCACTATACGCCTGGCCCGGCACAGACGCATGGAGTGCAATCTACGAATCGATCCAAGCCCACCCTACCACACCATTCTACCTCATCATCAACCCATCTACGGGTCCCGGTGATACAGAATATCCAGACGAAGCGTTCATAACGGCTATCGCGAAGCTGAACAGCTATTCCAACGCCAAAGTTCTGGGCTATACCCATACAGATCAAGGCACACGAGCCAGTATCGAGGTCGAGCAGGACATCGCTACCTACGCTAAATGGGCCACCTACTCAGAGAAGAACATCAGTCTCTCCGGCATCTTCTTCGACCAGGCGCCGGACGGTGAAGATCGGAGCAAGCTCGCCTATTTCCAAAACCTGTCGAGGAACTCCAAGAGCAGTAGCTTGAACACTGTCGTCTTCAACCCTGGGGTTAAGCTCGTGGCTGATGCCGATGAGTGGTTCGCAGCAGCGGACTTCATTGTCGAGTATGAGAACACCTATGCCAATTGGGTGGCTCTGGCTCCTGGTGAGCATTTCTGGACGCCCGGACACCATCAACAGAGTGCTGTTCTTTTGAATGAGACGCCTGAGGATGCTAGCATTGATGGCGTTGTTCGGTCAGCGAAGGGCATGGGGCTTGGTGCTACCTACCTGGCCTCGGATAGTGACTACATGAGTCTCAGCACTGTGCCCAAGGTTGCTGTTGCTGTTGCGCGAGACCGCATTGCGAGGTGCAAAAGGCACCGTGGACATTAACGCTGAGCATATACTTTGCTTAGGTGCCTGTTCATTCCCATGGTTTGAGCAGATGTGATTGAGTGCTGTTATTTTGACTTTGTACATTTTTGAACTGCTAGAGATTCCCGAAACCAAAAAAGCATCATGACAAAACATTTTTTTTCTCACGAAATTCCAGAATCTATATCCATGTAGGTCTTGTATCTTTAATAAAAAAAAATTAAAAAGCTCTAACGTCCCAAGGGTGAGCATGTATCTTTGGCAGAGACACACCCTTTCAATCCAAGCCATTGATTCCATCCTTATACGGCCGCAGATCATACTCATCCGGATAGGTTTCTAAAATGCGCTTAAGCTCCGCCATCTGCTCCCTCTGCTCCTCCGTAATCTCCTCATAAATATCCGCAAAGGCCTCCCTAAGCGACGGCTTCTTCTCCTGCTCCGCCTCGCCAAACTCCTTCAGTACGGCCTTGCGAATCTCATCCCGTGTTTGCGTCTCCTGCTCCTCACTCCAAATTCCCTGATTCTCTAGCCACTTCCGCAGCCGAATAATGGGGTTATCACGACGTTTCCAATCCTCAACCTCGACGCGAGCACGGTACGCAAAGCTATCATCGCTGGTACTGTGATGTGAGACACGGTAGCTCATGGCTTCGATTAGCACGGGTCGTCCGCCCTCACTTAAGGCCAGTCGACGCGCTTCTTTCATGGCTTCGTTTACGGCGAAGACATCGTTGCCGTCTACGCGGATCGTGTCGATACCGTACCCTACGCCGCGACTGGCGATTCCATCGCCCCGGTACTGCTCTATGGTTGGAGTGGAGATTGCGTAGCCGTTATTTCGGCATATAAAGACGACCGGGCAGGACCTTGTTGCGGCGATGTTTAGCGCAGCATGGAAGTCGCCTTCGCTGGCGGCTCCTTCGCCGAAGTAGCAGGCTACAATGCGTGGGTCTCGGTTTGGGGTTTGGAGGTCTTGGAGTTTCAGCGCGTAGGCTGCGCCAGCGGCTTGGGGGATTTGTGTGGCTAAGGTGGATGAGATTGTGTGCTGTTGGATGTATGATGTTAGGGAACATATGTTTGCTGCAAAGAGATGGGTAGCACTGACAATGCGAGGATAGTTCTGTCCGTAGTGGACTGGCATGTTTCGACCACGGCCTGTATCGTTGCAATTGGCGAAGAGTTGACTCATGAAGCTTTTCAGTGTAAATCCCCGTTGTTGGAATACGCCGGCTTCGCGGTACTGCGCAAAGACTACATCATCTGGTGTCAATGCTGCGGCGGATCCAACTGTGATGCCTTCCTCGCCGGCGGATACCTACAGGTAGCCAGATGAGCTGCGCTGTTCTTCTCACTGTTGATGAATTTGAATTACCATGTAGAAACTCAGACGACCCTGTCGTTGTGCCTCAAACATCACCACGTCCATAACGCTTACTGCAGGATTAAAATCAGGTACTTGATGTCGCATCAAGCGAGGGGTAGCTTACTAGACAGCATGTTTTTATACCATGCCAACACCTCCTCATTTGTAACATCGGGTGCTAGTCTCGTCTTATTAACCTGATGACCGTCGGCGTCCATCACACGGTAGGTAGGGATGGCAGGTAGATCTGAGGCTTTGAGGAAGGCCATCTCCGAGGTAAACGTGCTGTTCACGGCCCCGGGGAATCGAATGCTACATACGTTTACATCTCGTCAGATTTTGTGAAAAAAATGCCAAAAAAAGGAACTTTGTCCTTGAAGCGATCCGCTCACCTGTCTGATCCCGGCGGCTGCGAGATGGAACTACTCCACCTCCGTGTGGGAATGATTCGCGCTGTGGTTACAGGCTGGCTGCAAAGGACGCTTCGAGTCAAAAGCTTGAAAGCCATCTTGTTCTCTCTTGTTGTTAACATTGGTGCTTAAATTTGTTACAATGGCGGAAAGGTGAGAGATCCCGAGGTTATCGTTGGGTGTATAATCTGAGGAGGAGGGCGGTTGGCGTCGGCACTGAGCGTCACTCCGTGGCCAACCGAGGATCCGGTTGATGCGGGGAAGAGGATTAATAAGAGTGAACAACATTGAAAGACTTGATGACTTTATTTCTCTTCATCCACCCATTAATACTCAGAAAACTCGCTGCGGTGGATTGCGATTATGTCGGCAGATGTATCGTGGATCGCAAAGTTAAGTTTCACGATGATGATGATGATGATGATGATGATGATG